CTTACGCTTTTCAACCCAAGTAACAACGAATGCTCAGTCGCTTGTTCCCTTTTTATCTTTATCTAGAATCCGTCCAGGAGAAGAAGTTAAGCGAAATTGTGACGGAACAGACGCAGCAGCCAATCAAGAGCCCACCGGTCCAGTGAGAGGTGTACTACCTCTTTCAAGATGCGCACATGCTGTTGTTTTTGTTGTCAAGGCGAACGACCCGCGTTTGAAAGACGGCAAGTACAAGGAAACTCTGAAGAAAATCAGAGAGCATTTCAGAAAAGATGGTAAGTAGAGATAAAACTTTGAAGATTATTCCCATGGACGCAAATTCCTAAGTGAAATCAGAGACAGGTGATACCGTTTTTAATCTGCCTAAGAGCCTGTTTACATGGAGGTGGGGGACCCCAGGTAGGTGAGGTAACCCGCCTAAGTGGGGTAACCCGCCTGTCCATATAATTTCTTATTTTATCTTGATCACGTTTACATGATAGGTGGGGTGACCGCCTAGGCGGGTTGCCCGGTCTGCCAGGTAGGGTAACTCTGTCAGCCGGGGTGACAATTTGCCACGATTTAAACGTTTCAAGGTGGGGTAACCCGCCTAGCGAGCGTCGCGTTCATGGCAAAAAGCTCAATAGCGAAACATGTATGTTTTAAAACTTTGTACATTCCACATAAAGAGTGTAAAATGTTCACATTTTGGAATGTTTTGCGTTGTAAATCGACCATATTTCGTTTCCAAAACAATTCCAGGTAGGGTAACTCTGTCAGCCGGGGTGACAATTTGCCACGAGTTAAACTTTTCAAGGTGGGGTAACCCGCCTAGCGAGCGTCGCGTTCATGGCAAAAAGCTCAAAAGCGAAACATGTATGTTTTAAAACTTTGTACATTCCACACAAGGAGTGTAAAATGTTCACATTTCGGAATGTTTTGTGTTGTAAATCAACCATATTTCGTTTCCAAAACAATTCCGTATAACGTATTAAGTCAACGGTTCCTCGCGTAACCTAACACCGCGTAACACAACGCATTACGCTTTCATGAATAAATACTTATGTGTCCGAGAATTAATCTTTCGTCTTTCTCGAGATGTGAGTTTGGAACGCCTCTGCTCAAACTCCCTAATTACAAGCGCAAAAACAACTTCACCCCAGCACCCCGGGGTTGTAAGATTGTATGTAAACGCGTTTTATTTTTCAACCACAGCTTGGCGGGCTACCTCACCTTCCTGGGGTCTTTCACCTCCATGTAAACGGGCCCTAAATCTTCTTTGCAAGAGTCATTGCCGTACATTTTAGTGTAGTGATAGAAAATCAGGCGAGTGAATTACGACAGACTTGCAGTGAAGCGAGGTGAGAGCGCAGCATTAGGGCTTTGGGGTGGAGATAAATCGGGGGGGGGGGGAGGTGTCGTTGGCGCCCAAACTAAAGATGTGGTTGAACATACTTTTGAAAATATGCGTATTATGGATTGATCTCCTGTAACGCTGATAAGTCTGATAACTCTCAGCTTACTTTACAGACTGTGCTCTAGTATGTTGCAGACTTCCATTTTGTGAGGACCCCCGAAAGGAGCGGCTAAGCGATGTGGCGGATGTCCCCACACCACTCCACACCTTCTCCCTTTGGCCTTTGGCCTTTTTCTACGCGTCCGCCTTTTCTCTCATTCAACTCCATCAATCGAGATAGTGCTGTGGTACTAAATGTAATTATATTTACCGTAACCTTTCAGGTTATGCTCCTGTGACTGTAATCACCTACCTGGACAAGCTTAAAGATAAGGAGGACAAGGATGAAGCTTTTGACCAGGCCTCCTGGGCGACCGGTAGCTCCAGTGAGAAGACCTACTTCATTGCAAATTACACGCACGCTAAAGCTAAGCAGTCTGATGCTGTGGATCGAGCTGCCCTTGACATCTTGGATTCTGTTTTGTTGTCTGCCGAGAGGTTTATCAGAATCCGTAAACAGCGAGAGAAAAATAAGATGGAGAGAGAAATCGTGGCAGGAGGTAACAGATTTTACCTTAGCTTTTGGTAAATGTGAGAAAATGAAAATGGTGCATAATGTATGCTACTTCGGTATATGCAGAACAATTTTCAACGATAAGTCTCGTATATGGCCCAAGCTACCGACGGGTTTTCTGTAGCTAAGCGATAGAGTATTCCGCAGGGAGTAATCGAAGGTTCCAATACGCGTTGAAGACATTTTTTACTTGTACACTCGACCATTATGTTCAACATCTGTCTTCATGGCACCGAAAATATTCACGAATAGTATTGATGACGTGGTGGGCTTGGGAGATGAAAGCAAATCAGGATACAAAGAGAAAGATAATATTTTTAAAATTCTCAGTAGTCCTGTGGTCAGTGCACTGGACTCCGAGTCGGACGACCCGAGTTCTAGTCTTGGCCGGGGCAAGGCGTTATGCCCTTGAGACGTGCGGGAAAAAAAAATGCGAGCTCCGCTTTTAGGCTTGGCTAAATCTATATACTATTATGATAATATCCCATAAAAATGCATGATGTAACTCTTCTTCAAGAGAGATTACTAGTTGGCAAGTTAAGCACAACGTTTTACATCAATATTGAACGGCAAAAATGAAATCTAAATTTGCTCACTCACTCCAATCCAGAAGTGCACAAAAAAACCGTTGTCTTCTAATACAGATTCAAAGATTTTAATTTTAGTGTAAAAACAGCTAAACACAGACGGAAAGTGTGCCTTTGTTGTTATTGTCCTCCTTAACTGCTCCTCAGTGCCCCCTTATTTTTTCCGTCGTCAGGACCATCCCTTAGTGGGGAAACCACTGAGCAGTTCTTGGCTCGTCTGCAGCATAAACACCACTGGTCTGACCAGGGTAAGATGAAAACTCTGAAGGAACACTTGAAGAAAGAAGAGATCAACACTGTAAAGGTGCTGAAGGAAATGTGGGAAGACATCAAGTCGAGTCTGCCATTGTCCATTGGAATGAAGATAGTCTTGGAAGAGGAGATGCAGAGCTTGTGAGAGGCACTATGCGCATACAAAAAATGATTTTATTAAGAAAAAAGGGATTGATTGATTTAGTTTAGGTCAGTTGAAAAATGCTTGTGCTTAAAAATATGTTATCAGATTGGGTAGATTTCTGATTGCTGTTCTTTCCAATTTTTTTTTCGGAAAATCTGCGGCACAAGGGTTTCTTTGCCCACGAAAGAGTCTTAGGTCTTAAGCAAAGTGAGCTGGGAGAGGTCTGTTAGAGATTTGGCATTAACTGGCCCTTAGTATCAGAGAAAGTTTCCCAGCAGGGTCCAACTGAGCTAAATTGAGCTATTTTCATCGAGGTCCAGCTCGCTTCGCAGAAGGAAAAACGTTTGTGCCACAGTCCTAATGAAAAGGGCCTGCTATCAGAACATAGTTTGTTTTTTCCGTGTTTTCTAGGAACTGTATTTCATATATTGGTGTTGTTTATGCATTGTGTTCTTCAAAATCCATTCGATGTGAAAGATGGCCACAAAACGAATGCCGCCAGATGAAAACAAAGGAATCTTTGTTTTCAACATATCAACTGCGATAAACTGCAAGGGCCTGTTATTTAAACAAAGTTTAGCTGTAGTTTAACAAAACTGCGCTCTAAGTCATCTTGAATTTAGCCAAACCTTTTATCTGAACTTTTGTTTTTTTGAGAACAGTGTCAAAGGGGCAGAAAGCTTATAGTGGAAGCAATTAATTCAATGAATCAACCCTATTAAAGAGAATCTCCGAGGCTCACTGCTGGCGTGAAACCACGGTTTGGGTTAGACCCCGTGGAGATAACCGGCCCTGACAGCTTTGTTCAGCAGAAAATAAAAAACAGTTGTACGCTTGATTAAACGCCATTAAAAAGAGATGAACTACCTTTCTGTGGATGTCGTCATTTTAAACGAGGTATTTCATTTACAATGACAGGGGTCTGGGGGTGAATAAAGGTACTGTTAGAATATTAAAAATAACGAAGAAGATTGCAAGAGAAAGATTGAAAGAGGAAGAAGCGTTCTTGAACTCCAAAAGAAACTGATGGACTACCATTTTCAGACTTGCCTATGGATCAAGAAAGAATCTTTCACAGGTCTGCCTGTGGACGACATTGATGCGATTCGCATTGCCTTGATCGGCCCTTCGGGTTCTGGGAAAACTAGTTTTATCGGTAAGAACAAAAGTTTACTTTTTGAATCAACATCTGATGCTTCCATCACTGTTGTGATTAAGAAATAAACACGAGTTTTTCCAAAGGAGTATTTATAAAATTAAACAAGGGCCAAGAATGAAAATTGGTCCTTGTAAATTCGCTATTTAACGAATTTTCAAAAGATGGGTTAATAGAAAGCTAATCAGGGGTTATTCTGTGTTTTTTTGGCTTGTTTCCTGATCGGTACGCTTTTTTAGGTTTATCTCACTGATGTACCTGATTAACGTTAAATTAAACGATAAAATGCAAATGATTGGAAATGTAGTTGACTTTAACATTTAGAATATTTTCAAACGATAGACCAACGAATGCTTATTTTCGTGATATTCCACAATAGCTGAAAGCAGCCATAGAAACTATCACATCTCCTACCTATATCGGGCCGCATGCAGCTGACGCAAGCTCAATTACAGATTGCTGAGACGCAAAACAGCCGGGTGCATGCGATATTGCCCCCCCTAGGGTCATAAATCGTCCGAACAGATTAATAGAACGATTCACAGTCATGAATCCACCGTGCAAACCTCTATAAATCGCGCATCAAACAATGTTCACCTATTTACTCATAGTTCTTCCCCTACCATGGAGGTATGGATAGGACTGAAAAATTTACAAGGTGAAATGAAGGGGTAGGAGGCAGAAGGAAGTCTCGCACCCAGACCTTTCACGGCCAAGCGGTTGATACATTTCAGTTACAGGTTGGGATCTGGGTACGAGATTAGTGAAGGGGACAGTGAAGCAAACGGCCTAGAAAGAAAGCGGGGCATATCATTCGCACAAGTGACGACAGCAAAACGATCATGATCAATGTTTTTTTCTTTCGAATTTAATGTTATTTTTATGTGCGCCATTTCCGAGAATGAGTTGGAGCACGTTCGTTACCTAATTGTCAGTCAAAGTCGTTTTTCAACATATCTCAGACAAAAATCGTCTGGGTATGTGTCCCTGAAATAAATTAGACAGTTAGTTACCGGGCGCTTTTCTGGCCGAACGGAAAGAACTCATTCCTCGCGAACACACGCGTATACTTGTACTTGTGCAAATATACGGCGCACAGAACCCCATGCATTTCGCGGTTAGTCCACTTATAGCGTGCAAACTGACTACCCCTGATCCATTCCATTTACGCACTCGACGTTCGACTGGTCTATTTTGGGAAATAGGCGAAGTGATCGAAATTTCCTGAATTAGCCTTTTAAAAGAAGAAAGCCTTCAGTTCTTAAAGAATAAAAAATACGTAAATAATGTTCAGTAGCATCAGGAGACATTTAAGTGTCGCCTGAACACGAGAAGCGTTTCCAATTTCTTTCCAATCAATTTTGCCTCTACACTTTTCATCAGTTGATGTCCCACTCTGCAAATGTTCTTCTGCCTGTTCAAATATGGTTTCAAGTTCTCCACGCTTTAGTGTGAGTGGAGTTATTCAAATGCAGAATCTGTGTCTAAATCCGTGGACAAGTCCGGCGGGATCGCGCTTAGTTCGGTGGCGACAGTTTCCGGCACTGTGGGTGGGGTATCAACAGAAGGAGGATCTTTCTGGATGGAGGGTTCCTTGGGCTGACCTGTGGAAAAGAATGGATATAGAGCATGAGTGTTATCATAACAAAGGCCGCAGTGCATTCGAGGAAAGAGTCATGAGAGCTAGCAGCTAACATCCACCTAATCTTACCTTGGTTTTTCTGTTAAGCAGCTGAGGAAGTGGGTATTTTCACAACAAGGGATGCTGGTATATGACAGGTGATCTGTAGTCATTTGAGAAGTAGGGAATCTCTTCCCCAAGGGCGCTGAGGGTGGGGTGAGGTTGAGATAATTCCAATCTAACTTACCGAAGCTCTTACTCTCCTGGTGGACTTCACTTGAACTGTGTCGAATGTCAATCACTTTCACCTTCTTCTTCGATGATTCAGCTCCAGTCTCTTGAGAAGCGCGCCTCTTGTTCTCAGAATCGTGGGGACGAATTTCAGTCTGAAAGCAAGACATATAAATTTTTGTTTGGAAATTCGTCTCAATTCTTTAGCTTGCGAAGAATTAGTCCCAACTAAACGCCATATAACATTAGAGGAAAGAAGGGCGAGTTCTGGTAAATGCATGGGCCTTAAGTGGAAAAACCTACTGTACTTTTCGGAAAAGCTTCACACAGAAGTTTCTTGAGCGTCGAAAGTCTTACGAGATAGCAATGACTTGCCCCCAATCAGATGCAAAACTTGAGCCAATCGCAAATTGACCACTCGCGTTTTCCCGCGCTTTTAATAGTTTGTTTGTTTCCCCTTTAATTTCTGATTGGTTCCATGCAATCTTTTCTTTTGTTCTGATTGGCTGATTGTGATAAATCTCGTCATGGTTTTTCCATTACTAAACCAAATGCACAGCATAAGAGAAAGTATTTTAACATACTTCTTGAGTCCAACCGGTCTCTTCTGGGTCGTCAACTTCAGGTGCCACAGGAAGGTAGTACACGGAGTCCAAATCTTCATCGTTCTCCTCGTCACTGAAATAATTTAGCAGCAACATTCATGTCAAATTGTTCAATCATTCACACCCTCACATCAGTAGGCATATTCTCCATACTGTTCTCAATACATTTCCAAAAGTAAAGACAGGAAGAATTTGTTTAAATATCAAGAGCTTCTTTAGTCGATGATTGTTTACCTCATTCTCATGACCTTAATGTTTGATTCAGGGGTGATATTGTAAGGAGAAATTAGATGTTAGTCACTCTTAGGGTCAAAGGATTAAAGGAGAACAATCTTCCCAGTGTGACTCCAAATTAAGAATCTGCATAAAAATAAATAAGTATAAAAAAGATTGTACCTGCTGCACAAAGCTGGAATTCTCTCCACTGCACACACATCAACTTCATCTTCCTCTCCTGCTTCAGTTTCGGATGGAACTTCAGCTTCTTCGTCCTCATCCTCCTACAAGTTAGAACCAACACTCAGCCCAACCCCTAGTATCTCTGCTTGGCTCAATTAGCACTTTCCGCCCTTTGCACCCATTGTATTTCCCGCTCTTCACACCAAAATAATTTTTCTTACAGAATTTTCATTGCATACAAAAAAGGTACTCTGTAGACAGAAGATAATTCCCACCAATCAACTTTCAATGGAAAAAAGAGTAACAATAGCTCATGCTTGGCAATCAGACTCGCAGCAAAACATATACTTACTATATCAAACTCATTCTCCTTCTCTTCATATTCGACATTTTCATCCAACTCTTTAAAATCTGGTGCAAATGCACTCCAGTTTTCCTACACAAGAGAGACAAAATCCGATGATAAGTTCAAAATAAACTTATTTCACTGCGACCAGAAGGAAGGAAATTACAAATGTTGTATGACCAATCTGAACGAGTAAAGAGACCTTAAACAATCATCTGAATTCAAATTCGGATTAAATTAATTTAATCAGTCTAGGTCTATGTGCCACCAATAATGAATTGATATCACTTTAAATAGCTACAAATTAATTATTAATTAGTGATTCTCCAGTCTAATACAACAACTATCAACACAATTTTAATATTCTAACAAACTTACCACGTGATTTTGAGCCCAAATCGAGACAACTCCACTTGAAATCGAAGCTATTATGGGTCTGATAGGGTGCCACTAATCATGGAAAAAAATAGAAGAATAGAGAGGTTATGTTCATCATTCCACAAGGGGAACACAGTCAGCCAATTGAAAAAATTTTCCTCTTTGAAGACATGTACCACAACAAGAAGGGGATGTTGAAGAAACTTGCAGTCATATGTCAGCCTTTAAACAGTCTTTTACCCCATTCACACCAGCAAAACATGTTTTGTTAAACTGGTTTTCATTGAATGAAAATTATAAACAGAGAACTGAAAAACTTGATTTTCCATTGGATTCAAGTACTTGCTAACTTGCATTTCCAATGTGCTACATTCAAGTCAAAAATATTCGGTTAAATAGTTTCTATGAAGAAAAAAAAAATTAAACTGTGTTTAACAAAACAACTTTTAAACATGTTTAAGCTTTGGTGTGAATGGGGCATTTGTTATAGTTTCTAACAGTCCGTTTGACCAACAAAATAATATTCCAATCTTACCACGACTTCCAACAACAGTTCGCCCTTGGTACCATGAAGAATTTTAACAAGATTTCCAACTCCTTTTTCCCAAATGTACAATGCATGAGTGCGAGATGATCCTGTCATAACACAACACAGTTAGTATGAAAAACCAGCAAGAACACCACCAATGTAACATTGCATCTTGTGTTAGATATTTTGCTACAGGAGTGAAAGAACAGTGGATTGTTCAAACTTCAATTGTTACCACAAGTTAGCAATTCAATCAGTCGCATTACATTTAAGTATACATAATTTACATTCAGGAACAACTTCAATTTCCCAATGGGTTTCCCCTTTTCTCTTCAACCCTTTCTTGACAAAGACCTAGGTAGTGTCTAACTTTTTCGCACCCTAAATGCAAGCACTGCTATCACAACAAGAGCTATGACATTTGACTGGGGAAAAATAAGGGAGGGGTGGAAGGCAAGAGGGAGGAGGGGGTAGAGGGAAGAGATGGGGATTGGGGGAGAGGGGGAGAGGGGGAGAGGGGGAGGGGGGAAAGCAATTATTGTTGATGATCTTTGCATAAAGAAGCAATCTGCTACCATTAAGGTGTTAGATCTCACCAGGCTCCAAGTTGTAGCCTCAGAGAGAAAACCTTGTAGAATTCAGTACCTTGCAACAATTTCTGAAGCAAGCAAAAAGCATTATACCAAGCAAGTAAATGCTGCGACATCATAGGGTTATGTGCAACATTAATCAAATTCTAGTAAGTTCATCCAAATTGACCACATATAAAATTAGCAGGAAGAAATATTTTTTTTTACCTGCACAGATATATTCTCCATCGCCTGAGAAGCAACACTTTTTCCAGAGTGTCCTGCCAATCAAATGAAGCTACATTAATGAAAAAACTACTCTCATTCCCCTATATGACTTTCTCAGATCAATATCAGTATCTGGGCAACTGCCCACCTACCCCTCCCCTAACTCAACAACAGGCAATTGACAACAAGTTAAGGTTAATGTTGGGTTAGGGGAGGGGTAGGTGGGCAGTTGCCCAGATACTGATACTGATCCACTTTCTCCTTTGCAAAGTATAGAGCCACCTCTTATTCATAATGGTAACAGGATGAAGCAGGATCCATCATGATGAAACTTTCTCACACTGTTCTATCTTTGCCCATGTCACCCTCACCTTCATATGTATAATGCTAGTGACAAAATTACATAAAAAAAAACACCATTTATCACCTATTAACAAGATCTTGGAGTTTCTGTATTGGCTCAGGCTCAGCTCCTTCTGTTCCTTGGCAGGACAGCACAATTTGACTGTCAAATACTCTTATTATCCTGTCTTGAGAGTTTATCAGGAAGGCACTGAAGGAAAAAAAGCACAATTCCATTACTGTTAACCCTTTAACCACGAGAATCCAGTAGATTAAAAAATCTCTCTTCTAGAAGGCCTGCATTTTATTGAAAAAAATTCAAGAGCATCTAGTTTTTCATCAAGAAAACACCCACCAACTCATGTACTTGTCTTTTCTCGTCACCTGCTTATTGGATAATGTCTTGAAGTTGCAAGGAGAAGTTGCATGTTGATCAAAGATTAAAGAAATAACTGTAGAAGCTGTCAAGTGCCCCACAAATCTAACAGAGTCATACAGATTGACTTGGGACCATTCGAAAATCTTGGATGGTTTTGGGATAATTGGATGATGGAACCATCTAATGCTCTTTCAGTTTCATTGACAAGTAAATGTTTAATTGGCAGTTAGTATCTTAAACAAGTGTGTGAGCTGCCTATCCTTATCTGTAACACACCTGCCTCTGCGGGCAAATTCTATCCCCTTGATAGCTGTATTAGCACTTGTTCCTGTTTGTATTCTGAAGGAGGTCACCACCTGCAGTTTGTACAATGTTGCAAAATCTACCTTAACAATAAAATTAGGGAAATAAAAGACTGAATTCCTCACAAAAGTCACTTTCACATGCAGTAAAGAGAGAATGAAATGAAAAATCTTGACAAAAAATAACAATGATGACAATAATTTTCTTCCACACAATTTGAGGATGAAATTCTGTTCTGAATTAAATTATAGTCCCAGGATTAAAATACTTCCTGATTTGACAGTGAAATATATTTTCTAGTACAACTGACTTTTACCTGAAGAGTCTCTGCTTCAATTACCAGTACCTGCAGGATAGATACAAAAATATTTTTAAGTATAAAGCCATAGATAGTTTACACTTATGTTGGTTATCCCAACTATTGTAATGAAGTTTTTGAGGTATGGGTAACTCACAACAAGATTTCACTAAGTGCTATGTTTGGGTCAAAGTAGTTAAACAATCCTCCATACCTACAGAGGTTAGTCAGTCAGAAAAAATTGAAACAGCCATTTTTTTCTCCAGTTTAGTTTTTAGTCATATTTCAGTCCTTCTTTAACCCTTGCACCCCTAAGAGTGACTAACATCTAATTTCTCCTTACAATATCACCCCTGAATCACACATTAGGCTCACAAGAATAAAGGAAATGATCACCAACTTTTTAAAGAAGCATTTGATTGTTAAACAAATTCTCCTTGTCAGCACCCTAAGAAATGTATGATGAACAGTATGGAGAATATGAATTCTGATGTTAGAGTGTAAAGGGTTAACATAAGTTATTCTATCATTCTATAAATCGCCCTTTGTTTCCTTTTCCCTAAACTTTCCTTCTCCCTTATGACTACAACATAATGTTCTCATGATAAAAAAAAAAAACATGTATAATGAAAGAAGTCATACTAACCTTTCCCTTTGAATTCCCTGTGTAAATGTATTCTCCTTTTCTATCAAAAGATGCCACAATGTTCTGTTCAGACTAAGCAAACACACATTTGGTATTTTAGTTCAGATATTCAGTCACCACATTCATGTTTATTTGCTGAATTGTAAGTTTTCCAAATGTTTACAAACAAGTCACAGGACTCTTTGGTGTGACACTTAGCAGCAATGTACAAACCATTTAACTCCCATGAGTGACCAAAACAGAATTTCTCCTTACAATATCAATACAGTACCTCAATACAATACCAAGCCACTGAGTGACAAGAAGAAATGGGATTATTAGTTAATCTAATACCAAATTCTTTTCACTAACATCATAATAATTGTATGGCATCCAGTAAGGAGAATTACTTAAAAGATCTTGGGAGTGATGGGGTTAATAAAACAAGAGTAGCAGTGATGAGGGGAGGAAAGGAGCTGACCATTGGATATTCCTTCATCATGTTGTTCTCAGTCTCTTTATGGTTAATCAGTGGTCTTTTTACCATGGGAAAGTTTTCTCCCTCTCTTTATGACATTTCTTGTTCCTTTTGATGTCATTTTTCTTGTCCTTGAACACTCCTTACTTGAAGCAACTCTTGGGCAAGGTAAAAAGGTACTTAAGGAATTAATGTGAAAACAAGGAAGGATCTGAAGAGGGATTCTTTCCCAGAACTTATTAAGAAATTAGTCCTCTTGCCAACAAACAACTTCCAGCATTTCACACTTTGTAAAAGTGTTTTTATTTCTCATTTCTTGCATAATTGTCACTTTGCTTGGTTAAATTAACTTTAACAAAGATCTTTAGTATCACCATTAGGCCACTAGGCTTTGGGAACAAAGGACGTCATCTTGGAAATTAAATGATTTTGAATTATGAGTTTGAGGGCATGATGCTAAGTCCCAGTTTTTAAAATATTACTTGCAGAAAAATAACTTGAAATTAAGTCTCCAGCATTCATGTAATAGTAATGTTAAAAATACATTCACAAACAGCCAAATAAAAAAATGGATCACCATCTTTAGCTAGATGAACAAAAGAGACTCAGAGTGCGCAATTCTCGACCTAAATTTTGAAGGCCTTGATGGATAAACTCACATCACTATACCACAATCTCCTGTTCTGACATTTCTTAATGGAAATGCAGCTCAATAAGTATCACAAGTTATGATGTTATAGCTATGTAGCCTAAGGCAGACTCTCTGTTGGTGGAAACTAGCAAAATTGGTGATGGCCTGAAAAGAAGTAATGAAGAGCAGGCCAAGTGGTGAGGTTCCTTCCCTCTCATTTTTTCTTTTTTGCTCACCCAGATTTTTTGCTTGCTACTGAAAACTTACAGTTTAAAACAGGTTGATAGCCATGCAATGAATCAAATGAATGTGCAGCCTTTCTTGATGTTACTGTAATTCTAAATTTTGAAGTTGCAAAATCCCATCCTGTGTGAGGATGTTACGCAATGAAACATGATTCTTGTGCAGCTCTTTCTCATAATAAGTGATCTGAGGAGGAAACCACTGCTGTAAATCTTCAAAGCATTTACTAAATTTACAACACTGTTCTTCATTTCTGCTGCATTTTATTGCAATGTACAAAATAATGCTGACTGGACTAAAAAGCAGATTTCCTTCAGCAAGAATGGCAATGAAGCTGGAATCGATGCTGGAGAAGTGTTCAGCTTCTTTTCTTGTTATGACCACAGCACATGACCAATGACACAGATTACGAAGATTGCTGAGGTCAGAATACAACTTGTCACATTCTTCGTTGCACAAATCAGTTGCTCTTTTTTCGTCTCCATTAGTGTAATAAAACAGACACTTTACAGCACTGCTATGAATTCCACCATCTTCAAATCCAGATGGGTGCTTCAATACTCCTGCCTTTGAAATCCAACTTTCAGCTTGAGCTAACAACCCCTGCTGCTGTTCAGCACTTGAGCCACATGTTGATAATGCCATTAGATGATAGCTGTCACCAAGGGAAAGAAACAGCAGCTTCTCATACGCACTTTGGAAACTTGGGTCAGTGATAACCCTTGGCAAATCATCTAAAATCACTTTTGCAAAATGATCAACTTTACCACTCTCTAATCTGCGGAAGAAAAAGTGTTTGAACTCCTGCAAGGTTTCAGTTAGATGCATTGATTCAAAGTAGTTTTCATTGTTTTGGAAATGATTTAGGCTGTTGTGTGAATTAACTTGTGCTAACTGAGATTCCGCATTGCTGGGGGAATCAGAATTCTTCAAGACCAGGTACAGAGTAACAAAGTCACCACTTGACCTGAACGTGTCTGCAGCAAGTTGCGACTGTAAGATGGCAAGGGGAAGATCGCTCACCATAGATTCAAGAATGGATATTGCATCCTTTCGTTGCTCAAAATCCAAGTGATCCATCATGTTATTTGATACTACAAAGTAATTTGGGCATGTCCCACTTGTCGTGTAGGACAGCAGTTCTTCAATTATGACTAAAATGCACTCCAGAATTCTCTCCTCATCCCAAGAACTCTCAGGCATTCTTTCGGAAAGCCAAAAAATAGCAGTCTTAATGAAATAAGAGCAAATCACTTTTGGCTCTGCGCTTAAGTTTTCTTTGCACAGAGATTTCACTGCGATGTAACATTTGATCTTCACGTCACTCCAACATCGGATTAGTGTTTTTTCTGCCAGAGAGAAAGACAATCGCCATTCTTTGCCTCGATCTTCACTGCATGGATGACCGACACCGACGTACAAGCACCCTCTAGAAACGATTTTCTCTATAATTTCCGGACTAGGTTGGTTAAATTCTCTCGGGCGAGAGGCAAATTCAGAGGCGATGTCAGGCCATTCGCAACACGGTAACGCACAAACAAAGTCTTGATTGTGGGCATCATCTGTTAGCGCAGGACCATGTTCTGTAAGATCACCAAAAAAATCGTCATCATTTTCGGTCTCTTCTGGGTCCGATTCCAACATGAAAGCCTTCACGACATCACTTCTGAGAAATCCATCATTTTCAGTTAGCTTAAAATCATTACTTCCGCTTTTGACGTTATCTCGACGTAAATGCACATAGCCTGGGTGGAGATCAGTAGCGATTAAATAAGAAACTTCTTTCTCTTCTTCAGTGATACTTGTAGGCTGATTAACGACTCGAAAATTGTGGTTAACAAACATGAAATCATCGTCGGCTGCTCGCTCTATTCCTTCAGCTTTGCTGCCGGTGTAGTGAAATGTAACTAGCGTTTGCGAGTCATCCATGGACTTAAAGTTGTACAAGTATTCGCTTAAATCACAACCACATCTCACCGGTTGACAGCCAATTAAAAATCCTGATAATATAAAATTTATCGTGTCATTCAGTGCAGGAGATGACAATGGCAGACAATTAGTCGATTCGTCAAGAGAAGTCGAAGCTTCGCTGCTCTCCTCTTGAGCTTCCGCCATTTTGTTTTGCTATTTGGAGTGTGGGAGATATGGGAAAGGGCGGCGTTGCGTGACATCACAGCAAAGGAGAGTGATAAAAAGACAGTGTTATGACGGGTTTCTCGCTCAGGATTTCCGTCTTGTTCCCGCAAAAAATAGTAAATAAATAATAAAAATTAAAATAAACTGCAATGTAACCATAGATCCATGATGTTGGAATTTTGGTTGCCATGTCGTTTTTTTTTTTAATATATGGAATAACCACTCTTGGAGGTAGAGGAGTGAACAGCACACTTAAAAAAATGGCACTATTCCAAGATTTCCTACAAGCAAGCTCTCACACAAGGTTCAGGCTGAGATTCAGAGAGGAGTATAAAGGAGCTTGCAAAAGGAGAGCTCATACACAAGCTAACTCAAAGAAGCATAGGGAAGTCACCTGCCTGATGCTAGTTATGATACACTCTAGTGTCAAACCAAGTAGCAGCTGGAAATGTTGAAATTCGTCGTTACCTAACAGTCCCCTCTGATCCAGTGAATGTTGTTACCAACCCTTTGTTTTCTTATTCCAAATTCATTTATCTTTTTTTTCTTGTTCATTAACTCTTTTACTCCCACAAGTGACTAAGACAGAATTTCTCCTTACAATGTCAATACAATATCAACCAGATAAGTGTTGAGAATAAAGAAAAATATCAATTTGGGGATAATTAGTTGATCCAATACTAAATTCTCTGAACTACCATTATAAGAATTGTATGGTTGACAGTAAGGAGAATTACAATTGATCTGGGATTTAAAGGGTTACCTCATAACATCTTTACACACTATCTAAATTCAATCATCTAAATCATGCTCATCTCAGTTAGTCCCTTTTCCTCCCTACCAACTGGTGGCTAAAGAGCCTGGCCTTACAGGCCATTTGAAACTCAAGTGGGGTACCATAGAACCATGGATACAGGTACAAGGAAATGTGTGCATGCTAGAGGGAAGAACTGAAAATCAGATCTAGGAAGTAAAAAAGGTTAAGTAAAAGAGAATGCACTTACAGGAAAATCTCTTGTTTTCAAATGAAGAGGTCATCAGAGGTATGACATTCCCAGGCTAGGTTGTTAGATAAGTGGGTCATTGTTTATTTTCACTGATGTTAATACAAAGATGTATGTAGTAGCTAAGCAAAGTGTGATACAGTTTCACTGAACGTATGGTTGATCACTCAGGAAAACCTTGCCAAGAAGCTAATATTTTTTGGGCAAGAAAAGGACAAAAGCAAGATAAGGATAACCTTTGTTTTACTCCCTGTTCCCTTTAAATTGCATTTGCTATGTCCCCTTTAGTCATCACCCTGATTGGGTGCCTGTTTGCAGACTAGTTTGTGCATGGAGCACTTTATCAAAAAGGAGAAGGTCTTTTTTTTGGTTTCTCTTTTCACTGACATTGTATGCAGCTGAGAAACATTCTGTATCAAATAGTTACCTTACAATTTCAAATTACCTAAAATATTGAGAAAGTTCCTTTAGAGCAAGTATTTTTAATTAATAATTAACATTTTACTAATATTTAAAAATATAACCTTTATGAATACATTAAAATGTTGAATTACCTCTCCACCATTTGGCAGAGAAAAGTGCTGTCCATCCAGCTTGACAAGTACTGGTGAATGTTTCATAGGACACACAAGTATGATATTACTGCAACAAGAACAAAATGTATTTGGAATCAGTCTTGATGAATTGTTCTCAAAGGAGTCATTTCTTTCCTTGCCACAAACACTTGCTTGGCTGAGTTCAATATACTTTTCCCATGGAAAATAGCTATCAAGAAACTCTAAAAAAAACCCATTCAGAGAAATCATTGTGAAGAATTTGTTAGAAATTTGATCAATTTTTTTTAGATTGCTGTTATGAATTGTGATCATCACACTATCAAATGATCCACAGTCAAATTCAGACTGCCTAGCTCTTTAACTCCCATGAGTGACCAAGACAGAATTTCTCCTTACAATATCAATACAATATCAACCAGACAAGTGATGAGAATAAAGAAAACTACCAATTTGAGGATAATTAGTTGATCCAATACTAAATTCTCTGAACTAACATTATAAAAATTGTATGGTTGACAGTAAGGAGAATTACAAATTTGGTCTAAGAGTTAAAGGGTCAACCCTTGACATCATAACATCAGTATGCATATTCTCCATACTGCTCTCATTACATTTCCTAAGATGCTAGTAAGGAGAATTTGTGTAACAATCAAGAGCTTCCTCAGTTGGTGATCATTTCCTGTATTCTCGAGTCATTGTGATTCAGGTGTGACAGCATAAGGAGAAATTAGTTGCTAGTCATGCTTAGGGGTGAAATTTGAGCAATTTTGATTCATATTCCCTTTTAACCCTTTAACTCCCAAGATCTCATTAGCAATTCTCCTAACTGTCTGCCAAATGATTCTCATTATGTTAGTTTGGAGAATTTGGTATTGAATCAATAAGTAATCCCTTAATTGATAAGGTGAAGTTCTGTCTTGGTCACCCACAGGAGTTAAAGGGTTAAGGGGATTCTAAGGTTTGATTGATTCAGGTATATGAAGCAGGCATATGTGGGGACTTAGTGAGGTGTGCAATGGAACAGTTAGTACATGCAAGATCAAAATCTGAGGCACAAACTTGTTGCGAGGATGGAACTGGACTTTGGTGACTGGAGATTGAAAACGGTACTTCTGATCACACTCGCCAGACAGAACATCCCACACAGACACATTCCAGTCATTTGAACCACTCAGTAGTTTGCGTCCATTTCGACTCCAGCTGAATGACACAAATAATGAAAACATGTAACAATTAAGAGACTATTTTCAATTATATCAATTAACCCTTTAACTCCCCAATCAAATTTGTCATTCTCCTTACTGTCAACCATACAATCAAAAGAATTATATCAATTCATTATCCCCAAATTAATATTTTTCTTTATTCTTATCACTTATCTGGTTGATATTGTATTGATATTGTAAGGAGAAATTCTCTTTTGGTCACTTATAGGAGTTAAAGGGTTAAGACCACACTCAATCAAAAGAATTATAGCCAACAAGCATATTTTTTGCGATGCAATTTGACTTCTGATAAGGTTATGTTGTATCTTACATTTTTGTACATGAAATCAGGAAGACCCATGGAAAATTGTCTAAACCTATCAGTTCTATATTAAAAAGTTATATTTACTCATAGAAAAAATAGCAACATTTTAAGCTTGCTTGGCTGCCCTTTGTGCAGTAAAGGGATAAAAATGTTTTGCATTAACTTTGTTGTTAAAATCTAATACTTCTCTGTTATTAAACTTTTAAAGTATTTGATGAACAGAAAGAAAGAACAGAAGTAAATTTTCTAATTGAATTGCAGTAAAAATCATAGTATGTCATATACACATAATTAATGTAATGCCTCATTATAGAATCAAAACCTAAAGAATGCAATTTATTCTGCAAACTTTGTGCTGAATTACTATTACTTGTCATTGGACAATACTTGCTATGCCATATTGTCCTTACCTGACAGATGTGACAGGATGGACATGAGCACTTATAATTTTTGCAATTCCTCTTGTCAAAAAATCCCAGATGACAATGCGTCCATCATTGCAGCCGACAGCTAGGAGAGAACCTCTTCTATTGAATGATGCTGTTCCAGCAACACTAACAGAGTCCAAGCTACCATCATATTCCTGTGATCAAAGTGTAAAGGTTAAAAAGAGTAACATAGTCAAAGCTCCTCACACCACCCCTCTTGTCAATCATTTTTGGTTCCTACTGACGGCACGAGTCATAATCACTGGACTCTGTTGCAAGGAACCATCTCTTACAAGTGAATGCAAACATTTGTGATTATCATCTTTGGCTTAAATTTTCTTGCTTTTTATACTTTCCATATATCTTCTTGCAATATTTATGGTTTTACTCAGGGAAATGAAATGTTTATCAATATTCTGTAAAAGCCCTTATTATGTGATTGAAGTTAGCTTTATGATCATGTCTATTGGTTTATAAACATAACCCTACTTAGTTAACCCTTTACAACCTAACATCAGTATGCATATTCTCCATACTGTTCTCTATACATTTCCTCAGGTGCTGATAAGGAGAATTAGCTTAACAATCCAGAGCTTCTGTAATTGTTGATTATTTCCATTGTTCTCATGACCCTAGTGTGTGATTCAGGGGTGATATTGTAAGGAGAAATTAGATTCTGGTCACTCTTAGAGGTTAAAGGGTTAAAGCATTTCTGGTGTCTGAATGGATTTTTTTCATTTATGATGACCCTGATGCAACCACACTAAGGCCATGACTGAAAATCATGACATTCAAAGGTCTAAGCTCTCAAAACAGACCATCTCCTGTGAATAACGCACGCTTAACATATCAATTAATTGCAGTCACCCAGTTGAGTAACAATTTCTTTCAACTTAGAATTGTCTTCAGTAGAGGAACTCATTCTTACCTCAGGATAGCTTTGCCCGAAAGACTCTGAAATTTGATAAAACCACTTCAATCTATATATCACTGACTAGTAAACTGTAACATACTCACACAAGTCAATACCTTTTATTAACTGAGTTTGAGATCTCTACTATAAGTTATAGACCAGGTTTTTTCCACTCAGATTTATGGCCTGGGCATGAAGCAAGCAGGCCTTAACTCTAAGTGGAAAAATGGTGTTCCCATACTAGTAGGACAGACTGAGGAAACAAGGTCAGTAAGATATTTATCATACCACTAGGTTCAAATAGAGCGGGCCATAAAGTTAAATACAGTCTGCTTAATTAACCAATCATAGGGCCTGTACTAACTGAGAGGTAAAAGAAATCAGAATTATTTTCCATAGGGTACACTCCTCATCGTGTGGTTAAATGACGTCTGTATCTTCATAGCAACACGAACATCACAAACTTCAGTGGACCATATCTGACATAGGTTTGGAGTGATGAACAGTTATCAGAGAGCCAGGTTTGGGAAAAATCAGTTCTCTGAGGAACAGATAAAGTCCATGAACAAGTATATGAAAACATTTTTTTCTCCAAATAGAAGGATATGTAGTTGGGCGTTTATCATTGATTAATCTCTACGAGATGAGCTTTACACTGCCGTCACAGAGAGCTTTAAGAGGTTATCAATTAGCAAGCAATCAACCAAAACAACATACACTGAAGGCCATAGATTACATGATAACAAATAGAATTAACACAGGCCTAGAAAACTTGCAAATAAACGACTAAGACCTGCGCAGTTTTGACAGAAACTGGTGTCATACTCACGAAGAAGTTCAAGATTCATGGCAGATTTCTGTTTGTATTCCTTTTACCGCATAAATGATCACATGAACACGACGCTATTTACGTGATGCTCGAGGATCCATATATTCCTTTCAAAAAGTTTCCAATAGTAAGTACGACTTTGCCGCCTCGCGTGTCGATCAAAGCGATTAATTTATCTTTTGTTGTCAGCGCCAGCGGTTTTCCATCTTAAAGGTGCGCACGCTCCCGTTAGGACGCCGCTCGACGCTCGACGGGGAGACGTGTGAAAAACGCTTTGCTTTGGCTTTTACTTAAGTGCCGTTTTCATCTATGTTTCATTAAAATCACTGATTTGAGATGTCACGTCGACGAAAGGTAAGACCGTTATTAATTTGTAAACACGATAAACCGTTTTGTGTGGGCGGTCGTTCGCAGAAATGTCAAAGGGAAAAAGAAGCTGAGTTGAAACTTCGGCAATAAGCCAAGTGGAAATTAACAGATCGAAGATTTTACAACGTAGTCTAGAATCTGCAGTGTAAAATTCCCAGTAGATTTCGCGATCTCCTTAAAAAGACATACTTCAATTAATAAATAGATTCGTTTTCGGGGCCTGAAGTTACGGTAAAGAAATTATGAAAGGGTCCGTACGCTGATAATTTGATCGGCATAATTAATGCCAGTTCAGCCTCATTGAAAATGAAACGTTTTATTTTTTTAGAGATCAGCTCTTCTGAATTATGAGCTTCTGTGGTACATTTTTTTTATCACAAGCTAATACAGAACCAGATCAAAACCTTAGTTCTTTTAATACCACATGATCATCAGTTAATTTATGTGCATTTCACGAAAAGCATCTAAATCGATGAATCAATCGAAAAATACCGTACAAGAATTAATTATAACTACAGAATTAATGAACTTGTAGATTGCACAGTTTAGTAGATTTTTTACTGCAAAGCGATTCCAGCTCTTAATTATGGTTTTGCTCAAAATCCTTTTAGGACAGCAAGATCTGACTTGACGTGACCACCTCTCTGGTCTAAACATTAGTCGCTGTTTTTTTTTTTTGCCATGTTTGTTTTGACTAAATCTAATCTAGCGATTTTATTGTAGATTAGGACAAAGGTACACACCCAAATCTACTCTCTCGCCAGTTCCAGTTTTCTTATCTTGTGATTGGCTTGTGACTTATTTTTACCTTTTATCTTCTGAGTTTGTCTTGACATGTTTTTTGTGTTCTTTTAGAAAAATATGTATAACCCTCTTGTTCTCATTCCTTCCTATTTTTGAAATTCCAGTTTTGCTCCATGCTTTCTTTAAGTGGTTTGGATTCTTGAGATCATCATCCTTTTTTTTGCTGTATAATCAAGTTTTCCTCCTTGGGGTTGTAAACATTTATTGTCATTTCAGAAATGGAACATATATGTTTGTGGCACTTCATCTTTGTTAAGTCTTTCAAATGAAAGTGAAAAAGGTCCTAATACCAGACAGTTTAGTGCCAGGAAATTACTGTTTTTATCATCAAGTTAAGAGCTGAATTTGGCAGTGATAAATTTAGCTCTGCACACATTTATTTTCATCCTCTTTTTGGAGCAGAGTGGAGCAATTGAAACGACATCCAAGGATCAGAAAGCTGATAATGATGACGATAAATTAACAATGAATGATTCCAAGGTGGAATGGAGTGATCAGGAGAAGAGACGTCTTTTAGATGCTTTAAAAAAGTATGTTAACCCTCTAACCCCTAAGAGTGACTGGCATCTAATTTCTCCTCACAATATCACCCCTGAATAAAACATTATGGTCATGAGAATAAGGGAAATGATCAACAACTAAAGAAGCTCGTGATTGTTAAACAAATTCTCCTTTTCAGAACCTTAAGTAAATGTATAGAGAAAGTATGGAGAATATGCATACTGATGTTAGAGTGTAAGTGGGCCTAACCCTTTGACTCCAAAGATCTGATTGTCAATTCTCCCCATAAACTGTTATACATCTCCTAACCTTATAAATTAGCTAAAAGAATTTGGTTTTTTTAGTTCAAGAGAACAATCTCTACCTGAGGGGTTGGAATATTTTCATTACATGTTTGCTGGATAAGTTAGCGAGATGGTACATGTTAATCACTTCTAGGAGTTTAAGGGTTTAGATGCAATCATTGAAAATAAATGCGTATTGCATAAGGGCCCCCTTAATTTTTTTTGGTCATTTTGGAAAGATCACTCATTGTAAGTTACTGAAGTTCTGCCAGTGCCTTTGCTTGTTTTAGCATAACTATCATTTGCTATCTCCAAGCAGCTGTGCATTCCCTCCTTTTTCTAGTAATTAAGCTATGAGTAACTTAATATTGTTTCTATTTTTCTTGTTTGAACCTTTCTGTAATTTGTCAGATTTATAAAGCAAAAATTAAAAATGATAAGCCATAATAATAATGGTTTTGAAATTTATTTCTGTCTCAATAATGCTTTTTATTTAACCAGCTGGAGGCTGACAGTTATGTTGTTAACATACTTCAGGGTAATGTGTGTGAAATATTGCTTTCATTCAATTTGACACAGAGATGAGGGAAAAAACAACTGGCGTTGGATTGCAAGACAAGTGAAAACAAGAACAACAGCACAGGTTAATTAGAATGCATAGCATTTTGAATTTTGTTGTTTAATTTTCTTGGCTGATGAATTGAGCTGCTGATTGACATTCTGTCAATCAAGTTAAAAATGTTATCTAACCATCATTATTTCTACATACATGTTTTGTGTCTGAGTAACAGGCAAGAGAAGCTTATGAAATATTTTTCTGCAGGTGAAAGACTTTGCTTCAAAACTCAGGACAGAAAAGCAAGGTTTGTTAACTTAACAAGTGAAGAAGTTATATTGAAATTTTGAAAATCATGCCTTAAAATTTCCTCATTTGTCGGTCTTCTGTGTTTTCTTGTTCAGCATCCAACAAGAGACCAATTGCACCAAAAGATGACAGTCCACTTGAGGTATTAAAAAACTTATTTCATGGAAAATGACATGACTTTGTGTAACTTTCTGTGCTGCTGAATTTGAATGTTATTTTTTTTATTATGTTGTGTGTCAAGGCATGGATTAATGTGACAAAGAGACTGAGAGGTGACAGTGATGTAGATGGGACTTGTATTCCTCAGGTATGAATTCTTCATTTGGCTTGTTAAACATTTACAGTACAAATAAGCTTAGTACATGTGAAGATTCAAGTTATTCTTTCATATTCCTGCATCAAGTTCCTTAATGATGGTTTTGGTAGATCTCTGTATTGATCTTGAATTATCAAGCTGATTAAAGGATTGTTAACTGCAAATTCTGTGAACTTTTTGGATTTTTAAGCGTATCCACTAGGAATGACTAAGATCTTTCCTATGGGTGGGAGGTAGTATTCTTAATTAATCTCATGCATTGCTCCTTTGTATGGCATTTTTTGTGAGAGTGTGAAATAATGTAGAGATTTAATTAAATTTTAGCTCACAATGATTTAAATCTATTTGACCTATATGTCCAACAAAATTGTACATGTTGTTGTATATTGGCATTAAGTCAAACACAGTGGTACATGATGTTGTAGGTTCAGATTAAGTATAGTCTCAAATGGGTGTAGTCATTTTTAATTTCATATCATTTTGTTTGTTTTTCCCTATTAAGTACTTTATTTGAAAAAAATCTGAGCGACATTGCCAACAAGACATATATGCAACTGCAAGCATAATCTTTTTTGAAGGTGTCTCTGATCAACCTTAAAATGTTGATATGGTTGCAAAAAGAAAAGTTCCATTTCCAAAAGGAAAAAGAGCATTGTGCAATGTTGCATGACATAATATCACCACTTTCTTACCCTTATATAGTAAGTGAGAGGACTTATAGCATAGTGGTGTGCCAATGAAGTTTACCTTAAATTCTTACTTTACTATAATTTTTTAGTTACTTTATTACAAGACTGTATACATTTCCCTGATGAAAAAATTTTTGGAAATTCTAAGACCAATTGGTGACTGATTTGGTTCAAACTGTGTGCTCCTGCTGCTAATTTAAGGTTAAAGTTATAGATATAAGGTAGACTAAATTTATATGAGAAGCCACTGAGAATGGAAAGGCATCCTCCCAATGCCTTTTACAACAGAATCAAACTGCAGAAACAACACCATCTGAAGAATTGTTGGAAAAGGAAGTTAACAGCTGCAACCATGTTGACCCTGGTATGGAGAAAAGTGACGAAAATAAAGAGGAATCACAGGATCCGGCAGGTGAAAGCACAGATGAAAATCAAACTGGTCCAGGATCCAAAATCAACCATGACAAAAGCAACCGTGAGATAGACTATATTATGGTAAGACTATGAGGATATCAAACCTAACTGCACCAAGCAAAATACTCATCAGTGCCAAAATTTTTCCATTTAGAATTTAATGCTGATTGGGGTTCACTTCATACATAGTCTATGTGATGTTATTAGAATGTAGAAAAAACTGCATACTGGTACTTCATAGTTTAAAGCTGCATCTAAAATAGGCAAAATGAGCAAAGAGATTTTAAAACTGTAGGGTCTGTCTGGTTTTTTTTTTTTTACCTCTTCTGTGTTGGAGAGGGAATACTCTCTTTCACCAATTCAGTGTTTGTGCCCTATCCCTGTATTAGACCTACCACACTGTCATCTTGAATATTTGCGGGAACATCAAATACAAAATGCCCATCTTACATGATTACTTTCAGGTTATTTTAGAACCAAGTTAACTTTATAATCCCAGGTCACAGATAAGGTCTTGGAAAAGGTCATGGAATTTAATGATTTCTAAAGATTGCAAACCCTGAATGACACAAAGTTTCTTCTTGTCATTCTTCAATTTTTTGTTTTTGTTTTTTGCAGAAGGACATTTTGACTAATCAGAGACAAATGATGGAGAAAATTGATGTTTTAGACTCCAAACTTGAAAAGCTGCAGTCTAATAACCAATCCTCACCGTCAACTGTAATGGAATTGTTGGCTAAGATCAATGAAAGACTCGATCAGCTCAGCAAGAATGCATCCCATGCTTGTTGTGGTGGACCAATCATTCTTCAAACAACTCGTCATGCCAATGTTGTACATCAACCTGTCCTTGATCCCTGTCTATCTTGTAGAGACATGATAAGAAACGACAGAACTGAAATTTTACCAGTAGCTCCTTCAGAAGATAATATCTCAAGCATCTCATGTCCTTTAAACACAAATTATGAATCAACAAAAACTTCAAATGTAAATAGCACAGGGAATGATTCTTCTAAGTGTGTTTCTGGGCAACAACATTGTATGGATTTTGTCTCCGACAAGCAGAATGATTCTTACCCTGAACCACAAATTATGGTTACCAGCCATCACACATCTTCTCCAAGAGTTACCTCAAGTGTTCATGGTGCACCTCCTGAAGATCTCTCTGAACCACCAAAAAACAATAAAGGTAGCGTTCTGAAAAAGGTGTCTTGTGTATCAGAAAGTGAGGACATTTCACCAAGTATGTCAAGTGAACAAACTTTGCCAGCCACTAAACATTCTTCAAAGACAGATGCTTATATTTTTCTCAGTAAAGAAAGTAGCTCCATGCCAAAGGGATCCCAATGTAAAACTGTAATTGTTAGTCAACCTCCAATCAGTGCGATAAACAACTCTCCTCCATCAGCAAAAGAAGTTTCAAATTTTTCAAGACAACAGCGAATTTCATCCTCTCAAGCTGAGTGCAGAAATGTGTCTTCTCCTTCATGTACTCAACATTTTATAACAGCATCCACACATGTTCCTTCTGTAAACAGGTCACAAGTGCGAATTACACCCTTATCCCAGCCGTCTTTTAGTGGTGGTGAGATTGTGTTATCTAACAGCCATGCTGTTGTAAAAAATCCATCATCACATGCAACAGAAATGCAGCTTGATTATAAATCCACGGCAACAGTTTTTCCAGACACTTCATGTACTGTCTCCAGCCTGTCATCTGGACCAAGCCATTTTACTCCACAACACGCCATCTTGGTGGCTAATGGCTCTACCAGCAGTACACCATCACGTAATACATGTGATAAACCCTCTTCAGGTGTTCAAGTGCTTCAAGAACCTTCACCTCCAGTGCAAAAGAACATTCCGCCAGGTTACATAGCCCTTTCACACACTCCAACTGTTCCCCCATCTCCAAGCACACCAAACAACACAACTGCATGGCAGCCTCAAACAGTGATGTCAACAGGGTCTAGTCATGCCATGCATCAAAGAACAGAGTTCCACAGTTCCCCAGCCTCACATGCCATTCTTTCAACACCTGGTGAGTGAATTTAGACATGCATGCAGGTAATAGGTACACATTACCACATGTGTCTCTAATCTTTTTCAAGCCCAATATTTTTGGTAGAATCATACAAAAAAGAAAAGGGAAGTCAAATTAAATGCCAAATTAAATAATGAAAGAAAACTAATAATGCTTATCATATCTCTTTATGAGGGCAGATACAGTTGTTACAACCAAATTAATTAAATAGAAATTATTTTTAACCTTGTTTCAGTCTTTGTCAAAATAAAAAGAATATGGATTATCCTTTGGTTTATCAAAATATTATATTTCGCAAGATTTGGTAGAAATGGGTGTTCTTAATTCAAATTTACAGGACATCTAAGTTGCAGAAATAAGTCATCAACTGAAAATGGTTCTAAACCCATATTAAAGACATTTGAAAAATTTGCAAAGAGATGAATCTTATGCATTGATGCCAATTTTTATTAAAAAAAAAAAAAAAAAAGTAAAAGAAAAAAGAACGGACAGGACTTTTCTTTGACTTTTATTTCTTGTGCTAATGGATTTTTTTTTTGCTCTCCAGATGAAGTTAGTGGTAGACAAGACAAAGTCTCAAGACGGGATGTTCTCAGTGCAGGTACATGTATTATCAGTTTATCCCTTAAACTCCAAGTAGTGATTAACATGTAACTTCTCCCTTTAATATCCATACATTATCCAACAAATAGGTAATGAGAATATTGAAAATATCCAGATAAAAGTTGTTATCTGGATTTAAAACTAAATTCTCATCACTAATTTATAAGGAAATGTTTAGCAGCTAGAGGGGAGAATTCACAATCAGATCTTGTGAGTGAGAGGGTTAACATTTATATTGACTAAGTTTTGCATTCAGTTACTTGAAACAGTGAGGAAAATGGGAACAGTCTACCTTTGATATTTTTAGGCAAGATTTAGAATGAGAAACTCAAACCTTAGACTTTCTGTTAAAGATTTTTAAATTAAAGTAACTGATTCCTGTTATTGTTCCCCCTTTCAGCCATGTTACTCAGTACCTATGTCTCAGAACACCCTAATCAACAGGATCAATTACACTGGCAGTCCTGCCTCAATGCAATAATCGCAGATAATCAAGGAAAAAACCAAGATCAGCCCAGACAAGATCTTTCACAGCTTGGTAAGAGTGTCATTTTTTGGAGCATGTCATGTTGGTGTATGATCATGTTCCCATAACCAAAGAGGTTATTTTATTCCAGTTTCAGTGGGTGGTAGTCCACACGTCCTGATGATTCAACATGAACTAGAAGATGTCTACAAGAAATGCAGAACTCGTCCACAGTTCTTTTCCCTGCGGTTGGCTGAGAGGCTATTTGGACTTGATGTAATGATGAAATCCACGCCTAATGGGATTGGAGGAAAAGCAGCTCTAAACCCAACAATTTTGGATGCAATCAAAAGTAATTACTTATATCTTAACCCTCTATCTCCCAAAAGTGATTAACATGAAACTTCTCCCCATAATATCCCATACATTATTCAGCAAACAAGTGATGAGAATATTCAAACTTATCAGGTAGAGGCTGCTATCTTGATCTAGCACCAAGTTCTCATAACTAATTTTCAAGGAAATGTGTAGGAGCTAGTGGGAAGAATTAAAAGAATTAACAATCAGATCTTGGGAGTTAAAGGGTTAAGTGAAGTAAAGTCTCAACAAACATTTGCATAAGCACACTACTAAAACTAAAGCCTGGCCAGCTTGTAATTAACCCTTTAAATCACAAGATCTGATTGTTGATTCTCCCTTCTAGCTGCTACACAATTTTTTTGTCAATAAGTTATGAGAATTTGATGTTAGATCAAGGTAACAACTTCAACCTGATAATTTTGAGTATTCTCAGTACCTGTTTACTGGATATTGTATAGATATTATAGGGAGAGGTTACATGTTAATCACTTCTGGGAGTTAAAGAGTTATTAAGTAAAAGAGTAAATACCTTCATTGGACCCTCAGAAGAAGGCCTTAGGTTATTGCCGGTACTTAGTTTTGATAGACAGGGTGAAAGACAAATGAATACAAGGGGAGATTTGGTGTCAGATCAAGATAACAATTTCTACCTGATAACTCTGAGTATTCTCATTACCTGTTTGCTGAACAATGTATGGATATTTTAGGGAGAAATTACATGCTAATCACCTCTGGTAGTTAAAGGGTTAATAAGACCAAATTATCTCATAGGGTTAAAGACAGACAGGCAGAAAGATAAACTGTTTAACTGATTGACTGATTGACAGATCATTGCATCAAAACTAATCATCTAATTATAATAATACCCACAATTTTCTAACTTTGTTTGGATCAAATGTTTGAAAAAGAAGCAAATATCTGTAGGTACTGGTATATTACTCTTGAAGTTGTGAAAAATGTTAACTTGGTTTCTCTGTTTATCTCTTTTTAGCTGAAGTCCTTCAGAGGTTTGGTTCAGGAGTGTCTCCTGAACAACAGACTGAGATGTGGAAAGGCTGCATGACCAGTATTGCTCAGAGGTGCAAAAGACTCCGAAATCCACGGAGGAACAGGTCACCAATGGTCACAGTAATCAGTAATGACAATGAAGGGCCCCCTTCTATGGCAGTGGGCAAAGAATTGCGTCTTAACATGGCTGGAAATCCTCAAACTGAGTCAGATGATGAAGATGAGGAATTTGATATGGATAATTTGAATCATCCAAGTTCACATAAAACTCCAACTCTAGTCAGATTGTCATCTGACAGTGAACAAGAGGATTCACATGGCAGCATTCACAATGTTTCTTGTAGGAGTGGAAACATTAAGATTCACAACGTGAAACAATTGGAAGACTCTGGAAAGCAGATGAAGCCAGCTGTTAATTCAAGGGAAGAATCTGGGGATGAGGGAGCAGCTGTACATGTTCCTCCAGGCATTGACCCAGACATAACAGTTGTTCACTTGCCATCCACTCTGGAAACAGCATTACAGCCTAAAGAATTAAACAAACAACTGGGCATAGCTCTCTCTCGAGCCAATGGAGCAGACACCTTTATCAGATTGAAAGAAAGTGAAAGTTCTGATGCTCATCCCACACATATTCAGGAACCCTATATGCAGACAAGAGACACTGTGTCACCTGGGCATAATTTACCTGTTGCTTGCAAATATTCTGGAGACCGTCCACCTGTAGAAGGAAATATTTACAAGCCTGGTGGGACATCTGCTGAAAATATCATAGTGTCCGGCATTAAAATGACTCCAGACTGTAAGTTTATGTAAATTATAGGCCTATATTTTACAGTGAATGTACTATAACCACTTAAAATACTTAGAGTAACAGTACTGCTCAGGAATTTGAAACCCAAATAATTTGACTGGATTCAACAGGGTTGATATGGGTCCTGGAAAACCTGGAAAATCCTGGAATTTTATTTCGACATCTCCAGGACTGGGAAAAGACCACAGGTACTGGAAAGTCCTGAAAATCTTCTTAACTCAAGGGATAGAGTTTTTAGAATTTTGCATGTCCAAAATGTATTTTAGACCATAAGGAGAATTGATTTTGAACTCTTGGGAATGAAAGGGTTGAAGGTGACCTGGAAAAATTAATCTGAGTCCAGGAAAGGTCCTTGAAATTTCTTCCTGAAAAAGGGTACAAACCCTGCACATGTGTGTGAGTATTGTGCACATCCACCAAATGAATGCAAACTTGAACAATGTTTGCTCTTTGGCTTTGATTTAGCTGACTTTCTCTTTCCTAAAGATCTACATGTATTTTGCTGTGCAGCTATGTTATGTGGTGCTTTTATCCATGAAGTTTCTTGCTTCATGGTTCAGACATTTTTGTGCAAAGGCAGCACTTAGAGCTGCAGTTCAATGTTTTCAGTTCAACCATCCACCTTTATTCTGTGCTCATTAATCTTTAAGAGACCTAAAATTTGACAATACGAATGGCTTGAGTGCAAATACTGTGTGTTGAAGGTTGTCCTTCTTTTTAGCTGTCATGGTTAACTGTCTGGTTCTGGATTGATGTTATCTTTTCCAAAATGCATAAGTTGAGTAGACAAGTAAGTTAGCAGCCTCAACAATTGGCTGATGAGTTATTCCATTAACAAGAATTTATGTTTCTTGAACAACTGTGACTGGCCCTTTCATCATGATTTTGATCCAACTACAAAACGGTGTCAATAAATCTTTTGTAACAGGCTGTGCTCTTGCTGAAACTTTCACAAGGTAGCATACTTGTTCAACGACATGTCCCAATGGCCAATCTGAAAGTACCAAAATACAGTCTTTTCTATTTCCCAGTAGATCATACTACAAGTATTATCCCCCACAAAAATATCCCAAAAGTTGTTCAGGAAGAGTTGAAAAGTCAAGGTCAACATGCAGAGATTCTCCGAATAAAGGGTACGTATCTAATCTCTTGCTTTAATTGTTATTTTATTTTATATTTTCATTGTGCACATCTGCATTTATGGCAGATGTACCGTAGACCTATTATTGGGTATTTGTTTTTTTTTTTTTAAGTTATTTTCATTGTCCTTTTGAGGTTGCAGTGCTTCCCTCTCAGAAGGATCGACTAATTGAGACTGTTTTTTATGTTTATTTCTTCTCTAGATGATTCTTCTAAATTGAGTCAAATAAAAGTAAAGTATATTTACCTGGAGGATTCTGGAAATGCCCGTCTTTTCATACAGCAAGACCAGGCCATGGAGACACCAGGCGAGGCAAATGCCACACCAGAAAAGCCCCGTGTGCATTTGCAACAGCCATCTACTCAACCAGCACCTCAGGAATTAGCAAAAGATGATGATGCTACACTCCTTCTACTTCACTCACGGTCAGCATCAGAGCAAAACTTTGCAGTGCAATTGCTGCGTCATTTCTTTAAGCCACATGAACTTGATGGCCGAAATGTTAGAGGAGTTGGGGGAAAGCTTGCCTTAAATCCTGAAAAAATCAGTAAAATCAAAGGAATTGTATTTAGGTTTTTTCCATCCTCTCTTGCACAGCAAGAACTGTTGTGGCGTGATTGTCGAAGAGCAATTGACGCATATCTACGTAATAGAAAGCCCAGGACTTCTGTTGGGTCAAAGCTTTCTTCTTGAGCATTTTTTTAAGTTTGATTGTTTAATTTAAGCTATATTATCATTTAGTTCCCAATGCAATCTAGAAGTGAGCCTAGGAATTTTGTTAAGTCAAAGTTTTCTTCTTAAGCATTTTATACAGTTTGTTTGTCTGTAAAAGTAATTTTCACTAAATCTTAATAAAAATTAAAGTTATCATCATTTTGTGAGGTTATTTTCTTGCCATATTTCCTTAGTAAAATTTGATACAAGTTTGCCTCATAACTGAGGCAAACTTGTGGTTGCACCTTTTTTACTCTCTATCTGTTTGTTACTCTGACAAATGGCTAATGCTGGAAACATCATCTTTCAAAGTTCTTTACAGTGGCCAATTTACTTTGTCAATGCAGATGAAATGCCAAATTTTCTTGTATTACCCCCACTGACGCAGAACCTAAGTTTCTGTAGAAACTTTCTTCCTTAATTCATTTATGCATCTTTTTGTCTTTCTGGTAGATGGTTACTTCTTTAATTCATTGCCATATGGTAGCATCAACCTTTTTCTTTAAAACTAGATGCTAGCATTCACCTGCTACTCTGGTTTGTTTCTTATGAAAAGAGCAACTGATTGAGTCGTTAAGGGTAGTTTGTTTATGTCGCCTGCTGTTGGTGACATACTATGGTACTTCATCATTTTTGTTTGGACTTGTCACTTAGAAATTGATGAATTTTTTATGAGGGCATCCCTTACTCAATATTACTCTTATTAAAAAGTCAAAATACCAACAGCAAAAGGTCAGGCAAATTCCTTTTTTACTTAATGAGTATAACCACAATGAACTGCCACCAGCATTATTTTGTGAAAATGTTCATTCTGGTTAACCAGTTTACCACACCCCAAGGAATGAAAAGTCTTATGTATTGACTGTGTTTGTTTGGGTGACATGATTTGCAATTAACAAACATCTGAGCAGTGCTGTTACTGAAATAAACTAATATTCCTACAGTAATTATCATACTGCTATTGCAACTCAATAACAAAGCATTTGAGATTTTGTAATGTCCTTGTTAGGGATTCTGTTTAGTAGACTGCTTACCTGGATTGAAGGGTGGCTTATTGACAAAGGAGGTCATATGTGTAGCAGATGAATGAACAACATTGCATGCCATGTGCATAAAAACACATGAAACAAAGATTTTAGTTGATAAAATCCTACCATGACCTGCAATTGTAATACCAATTATTTAGCTCTACAGTAAAATTGATGCTGCAGTTTAGGGATAAGGTGTGTAACAGAAATTTCAGGAGTTACTTCTAGATAGGGGAGGTTGACACTTGGTGGGAAGAATCAATATTTTAATTGAGCTTGGTTCTGAGACCCATACATATTTCACATGTGGTAATTTTTAACAAACACTGAATTTTATGGTAACTTAATTTTAAAAATCTTGAATGGTCAGTACTGTTGCTATGGTGTTGGGTATTGTAATTGTGATTTAAAAGGATGATGATAATAACTGTGATGAGGATGATTATGGTTGTTGTAGGGTGGCAGTTGCAGTGGTAGTATTGATAATAATGGATAACATTTCTGAGTCTTCAATACTTAACCTTTCACACTCTAACATCACTATGCATATTCTCCATACTGTCCTTTATACATTTCTTAAAGTGCAGACAAAGAGAATTTGTATAACAATCAATGGCTTCTTTAGTTGTTGATTATTTCCTTATATTGTATTATTTATATAACCTTCATGTTTGATTCAGGGTGATTCTGTTGGGAGAAATTAGATGTTAATCACTCTTATGGGTTAATGGGTTAACTTGTCTTTTGTTTATTGATTTACATGTCAAATAGACTCCTATGTGCTGGTTGGAGGAAACCCAAATGTGGCTCTGCCACGTCAAAAGTATCTTGATTCACTCACAAGATCAGGGCAGCCAACACACTTTGCAGTCCGTCTGGCAGAGTTGACTTTTGGAGACGAGGTTCTTAGGGCATCAACAGTGACAGGAGCCAAACCTGGCACTTTACAGTTAGATCCAGCAGTCATTGATGCCATTCAAAGTAGGTTAATGATGTTCACTTCTTAATGCTACAACAGGATATTAATTGAGCATTCTTGAATAGTTTCCAAGTTCCCAAAAGATTATTGCATGGGGCTGCTTGATTCTCTCAAAAATCGTACATGTCGGTGATGCTTGACAATAAGGCTGGAAAGTTTATGACACCCTCTCAACCAAATGGATTTAAATCTTACACCAGTTGTTACTTCATCACTCCTGTTTTGATGTCCCTGAGACCAGGTATGAGTCTGTGTTTAAAGATACTAATTATTTTTTGATGTTTTTAATTTTTCATGCATTAGCTGAGGTGATCGACAGGTTTTTAAAAGACCTAAACAAAGAACAGCAAGCAGTAGTTTGGCGGAAGTGTGTCACAAGTATAGCCACAAGGTGTAAAACCCTTCGGTACAACAGATCCAAGGTGCAGATGGCACAAGGCGAACATCAGTGGACAATTCATCCTAGCCATGTTACAGATGACAAACCACAGTAGACAAAGGAATGGCAACTTGTAGAACTGTTTTCCCTTAAGAAGCTACCAATACATGCAGTTTCTCAATATTCAAAGAAAATTTCATTCTACTATCCTTTGAATATGATCATTACTTAGTGATATTTATTCATATCTAATAGCACTTTGTGAGTAACTTACACTTCATAAATTTCATTTGAGTTTTTGGTTGAAATAAATTAGGTGGTATTCTGTGAGTATTTTTTAGGTACATGGAAAATTTCCTAGCTGGTCAAACAAGACAATCTGCTTAGTGGTGGGGAAGTCTGAGTGTGTTGTCAAAAATGGCAGTGTGGTAGCAGAAATAGCATAGATGTGAGCAATGAATGATATCTGGTTTGCATGGCAGGTTGTTGGTGAGCCTGTGTACTAGCTAATTTAAAAAAAAAATGAAAGCAAACTAATTTTCTTGGTATTGTGAATGTTTTTAGAGGGTTGAAGCATGAGATGTGCATCATACAGCAGACAGTAAAATTATTTACTTTTAAATTATGAAATGGAGGCATAGCAGTTCATGATGCTTACTTTCAAGAGAAAATAATTTCATATCACAATTTTAAAGTCGTAGAGTCTTAAAAAGAGGCTTTATTGAATTTTTTTTTTTTGAGTCTTTAGTTGTACCCAAGGTGTCTCCATTGTTATGGACAATAATTTGAATAGCTTAGCTCTTAAGAAATTATATATTAATCTGTGTTAAGTTGAGCAGTGTCCAATATAGGAGGGGACCTAAAGCTAATTCTAAGTTATTTGTTGACCCACTTCAAAATAATTATAATTTCAGATGAATGCGGCATAAGTTAAATTTCCTTTATAAGTAAGGAAGTAAATCTTCAATTGAAACAAACTTTCAGTGTCATTCTTTTTTCCTGTATTGAAGTAATATTAAGGTAGTATCTTTTGAACAGTTTTAGCTTACTATGCAAGTACTTGCATTCATTTTACAAAATGACAAGATGAGAGGATTCATTAGAATGAGAGAATGTGAGGGATGATTTTGTCAATTTAATGTCAAATGAAGGTGTTTGGTTTTTTTCTCTTTTTTCACTGGAAAGGCAAATCAGAATAGTTTAAGGTGGCTTATACTTTTGACTTTCAGGGGCCCCCAGGGCTCATTTAAGTTATTTGTAGCCTCTCTTTAAAAGAATTATAATTTCAGATGACTGCTGCACAAGTTAATTTTTTTTTAAATAAGGAAGTAAATCTTGTAATAACAACAAAGCCAGCTTTTAATGTTATAATTTTTGCCTGTTTTGAAGCAATAATAAGTATTAATTGAATAGCTATAGCCTACTCTATGCACATTCATTTTTCACATAACAAGGTGAGAGGATTCAACAGAATGAGAGAAAGTGAGGTGTCATTTTTTCAATTTCATTGTTTAAAAAAAGGATTGTGTTTTTGTTTGTTTGTTTTTCACTGGAAAGGCAAGTACAGTTTTGAGTTTGTGTTTGTTTGAATTGATTATAAAGGGAGAAACATTTAGTCCCTGTGAGGACCAGTTTCTTGTTTCAGTTCCTTTTATGATAGAAACTTGGAATAATCTCCTGCAACTATAAAAAGTAGAACTGGAAAAAGCTTCTGAATAAAGCACATGTTACTTAAATGCACTTTTAATAGATGTACAGGCCTTAAGAAACATTTGTTTTTGCACACACTGATGCAATAAAAAGACCAGTTTAATTTGTGAAGTTGGTAATAGCTGCCTGAAATTCATGCACTGAATGCTGCTGAAAAGTTTTTGATTATGTACTTCCTTATAATTAGTTAACTTAACTTACCAAAACCAAGGAAAGAATGTGTGGGGGAAGCACAGGGGCACACCACTCATCCAATAAGATTTTTAATAACTAGGTAGTTTCCAAAGGAAAATTGGAGACCTAAACCCTATCCCCCAAAACTTTGAACAAAATTAGAAAAAAAATTATTTACCTGATAAAGCACATCACAATTCAGCTACCCCTAGACAAGAGCCCCCCCCCCCCCCTTTCCATATGATCAGCTTAAAAGGACTAAATTTTTTAACAATTTTTATGGCACTTAACTGTAGGAAGTACTGCATACTAAAGGAAATAAGCAGAAAAGGGTTGATGCAGGTTTTAATTAAGTGTCATCAAACTGGGCACAAAGTGTACTTATCATGGCTGATCAGAATGAAAGAAGACATTGGAAGGAATCAGCAAGATGCTGATGTGTGTAAAAATATAGGTGACTAAGCAAGTTGTAATGGGTTTCAGCTACCCCTCAGATTGGTCAAGATTTTTCTTAAGGTTAACTGATAGAATACATATTCCTTTTGACTCTCAATTGAAACTTGCTCTGTTGCTGCATACCTTCTGAAGAAAATTGAGTTATGCTTAAAATGCCTGATATCCTTTTTTACATCCATACAGATTATGACAATTGCAGCCATGGAGCCAGTGCAACCTGGAGATGGTAAGAAAACATTTTGAAATGTCTTTAACCCTTTAACTCCCATGAGTGACCAAGACAGAATTTCTCCTTACAATATCAACACAATATCAATTAGTAATATCAATTAGATAATTAGTTAATCCAATACTAAATTCTCTGAACTAACATTGAAAGAATTGTATGGTTGACAGAGTTAAAGAAATGTATGCAGTTAAAGAAATTATGCATAAGAGATTTCAAAGACATTGCATCCTGAACTAGGAAATGAAAATTGTGAATGAGAAATCTCAAGTTCTTTTTCAAACCTTCCTCCAGAAGTTTTAGGCTCAGCCTTGAGATAAAGCACTTTTAAATTCATTTTCAAATTAACCAAATAGAGTCTAACTATTGTAAATCATTTGTTGAGTGACAAGTAAATAAATGTTTCTCTTAAGCTCAGGCATTGATTTTCTCATTTTGGTGTGCATGAAATGTATTTACCAAGACTATCTGTGAAACTGGATTAAATTCTGGGGAGGGGGTAGGGATAGGCTGTAATGAACTAGCACCCCATCCAGGGGCAATAGACATACTCCTTGTCACTATATGCTATGGAAGGCAGGGTGTGCGCCAAGGATGTGCCACCTGATCTTTGAGTGGCCACAATTTCATTATTAAAAACATGTTGCATGATTTGATGCACAGGGGAGGCTTCATCACCAGATTACAGTCAGATATACACCTTGCTAGGTAGAGTGATGCGAGGTCAGCCACCTCCTGACCTCACCCCTCTTAGTAAGTAATGTTCTGAATAAATATAATTTTAGGCCATACCTAAGGAATACCGGTACATCCCCAACCTTAGAAAAGTCTATCATGGAGAAATCTTATACATAGAGCTAGCTCCTCGGGTTGTGTTCTTTAATAAGGTTTTTTATTCATTCAGTTTTCTACTTCATCTAGGGCTGTTAATGAGAAAATGCCAAGGACACTCCTGACAAATTGTTGAGGAATTATGTGTTATGGACTGACAGACTATTGTGCTGTAAATACCCCCAATAATTTCACGGAGTTTCAGGCTTATTTTTAAGTACCCCACTCTTAGAACTAAAGACTTGCTCTGGGTTTTCATTTTTAGAGGAAGTTAGCACTTTTCTATCTTGCACTTTGTCCTCATTTTTTGAGCAACAACTACACTTACATACTTTGAGCTCAACGTTTGTCCCAGAATTGACAAGAATTATTCACTGCATACTAAGAAGTGCTTGGGATGTTTCTAAATCCATAGCTTTTGTGTTCAACTCATTTACTTTAAATTGTTGATTTTATTTTTATTTGTCTACATAACCTTGTAGCTCTCAATAACATTCTCATATGAACAACTTTTTCATTCACCATCACACACAGGATTCTGAACAAAGACTCATTTATGTTTACATTCTTGACCCCAAATGTAAAACTCCAATCAATATAATGAGTCTTTTCCTTCTTTTTTCACTGCAGGTGCTCGAGTTATCTTGGACTTGATGGCAGACCTTGATCGTCGTCTTGCAGGTCATGACATTAGTAGCCAAGTAAACTTTATCACTAACAAGTACAAAGAAGTGATGCAGAGTCAGGATACTGCCTTATCTTCAGAGCAGACACAAGTTCCTTCAGGTCAAGCTGAAGCAGCATGCAGCACCTCTGATCCAGGTCCCAGTAGTTCTGGCAAACCAAAGACACCACTGTCTTCTCTAAACCCCTTGAATGTTCCAGTAAAATTACTTAATCTGAAGAAATCAACTCCAGTTTCCAGCTCACAGTCATAATCAGTTGAAGTAAATATGTAAAAACTATGTAGCTTTTAAACTCTTCAGACATTTTTGTCTATTATACTCTAAGGTTCTCAAACAACAATTATTTCTGACAAATACTTTATGTTCTCTCCTTCAATACTCAACGAGTGATGTGGCATTTCAGTTCATGTAATTGTATTGAATCCATTTCTTTCAATTTGAAAGAAGCATTTGTTGTCTCATTAGTTCAACAATTTCATACACTCCATCCCTTTCTTGGTGGGGTGTTGTTTAAGCTAAGGAAGGATTACTTGAATAAAGATTTGATTTCTCAGCTTGTTCTAAGGCTTTCTGTAGGTTGGTATCAAATAGTTCACACCTGCAAGAAGAGAGACAGTAATACGTAAGCCTCTAGGTTACCCTAATCACAGTTTTCTTTTTAATTGAGTTTTGTAGATACTTAATTTCGAGGGTAGGAAATTGAATATTTTACATGCTTCATACTTACAAAGAGATCTTGGTTAATAAGAAAAGAAAACTTCAGAATGTGTGACAAGAGTAAAATGATACTTTTCCTGGAAAAAGGCTAATAAAAAATATAATTTTTTGGCTCTTATGCTAAGTTATGGTGCAACACTGTCCATTCTTTACTGGCAATTGTACCTTATTGGCATGTCCAGTGAGTAGAATGGGTTCTTCAGGGCAAAGTCTGAATACAGCTCATAAATTTTTTTGAGGAAAATATCCATTCCAAGTTGTTTTGGGTCTGTTAATACAATGAACTTCAAGCCTGTAGGGAATTCACAGAGAATGAGTAATAATAAGATGTATTCAATTGCAATCAAAAGATAAAATAGGCAAACCCAGCCCTCTTGCAGCTTTCTCTTACATAAGGGAGTTGTGGGGAGGGGGGGCTAATAAGAAGAAGAGAGGAGAGATCTGTGAACAAGATTGAAGACTTCCTCTAAGAACAGGCCCCGGTTCTTCGATGGGTGGATAACGAATTATCTGCTGAATAAATCGCTATTCAGAGGATAAGCCAAAAAAAAAAACATAATACACTATCCAATGGATATAGATTTATCCAGTGATTAGCATTATCTACTCTTTGAACAAATGAAGCCAAGTCCCTATACTGCATCATTTCCTTCATTGGTTTACATGGGGCATGGAGACAGTTGTTAACACTAGTGTTGAGGGTAGATAAACTTATTTGTTGTCAGTTGTCCTTCAAACTCACCTGTGTGTGTCTGATAACAATGGAGTTTAAATGAATCAGCTTCTAAGACTTCAATTCCAGAAGATCTCTGTTCTGGGGACAGCTTTGCAGAGATTGCATAAAGCCTGTTTGTGATCAGAGGTAAACATCTTAAACACCCTGTTTGCACACAGATTTTGTTCAAGAATGAACCCTTACAAGTGAAAGATACTGCCACTAAATTGGCCATCCATTCTTCCTTCTACCCTCTGATGCCCTCCCACCCCTCCCTCTTTCTGCAGCCCCTCTTCTTCCCCCCCCCCCTCCCTACTCTAGATCTGCTCAATGATCCCTTACGTTCTCAAAACAGCGGGAACGTGATCTAAGATTCGTTCTCATGAAATTAGTTAGTTTTTCACATGTGTTTTCAGGACTTGAATAACTTACGGATGAAACATGCTTGCTAACATGATCCGTTCATTTGTTGTCAATTTTGGACGACCAAACTTCAAGGATATTGGGTAGTTATCTTGGTTTTTTATGACTTCCATTGCCTCTCTTCCGTCGGGCAAGCGTTTCCCTGTTACAGGTTCACCGTTTATTGCCAGCAAAGCATGGCCAACTAACAGAAAAGAGTATTTCATTAGCAGTGGTTTAAAAAAAGCGAGACAAGGTGAAGGAAAAAATCATTACCTTTTATGCCATCTCTTTCACCAAATATTACGACCAACTTATCATCTTCGCGAAGCATAATATCTAAAGGGTAGCTAAATGTCTTTTCCACCTCGCTTTTGGGTGTAAAATGATCGTAATGATAAATAAGTCCTCCTGCTCGATTTAGAATGTATACACTAAAGATCGCCATCTTGAATGACGAGTGAAGGCCTGGCGACAGTTTGAGCCTAAAATGGCGTCAGACTTCTTCCAAGCTGTGAAACCTTTCTTGTGTCATTGTGCTTTTTCTAGGAAATAGACCGACTGCTAGGGTGCTGCCTTTGATAAAACATGTGGAAGCCAGAAGAGTCTGCTTCCAGTAGCGACGAAAGCTTTGAGGAAGAAGTTTCCGTGAGGAATTCAGGAAACTTTGAGGCAGGCGCTGGTGCATGTAAACTCAAGTCGGTGTTTGAAAATATTTTTGCCGATATTCAAGCCAGTATTCCCACCTTAGAATTGGAAAATTCCTCGGAGGTAAATTAGAAGTAAATTCAATGTATAAAATAGCTCTTGGTCTTGGAAAATTAAAGGAAAAAATTCCAGGTCTTGATATGTGAGGTGAAACAAAAAATTTGAAAAAAATTATCGTTCGTTGCTTAGGCAACATTAAACAAGCTTACCAGCGGCAAAATAGTAGAGACAGAATCGTACTTTTTTACGGTTAGGGCATCGAAAATGTCAATGATTCCATAGACTATCAGGATTTTTTGTTGGTAATAAGTCGTGTAATGATACGCTAACTGTAAATCCTCCCCAATGTGCGTCATATTCTTGTTCTCCTGATAATTACTTCATTGGACAAAGCGGGCCCAGATTTCTCACCCGTTGTGGGAGGAACTCTAAAATGTAACTCGAGGGACTGATCTCTTGAGGGATTCCTCCATGAAGAAATAACTTTGAGAATTGTAATCGTCTTTCTCTCTAAGGGTTAATTTGCAGATTGTGAGCAATTATCACTCATAGAAATCGGAGGGAATAATCTTACTGAATTAGTATAAATCACCAAATAATTCAAAACCTAGCAATAAGAGAGATTCATGTTTTTGTTTTATTTTGTTTACAACCACACATTGTTTGGCTACTCATTAAACTCACTAAATATCAAGGAATAGATGGTGAGAAGCTTAGCCAATAAGATTGCAGCATTGTGATAGATCACCACTAGATTTATACTTTCTCTAAACTTAGATAATTATTTTATCTCTCAGATAGAATGTGCACTTTTATTAGTCAATGTAGTATTCCACAGTAAGGCTCCTTAAATTTTAAAGTTTGTTTACATTGAAATCTACCCCTCTAGAACCCAGAGATGTAATAAAGATCATACTAACATTGTTTATAAGTTACAGAACCTCATAGGTTTTTTTTTTTTTTTTTGGGGTGGGGGGCAAAAAAAGGTATTGTGCAACTAACTGTCTGTCTTACTCAGTAAGAGGTACATGCCACATACATAGAATGATTCACTTTGTTAGTGCTATTTAACCTAATTCATAAGTTGCATTTTTTATTCAAGGAGAGTGATGATGGTGATGAAGAACCCCTTTTGTACACAAGAGAAGCACGACCTTTGTCACCAAGTATTTCTTTCAAAACAAACTTCCCCAGTGGTAAGGTTGATCATGCTACTGATCCAGCAAGTCCATCAGACAGTGGACTGTTCCTTGTCAGCCCTGAAGGGCAAATGTCAAATGCCTCATCACCCTCAGATGGTGACCAGGTTTGTTGTTTGATAACAATGATTTATGATAAAACAAAAATTTTAGAAATCACAATGATAACAATTTTGGCTATCATTCCTGGCCTGAAACGCTGGCAGAGGTTGTGAGAGTCAACATAAATGCCTTTCAAATGTTTGACTTTTGGTGTTGTTGTTGTTTCCTTTCTTCAGATCAGATTTCTCTTTCTCTCCCTCCATTTTGCTTACACGAGGCAGACAGATCTTTTGGTGTTGTAATTGAATGTGTGGCAGCTATACATATTACAGGAAGTTGATAGTTGTAGAGAGTTTCTAAAGCTGATGCTTCAAATGTTTTCCCTTTCTCATGGGCTCTGATGAAGGGCTAATGCTTGAAATGTAGCTTAAGTTCAAAAACTCTCTATTGGGGTCAATTTACATTTATCAAGTTAAACACAGTTGATAAAACCAAATTACTTTGCAATACCCTTTAACCCCCCCCCCCCCCCCCCAAGTAATGCAGCACCACAGTTTCTTTGGAAACTTACCCCCTTTTAGATATTGCTGGCCCATATTAAAGTAACTTAACCTTTGGTGTCTCTTTCAGGATAGTATTGAATTTCTGAGCAGTTCTCCAGCACTTCTTCCTTCTACTCTTCCAAACAAGTCATTCTCATCAAGCTCTACTCAAACAACAACAGACACTGATGATGGAAATCCAAATGAGCAGAAATCAATGCTGTTAACATCATCTAGAAGCAGAAGCAGAAGCAGAAGCACTGGAACTGATCCAATTGATCCAAGCCATGAATATAACCAGGAGACAGTTGAACTAAGTTTTGACCTCCTAGAGCACTTGAATCTTAGTGATTACCTTGAGCGCACCAATGAAGTTACTGTGCCTCCACTGTTTCCATCTACTCTCAGTGACAGTGACTTCAGTGACAATGCTGATAATAGCACAGACCTCATGGACGAGTTGATTAAACTGAGTAAAAAGCAGCAGAATGATGCTGCACCAATACCTTTAAGTCCCATTGATCATCATCCAAAGGGCCCAGCATGGAGAGAGAAAAATACAGTGCATAGTGTTGGAGTAATGAGTAGCCCACCTGTGACATCTAAAGGAGTCACTGCTTCTTTAGATTCTTCTGTTTCACGTGGATCTAAAACCACAGTGTTCTTAGATTTAAGAAAACAGGAGGAAAAAGCTCCACCTCAGGTCAGTCTGCTTATGTCATAAATTTGTGACACTTTCCTTCTGTTGCACTGGCCTGTGAAAGCAAACTAAGATTTTATTTTTGGGTCAGTGCATGTTGTACAATGCTGATTCTTAGTTCCATGAGAAAATTTAACTTATTGCAATTTCTTAGAACTTAGGTTTTTGAGCAATCAATTGGCATCACCTTCAATGAACCCCAATAGCAATTTCAAACACCAGTTGGACATTAAACCAATTATTACCAATACAGACCTGGAGCTTTGTATTTATACTTGTGCTATGACTTCCAGGAATAGACAAGAAGAAATATCAACCACAAGTGAAATTATAGAATTTATGATCAAAGGGAATTTCATTTAACACTTTTGCATCCAATATTATTAAACTTATGCTAAAATATTTTTTTTTTCAGAGGGGTCAAGCATTGCCTGCATCAATATGCAGAATACTTGGAATCAGCAATGACAGGCAGTCAGAGTAAGTGGATGCCCAAAACTTTAATCAATTATTTTTTTTGTGTGTTGAATTAAAGAGTTCTAAAGACCTCATCTGTTTTTTCTGTGATGGTACTTAATTTAAAGCCTCCTTTTGTAATGAAAAAGAAAACTGAGTAACTGCCTCCTCCGGAAAACAGCATTTGTTTCTGAGATGAGCATCATCGTTCCTCTCCTTGATTTTAACCTCTTATCTTCCCTAGATGTCATTCATAATTCTCTCTTCCTGTTACTGTACGTTTCCGTGTAAATTAGAGAGACAAAGTTGGCAGATAATTTTTGCTGTTTGCATCACCTGTTTTCTGGAAAATGGTTTTAATGGAAAGAGAGGTGAAATGTTAAATTTAAAGGAAGAGGGGTAAAAGAGTTTCCTTCTTAAATACACATTGGGATGACTCATGGCAGGGCTCAAGTCCACGCCTTTCTATCTAGCATGCCTGCCATTAGACCAGGAAATTTTCCACTTCAATCTAGAACTGTAGTGTAACATTAACCTTTGTGCTTTAAGTTCATCTAGTAGCTCAGATGAAGATGACGACCATCAATCATGGCAGAATCAGAGACGAAAAGCTAAAGAGGCTTCCCTGTCGTGTTCAAGACAAAACAATGGTAATTTTGTTCAGAAGAAACCACCAGAGAGGCTGAAAATTGCTTTGGACGAAATTAAACCTGGGCAGAGCGACAGGGATGACATGTCAAACGAAAAAGTCACAGACGAACCAATTTCACAGCAAGTGAATTGTAGTGAGAAACGAAGTGGACAGACAGCGATAAAGCGTGGTACATTAATCACCATGCAAGATGAAAAGCTAGATTTGATTAACAAAGCTGAAATGTCCACAGGTCAAAGAACATACACAGTCAAGCATGCTTTAGGAGCTGCGTCTCAAGTAGATACAGACAGACTTGTAAATGATGGCGTCTTTATAGGAGACGACACAACACCAGATAAAGACTATAATTTATCATCACCTGAGGAGAGAGACAGTGCTATTTTGAGTGAGATGTCTTCTCCAATCAAGAGAGATCTTTTGCAGAGTATCCAAAACGAGGTAAAAAAGGATTTAAGCTCAGCCGTGGGTACCGAGATTAAGAAAAACAACGTGAAACACAAGCAAGTGTTGACTGACGAAGAGAGAGCTAGAAGACAAAGACTTCATAAGAGTTTACAAAATTTGAAACCACAGCTGTCTTCTCACAAGCATCACCCTGTCGCTCCTTGTACACCAGTGCTCTTTCATGAGGTAACTTGTCATCTTGAAGGAGTCACATAACCGTGTTTTCAGTCATGCTTTAGAAAATTCTGTATTTTTCATTATTTTAAGATGTGTACTCTTTCCTTTCAGGAAGCCTCTTACGAAAACCATTTGCAGAGTCTACCAAACGTTGATGCAGATGCATCATATCTCCTGCTGACTGCCAAGCTTTCAAGCTGTGGTGAGCTGAGTGTTATTCGCCAGGGAGTGAGAGGAGCCGTCAGCTCGGATACACACTGCTTCTCACACCTAATAGCTTGGCTTGCGTGTTTGGTTAGTCCCGTTATGAACACTACAGACTATGCCGAGATCTGTGGAGCACCATTCTATGTTTTTAGCTTGCAGCAAAGTTGGCACGAGGGACAGCTGAAGGTTGATGTCGGTATTATAAGTCGAACTGAGAATGGAGATCTTTTAAGTGCACAGCACGCAAACGGGAAACTTAAAATGAAAGCGAACAATTCTTTTAGGCACGCAGTAAGTAAGTTCCTTTCCACAAATACGCTTCAAAGTGTATACAATCGCCTGTTGGAGCACACGCCCTGTTTGCCTCCACATCTGAAAGAGACGCAAATGAGCAAGAAGAATTTATCAACATCGTTGACTGTAAATCCTGATCCTGAGGCCATGTGGCGTGTGTTTGGAGCCAAACCTGGCTTCTTTTGGCAGACAATGGAGATGGACGATGCACCTGTGGACGACAAAACTGGTGAGAGGTTGTTTCAAGGACCAGAAATACACAATGCATTTATGCTTATGCACTCTGCTGTGTTCCGCCAACCCTTTTGCTTGCTCGATGTGCTGATTCGCGCTCGCTGCAATGCTCTGGACATTGCTGGTATCAGGCTGGCGTACCCACAGAACGAAGTGCTTGAGGAGAAACCAGGTAGGTGATAGTGTTTTACTGCAGCATATTAGCGTTTTGTCCCAACTTTCCACAATTTTGAACGTCTTACCGTAATCAAAAGTCACATATTCCTTACCCCATCACCATGCACACAAACCAGTTATATAGTTTGCAACCCTCTCATAACATAAACCTTTGTGTGTTTTTTATTATTATTATCATTTTTTGATAAGCTTGTTTCGGTGTGGTTTAAAGGTTTGGATCTTTTCCATAGGCTTTATTCGAAGTAAGCAGTGACACTATAAATTGGCGCTATTGTTACCATACTTCACCGGTGTAACAAAATCCGTTTTGCTACCAACAACGATTGATTTCCTGCTTAGAAAGACATTCTCTTTTATTCTTACGCGTCTTTTTTTGTTTTGTTTTGTTTTGGTTTTTTTGTTTGTTTGTTTTTCTTTGGACTCTTTGTCGCAGCGCATGGATTTCGCCTCCCAAACGACTTATTACAGGATGGAGTTTATACCAGTTCCCAAATGCTCGTTCTAGTTCTCGCATTACGTGGGCCCCATGCTATCTTAAAGTGGCAAGACGAGGTGGGGCCTGTAGATGCCAAATTAGCTCAACGAACAGACCCCAACTCATTACGAGCCGTGTACAATGGGGGGGCTAAGGAAGACCATCTATTTTGGTGCCCACGAAGTACACAAGGTGTTGTTACAGAACTATCCCGTTGGTTTGGCGGCCGTGTCCCGGATAGTGGTGTGATCAACATTGGTTGTAGAGAACCTTTTGTCACATATGACGAGAAACCTAAAGATTCCTCCTCCGGAAGAGCTCAAAATCACAACAGCCAGTTGTTGACGAGCTCACTTCACGGAACCCCCAGACCGCCGCCTTATTTCCTTACAGCCTCCACCGAAACCAGCATATTCCTATTCGTGTCACCAGCACTGCCTGTAAAATACCTCGGGAACGTCTTAAGCGCTTGCTTTGAGACTGGTTTTTGTACTCAAGGCATTAAACGCATTCATTTGAATGCAATGCGTCTCAGCGGGCTTGGACTCTCTCCGGAACAGCTCTCCTTGTTCTGTCGTGAGCGTGATAATCAGTCCTTAACACCAGTAGCTTCCACAGTGCTGTTACTCAGAAGGGAAAATGCATTACACCACTCACTGTCTGTGATTGAATCAATCGTCGTCTCTGTATCGCATTCCGACGTGTCTCAATCGTGTTTTTTAGCCGTTCCTTACAGTGATTCTTTGCTTAAGCAGCTCGGTGGACCTTTTTCTGTCACCCCTGATCCTGCAGCTTATCCCGTGGATCTGCTGAGGCACGCTTTTCATTCCAATCCCGAACTAGAGCAGGTTTGTGTCGTGACTCTATGGAAAGAGAAAGCTACTGTCTCAGCAGGGAAGATTCTGAGCGAGCTTCTGCTCATTAAAGAACCACAGGAAGGGTCAAATCCTAGCTGCGGTTTTGAACTCTTAGGGCTTAAGCTTCTCACTTCGTTGTCCATGCAGCACGCTAAGGAGTTTACGCCGTGTAAAATCGGAGACACAATGTGGAAGAAAAGTCTCAAGATTCTGACATCCAGTCCTGCTTTAGTTCTAGCCCTCAGAGGTGTTAACGCATTTGTGCGGCTAAGGCGCTTTCTGGATTCTTATTCAGATTTGTCAAAGCAAAAACTTGCCAACGACAGCGTCCCCCTGGACGTACTCATGTCATGCACACCCGAACTTGCCTGTAGACAGCTATCAGTGATCTTCTTTGACAGGGAGCTCTTTTCTGATCAGTCCGCGCGGCGAAATCTTCACCTTCTTCCCCCTCCTCGTCGGGTAATCAACGGTCTCTGCAGCGGAAGTAGTGAGTCGTTAAACGAGGCGGACACGCGGGATTCTTCTGCCGAAAGGAAGGCAAGGAGCAGACGAGTGGGTCTCGGTAAGTCTCCTGGGAAAACGTCTCTTAGCAGTGTGGAGACTTTGTGCTACGCCGACACGTCTGTCGTTCAGAGTTTGCTAGAAAAGCCCTGCGTCATACCTACAGTGTGTGTGTTGAAGCCTCGAACTGCAAGTAAACACCTTGGTAAGGTGTTAAAGAGATTGGGTCAAGAAGGGTTCTCTGTGATTGCCTTGAAAATGATATCTCTTTCGTCTAAAGACGTTTCCACACTAATGACTGAGAAGGTAAGGTCAACAAGACTGAGCTCGGTAAAGAAATAAAAAAGATTTTCGTCTTGTCACGAACGTGGGACAAAGAAAAAATTCTTGGTCCCCATGAGGAATCGAACCTCAGATCTTCGGACTCCGCGCTCCGAAGCTCTACCACTAAGCCACAGAGACTCTACGGTGAGCGAGGTCTATTACGAAGTTCATATGACACGCGTCCTGCATACTGCTAGGATCAGAAATGTCGGTAGTGTCATGTGTAAATAGAATAAGAGAGATGGTAAGTTTTGAGCTCGGTAAAGAAATAGAGAAAGATGTTTCTCGTCTTGTCACGAGCGTGGAACAAAGAAAAAATTTCTAGTCCCCATGACGTTCGATTCCTCGTGGGGTTCGTTTGCAGCACCAAACGGACCATAGTCCCCTTTACTTAAATGTGCTCTAGACTTGTCATAATCTGTTTTGTTTTCTCCTACGCTCGAACGAACGTGAGGGGAAAGAAAGCGAATGATTGACGGCGCCGAGCTAGGATTACAAAAAAATTTGCCCGACACACCTGTCTCGTCAATTTTTCTCGTCTCAATCTCTTCTCGCCTACAGCACTCGCTCCATATCCAGGAAAAGACCAACTGTTTGTAATCTTACTGCTTTCTTCCTGTTTATACTGAGTGCAAACTTATCGTATCACTTTTAAAATCTATCGCATGATTTCAGGAAGAACTAGAACGTCACATAAGTCACATGACTTCCGGTCCTTCGGTGGTGCTATGTCTTCACCGTGAGAACGCTGTCGGGCGCCTTCTTGACGTACTCGGTCCCAGTGATGCTCGTGCTGCAAAGAAACAGTCTCAGTTCTATTTGAGGGGTTCGTTTGGTGAGGATTCGATTAAAAATGGCTTTTACGGTAAGGTCTTAAAAAACTAGGCAAGTCTTTGGTATACTGTGTTCATCAATTAATTTACTTTCCTCGAGAGATCATCAGCTCATGGTCTCTTGTTGTACTTTGTGCTGTGTTGTAATTAGTTGTGCTGTCTTTCCGCCTCTTTGTGGAAAAAACGTGGTTTGTTTTCTCTCCCTGCCAGTGAAAGGTTGATATTCACGGTTCAATTAGGCCAGACATAGCGAAATGTAATATCGGAAACATTCTTGCTTCGGAAGACCATCCTATACTCGAAGCAACTTCGGAGATATCTGCAAGATTTTAACCTTTCAAGTGAGTGTCTGTTGTTTGTGAGGTTGAAGTAAAGGAACTGGCCTCGCTAATTTATTAATCGTGTGCCGTAGGATCTGAAACGTACGAGAAGGCGATCAGAGATATCAAGATTCTGTTTCCTGAAGGTGTTTGTTGTTCCCCCTCCGTTGACCTCAAGGCTGAGGAGGTATGTTCTTTCCTAAAGTAAACCATGGCCTTTAGGGATTACAAAACTCTGCTATACCCCCTGTTCGAGCAGAAACAGAAGTAATACACCCCGAGTGCATGATGGGTAAATTCACCCCTTCGATCCGTATTGTTTCAAAAAAGTTAAAATTTTACGAAGGGTACTTTTCATGATATTGTAGTTTTTGATACCTGAGGTTTTCCTTAACTTAACGTGAACAGGGCTGATTGAAACAATTCCTAGGACTCTTAATCTTTCTCCAAGTTTCTTTGTATCTAGCTAGAACAAATGCCTGACTCTTTTACGCTTCCCTACATGTGTTAAAGGGTGTAGTCTGTAAACGAGACTAACTCTTAATCTAAATCGAGTTCAACGTGCAAACCGTGAGACCACGACGTTGCACGCGCCAATTTTACTACCCTTGGACTTCTTCTTTTAGATTCCATGTCTAGCTCTAGATGAAGTTTTCAGCGTGACGGCCAATAGATCGCTCGTGAAACTCTCTACAGAAGAGCAGAGTAAGGTGGAAACCAGCCCGGGCATGACCCTCCTGCCGAGTTCTTTACTGGAGATCAACTGCTTGCTGTTATTGCCACAGCTGTTGGTTAGCCGTGCTCAGACAGGACGGCGGGGTAACATCAGTTACGCTGAGGTCATAGAGGCCTTGTTGACTGCAGGGTTTCACTTCATCGGGCTTCGTATGGTGCTCCTAGGAGTGGTTGAAGCAGCGGATTGTGCTAAGTTGTACAGTGGTTGCCTTCCCGAGGATTGGAAACCTCATCATTTAGTAGGAATTTTCGTCATTCTTGATAATTCTTATCTTTTTTATGTCAACTTTTTTTAATTTTGTCCGTGCCCTCGGTTTGGATCATGTGCATGGTTTATGTTTGCGCATCATATTATCTTTTTATCCCAGGGCATTTTAACCTTAACCCTAACTTGCCATCCTGCTTTTCGCCTTTTGAAATTTGAATTTGCTGTAAATCCCTTGTTTTTCAATATTTCTTTCAGTTAGGACTTCAAACTGTATGACTATCTTAGCGATTGATTGGACTGAATTATTGGCTCTGATGTACAGCAGTATAACACTGTAAATGTTTTTCAAGAATTGGGGTTCCATGAATTTTCATCCATCTCCTCAAATCCTTATTTGGATATTGATGTTTGGGCGGATAGAAATTTAATATTAAGGATGGTTAAAATAAGTAGAATTCCGAAATCTAAAGAGTATATCAAACGTAGACTTGAAGACTGATAGTTTGTTGTACAGTCTACAATGTTGAAGTGACAGGAAGTTTTTGCATACCGAATTGAGTGTATAGGAAATGGCTTGCTGCCATGCCCCTAAAAATGTCGGTAATTGTTGTGCCCTCGCTTGCTCAAACGAAAAAATAGAGATGAGTGCTTTTAAGTTATGATACGTGTTCACTTTGTGTTTCAATGATTAGGCAATACTGAAGCTTACGTTTTACAGGCTGGTCAACTCTCCAAGTCACCCTGTCTTGTCATGGCTGTCTTGCGTGACGGTGCTGTCACCTGTTACGACTCTTTGTGTGACAGGTAGGCATGTCTTCTTGATGTCGATAAGTAAGAAAATAACACAAACAAGTCGATTTTCAAGACATTTTTTTTTCATTAAAACTCTCAAATCCTCTTGTCTATTCCTCATACATAATCTTTGGGCAATTTGAGAGAATTCGAAATTACTTTTTTGGTTTCTTTATTCCCAAAACTTTCAAACAAAAATTTGAATCGATTTTTTTACAGAATATTTTTCTCTTAAATCAATTTGATGGCTTGACCAGTGGAGGCGTCTTGCCCACCAGGTACCCAAGGGCAGACTATCATATTGTTTGGTGTCAACTGTTTTGTGCATTTCCCACTTCTCATTTAAGTGCACCCGTCAAGAAAATGGTGTTCGTGGTATTCATTAGCGAAGAAAACCTGTCAAAGGCAAAAAACAGGAAAAACTGGGAAGTCCTCTTGTGACGTCTTCTCCGGTGTCAAACTTCGCCTCGGCGAAGTTTTTCCTCGACAATGTTCCTACATGTCAATTTGTCGGGATGTATTTGTAGTTTGTAAAGTCAGGTCAGGTGTAAATAAATTGACTCTGAGATCGCTTGTAGAGAGACATTAACGGCAAAATTTGTCACATTTCATTTTCCAAGCTAACTTAGTAATTCTTAAAATACTTCACCTTGATATTATTTAGTTTAAGTGTCACTATAGTGTTCGGATCTACTTTACGTACACAAAGACAAATAGGAAGATCATAACATCATGATCTTATGATCTTTTTCCGCGTTTTTCGTTCTTCAGTTTAGTGGAACTAACATGCAGGTATCACGACAATCTTACTTTTTCAACTCTAACATTCTTCTGTTGTCACTCCTAGCTCTCCGAAACTGAAATCGTTGTACGCAAATTCCGGAAAGTTCATGTTGGCAGGGAAGACGTTGAAAGAGGTTTGTTTTTAGAGAATTTCAAGAATGTACCACAATTTACCAACTCCCTCATAATCACTTTACCATTTTGTGTACAGAGATGGATTTATGCCACGAAGTAGCTTTGGGTTTGACTGAACTCTTTTAGATACATTACGCCATTTCATGTATTTCTGGGAGAGTTATTACTTCTGTCATTCATGTTTGCGATCGAAACCTAGATGTTTCGTCTTCCTCTCTGACGTATGTTAAGGCCGGGTGATTTTAAACTCTACCTCTAGATTGCATGGAAAAATTATCCCAAAGATACGACATGAAACGCAGGAAAGATCAGGATCGTGATCGTTAAAAATGCAAAGTTCTTGCAAGAAAAAAAAAAAAAATATATATATATATATAAGTGAAAGAATCAAAGAGGACGCATCGATTCTCTGTTCAGAACAGAGAATCGATGCGTCCTCTTTGATTCTTTCACTTATATATACTCAGCTTTGCTACCACAGCATTGAGCACTTTATGCTAAGGTAGACTCTACCCCACATTTATACGTGTATATATATATATATATATATATATATATATATATATGTATGTATATATGTATAAAATGAAAACTAAATGTGTATTGGGTATGGCGTGACAAATGAAAGTGTATCTGTCCATCTGTTTAATTCCTCTAACCACTAGGGGGCTTCGTTGCAATATTTCGTTTTAATTTCAGTTACGACGTGCGAAAATACCTTCAACTTGAGAGAGACTTTGGTAGTATTAAAAAGAAAACAGTTAGACGCTGACATAAACAAAGAAGGAAAAAGAACGGCTTGGAAAGGAAAAGATTAGAGACGATTTCAAATGACGAACTGAACAATTTAAATCAAATCTTATGTTTCACAAACGTTTTTCTTTCTTCGAAGACTAGAACCACTGGGCGCTTATTTTAGAAGGGAAATCAGTCTCAGCTATCGTAGACCTCTCGGGTTATGTTTCTCGTAGGATGATTAACTCTAAGACATAATCTATGGTTCTTTGTATTTTTATGTTTACAGGCTAAGCGCCTGGTGGAATGTTTCTTTGATCATCTGATTCCCAACAGAAAAGCCCGGATAGAGCTGGACGCTTCCTAATCTCCTGCTTTTTACAGACTGGGTCAAGGGAAATTGTACAGATTACTACGAACGGATGACTTCGATGGGAAAATTGATGCTAACTCGGACAATTTTTCTGTATATTAGAGAACAATAGATGAAGACGTAGCCTAAAAATATTGTCCGGATATCTACACTTTTACCTTGTGTTTCTTTTGAAATGAAGCCCATTTGGAAACAGTGGAAGTCGGGTGTTGATCAAATTAGAATTACTGTTCCTTTATATAAGAGGTTTGTAAAAGACTTCCGGTTAATTGTGGAGCGGATTCGTTGCATGAAGTCCTTGATGTTAACTCTGAAACTGAACTTCTTTTGCCTTTTGTTTTTTCTCTAAATGTAATTTTTTTATGGCTACGTGTTGTGAAGTAAGGCGTTAGTTTCCTCGCCAAAGTAAACAACCGCTCGCCCACCGACTTTTTCCGTACAGAGAAACAGGCAAAACATGTTGATGTTTCATTCACATTACGTGAATGCGTGTTCTCTTTGCTGTATGTCTCAGCTCTCTCTGTATCCAAACATCTTCTTCTTCAGCCTATTGTTTGCCTTTAGTGTGTACAATTCCTATGTGACGAGGCGGATTTTGGCTATGTTTGACGTGAGTCTGGTGTCTCCAACTTTAGATCATTCAAATGCCTATACGCTCTTGACTTGTACTTGAGCAAAGTTTGAAAAGTGTCTCCTGTTCTTTTGTGAGTAGATAATTTACTTTTTACCACAGTGACGAAGATACATTCTTGCGGTTTTCTTCTATCTTCTACGGGTCAGTTGGTTTCCAGGCGTCTGTTGAAGAATTAAGGAACTGCAGTGTGCCCACGACCCTCAATTAAATTATTTAAAATCACGCTTGTTCTCAAAGAGGAAATTTATTTATCATTGTGCGTGTGAAACCGTTTCAAAAGTTTACTTGGATTAGACTTAACTTTTGATAAGTTAAATTATTAAATTCATGCTTTTGCTACTTGAAGCGGACAGCGTTAAATTGATTACCCTTTTTATACCTGACCATTTGTACATTTGACGTAATTGTAAAAACACTGAAATAAATACCTAAAACGGGTAAGTTTATGACGTCTTTCTTTCGTAGTCTGAACTATTCTCTGGAAAAATTATTGTTACAAGCGCAAGTGATAGTGAATTATTGTTCTGTACTTACGTGTTTGTCCAGAATAAAAATATTGCTTGGTGCCATTTAAATATAAAAGACATTCCTTTTTATGTTCTATTCTGAGATATTTTTGATAAGTATTTTGAACATCAGTGGAACGTTTTGAAATCCATAGCTTAATCGTTTGTCTCGCAATGTATAACCGTGACGATAAGCGATCAATATATCAGCTAGCCTTGCTTTACATTAAAGACAAACTTAACCACGATGAAAAACAACTGACCATTTTTTTTTATAACAATCTATAATCTACATTGAAGGCTCTTAAAAACGGCTGCGGTGATTTTTCTAGAACGTGATTAGTGTTGTGACCTTTCAGCGACATGGGAACACGGGGCAATGAAGCAGGGAAATTTTTATAGTCGCTAAGATTACTTTCATTTTTGATCCGACTTTAGATGCGTTGCCAAGAATTTAGACCTGCTTTTGCGAGATAAATAAGTGGTGTTAGCAATATCATGTTGAGGCTTATTTGTCCATAGATAATTCCTCGCCGCATTTCCAAAAATAGGCATAAACTTTATCTCGAATATATATGAGAACGATAGCGGTAAAACGCACTAGGAAGTCTCAAGATAAACAACATAGGCAAGCCGAAAAGTTTTTCAAGCCTCCATGACCGAAAGGTGACCATGAAACGGGGTAACCAGTTAGAGAGAGTGCTTCTTGGCATTTAGAATAACCACAGGTACTTAAATAACAATTTACGCTGTCAATATCCTCAAACAGCTTTTTAAAGCAGTTTTACCGATTCGCGGTATCAATCATTTGGGAGTGAAGTGTCGTTTTGCGTGGGCTGCGCGATCGGTCGCGCGAGGAGTGTCCGAAGCGATCAGCTTACCGGCAAACACGCCCGCCCATAATGGTGTTGACTGCATTACCCATATTCGAGAAAGTACGTGTGAAAATAATTGCATCCGACACTCCCTCGATAACCTTGAGAATTTAGATTGTACGGCAATCTCTGTTTCCTTTCATTGGTGCCTTAAGCACTCTTAAAGTATTAGAGTTGACTAGGAAGCCGTGAGAGAGAGTTGATCATTCTGCAAACCGGTAAAACAACGCTGTATTCAGGATTGTAAAGAATTTTAAAACGATCCATTTATCCGATCAGACATTTGAAATCCGAATTCAGTACAGGTAAGTTGGGCCGATATGTTTATGAATTAGAGGGTAAGTGATGGGGTATATCTTCGCTTTCGAAGTAAGACTGATTTGTTTCATGACGATCACATTATTCAGATCGCCCGCCCGGGGGACTTTTTACCGCCCTGAAGATGGAGGTCCAGGCCGGTGTCGCAGGCTTGGACGACCTCAGTTGTTGATAGAAAGACACGCCGACAGGAAATTTATTCCTCTAATTTTTCTAAAAAATTCTTTCTGAAGAGAGTGAAACTTACAGGTCAGGAACTTCAAGTGTTTATATCGCTTGATTGATATTACACATAGGTGATAACATTTTGCAGGATTTTTAACCGAGAGGTGATTATTTTTTCGTTTGATAGGTAATCAGGAAACAGAATCCAGTATCCTGGAACTGTTTCACTTTTGAAAGGAAGCACGCAGCTGTACAGACGGCTACGTCATCACGCAAAGAAAGAAGGCGTATATATTTAGAAGTTTGCTGTATCCGGCTGGAATCAGACACGGTCACAGAGGATCAGCTTTCATAGATTATTCCATCAATTTGCGTAGGAATTGATTATTGAAATCAGCGACAGTGGATAGGGGTGGAAGCTTGACCGTATGACTAATTTTATGTTTACGACCCAGTGAAGAGCATCTGGAAGAGCAGTAGTAAGATAAATATTTGAAATAAACGTTAGATTAGGAAAATTATCACACTTACAAAACTATCACCCGTCATGATTGGCTGTATGATGGCGTCACGTGACCAAAGACATCGTCGAACACGGAAATTGTCGAGCAACTGGCTCAAAATGGCTGCTCCTCCTAGTCGTGGAACACGGTTTTTTAGTCGAATACAAGATGCCCTCACTCATGCTGTGACTCCACGTTTGCAGATCGACAGAAAAACTATCGAGAAGACGTGGAAACTGATGGACAAAGTGGTGAAACATTGTCAAAACCAACGGCTGTCGTTGAAGAATAGCCCCCCTTACATCTTAGATATTTTGCCCGATACCTACCAACATTTGAAGTTGATTATCTCGAAATACGAGGATAGGATGCACATTTTGAACGACTGTGAGTATTTTAGGATTTACATAGAAAACCTCATCAAGCAATCGAAGCTGGCCATCAAGCTTTTCAAAGATGGAAAAGAAAAAATGTACGACGAAAACTCCACGTATCGACGCAGCTTGACCAAGCTGAGTTTAGTTTTCAGTCACATGCTGGCCGAGGTGAAGGCAATATTTCCTCAAGGAACTTATATAGGAGACGGCTTCAGGATCACAAAATACGATGCAGCCGAATTCTGGAGAAAGAATTTTGGGATTGGGTAAGTCTGATGTTAAGTTAATTTTCTTGGGCTTCATGTATTGTTTTGATAAACGAAAGTGATCAATGGTCGCTACATACACAACCATGACAGCTCGTTTTCAAAATCTTGTTCTTCGCTTTTGTTAATCTCCCTTCGCGCGGGTGGCCAGGCCACTATTTGCTTCGTTTCCAAAATGTGTCGTCAAATTTTATAACATATCACAAGGGAAAAAATAACTTCTTGACGTTTATTAATTAATTGCGTGCTTCCCCCGACTTTTAATTTAAAGATCTTGCATTATATCACCTTTAATTCCTCACTCTAAAATCACGAAAAGACCGCGTTTTCCTTTCGATGGCGTCCTTTGAGCTTTCCAAGAAGGCTATACAAGAAACCCAAAACATCCTTAATTTTTTTCCCTTTCCAAGTAAATTTAGAACTTAATTGTCCATTGGAAACTGTGTTTACAAATACAAAGAAAACCATCATAATTTTCGTCATATATTCATGGTGAAACACGTAAAGATCTGACTTAAATTGCGATGTTAGATGCATTTCAGACGAGCTGAAACTTTTAAATATCGTATCATCTTGTCTATGTTACTTGAAAAATATCCAATCTATTTGTTTGGTTATGCATCACTGCTATCATAGACCTCAGAATATTATTCCTAAACTTAATTTGCTGTACTCTACCCGGTGCGTTTTTAGTTCTCGTACTCAAATTTTCTCTCGGCTCTGATTGAGAACAAATAGCTGAACATTTAAGTAGCGAAGCGAATGAAATTGTAAGTGGTGTTTATATTTTATTTCCTTCTCTAATTGAAAAGAGATCAAGGAAATTTTATTTTCTCCTTTGCTGAAGGAAAGCTGTATGTTGCAAGAAAAAACCCGGACCAACTGTTTATGAATTTCAATAAGTCTTAAGTTGCAATACGTGATGTGGCTCAGAATTTGTTAATTCATAGTTATTATGGCCTTTGAAAGGTAATGTACCCAGATATAGCCTGTATGATTCTGTGGTTTCACAGGAAAAGCCTCTACTATGATGTAGAAAGAGAAACAACAATTTTCTTTTTAAAGGAAATTAGAACATATGCACGTAACAATTAGGTTTTGAGAAGTGACTGTCAGATCTTAAAAGTGATTTTGAGGTCAATGGATCAATAGATAACCTGCATATGATTTTTGGGAAATATAGCTTTTAAGTCTTGAGTAGATCATATGTATATAGGCTTTAAAAGGTAGATAACACTAAGTGTGTGTTTTGGAGTTTATGTTCTGCCCTGACATGGGAATGAAAAACATGTTTTTGATTACCGGTTATCTCACAGCTAGTTATTCTGAAATGTTGTGTTATCCTCCAAGAATTACTAGACATGCATTCCTATATTAAGAATTTAAATAGCTCTTCCGGGAAGTAATGTGACAATGAAATGTCTAACTAAACGTAGAATTTTGTTGAGTTTTTTCATGGCCAACAAGCTGTTCTCACATTGTCTTTATGGTTTAGTCTTGATGCATAATTCAATAGAATTTATGTTCAATGAGGTGAACAAATAAGCATCATTGATGATATTTTGAAATTGAGCTTGAGTGGTAATCTATCTGTGCAAGGAATATGCCTTTTTCTTGATTCTACTTCACTAGACAAGCGTTTATATTTTGACACCAAAATGTACCTAGTGCACTCAACTGAATAACTTGTTATCACCACCAGGAACATCAAAACAGACTGCAAAATATCACTCAACACAGACTAAGTGTGTGAGGCTTTTAACTAAGATATTCCCTAAGGAGAGGCAAATTTTTTTGTGCAAAAAACATAATGGAATATTGTTGAGAGTAACCTTAACATCCAAGTACTGATGAGGGGTATGACAGCTACAATCTCCAACTTCGAGAGCAGACCAAGATTTTTAGTGAATTTTTTGTGAAAGGTAATGGATTTTATTACTCTTCATTCTCTTCAGGAAAACAACGGTTTCATGGAAGCAATTTCGTCAAACTCTCCAAACAGTACACCATATCAGCTCAGGTTTGGAAGCAATGGCCTTAAAGTCAACAATAGATCTGACATGTAATGACCACATCTCCATATTTGAATACGATGTCTTTACAAGATTGTTTCAGCCATGGTCGCATCTGCTTCAGAACTGGAATCTCCTTGCCGTGACACACCCTGGTTACTGTGCTTTTATGACTTATGATGAAGTGAAGGCAAGATTGTGTAAACACATGGATAAACCTGGAAGGTTTGTTTTATTCCAATCAAGGGTTAATATTGTATCAAAGCAGTCTATTGAAACTTTGAATTTTTGCCACCAAAAGCATCATTGATGAAAACTTAAAGAAAACAGTCTTAGTGTACCAATGGGTATTACAATGTTTAAACTGGTAAGTGAATGGGTTAATTACGTCATTTGACTGAAAACTAGACCATTCTATACCTGAAGAAAGTTTTTACCTGGGAGTCAATAAATAAAGGGAAAGTTTTGTTACAGAATAAGAAATTAATTTGCACACTGATAAGACTAGATAAGAGGACACTCAAGGGTCTTCATTTTATAGGGAATGGATGGTATCTTTGGGCAAATATCCATCAAAGAAAACAATTTAAAAGTTGGTGTAGAGCTGTATTGTGCAACTGATTCATTTACCACTTGCATCTTTTTTCTGTTGTTGTTGTTCCAGCCTGTAATTTGACTTGTGATTTCTTTTTCTACAGTTACATTTTCAGGTTAAGTTGTACAAGACTGGGTCAGTGGGCCATAGGATATGTTACACCTGAGCATACAATTCTTCAAACCATTCCTCAGAACAAGTCACTCTGTCAGGCACTTATTGATGGAGCTAGAGAGGGCTAGTAAGTGCTCCTGAATTCTCACCTAGAAGAACTTAAGATGTTTAAACTTCAACCTTTCAAAAAAAAATCCAGACCTGATATTTTTCAAGTCTCTCATTTGCAATCAATTTTAATCTTCTATCAGCACAAATTTTTTCCTAGCATTTTGGGTATGATTTGATCATTTCAATTCTTAACAATTGCTAGCTCTTCAGTATCTGTTGGCAGTCATAAGTTCTTTATGATATTGGAAATTCCTAATTTTCAAGTCTAATCATCAACACAAGGAAATCCCTTTTATATTAAAATCTATTTCCATTGGCAGTATATTTCTTTGAGATTTTGATCACAAAGATTGTGTAGAAATTAAAGTAACAGTTAAAGAGTTAACATTTCAAACTTAACTTTTCTTTTTTTTTGTATTTTCCTTAGCTACCTTTACCCCGATGGAAATTCAGAAAACCCTGATGTTAGCCATCATCTCATCACCCCTCCTGATGAGCACATCACTGTCACTGAAGAGCAATATGAGTTGTACTGTGAGATGGGATCCACCTTTCAGCTTTGCAAGATCTGTGCAGAGAATAATAAAGATGTGCGCTTGGAGCCCTGTGGTCATTTGATGTGTCACATGTGCTTAGACCAGTGGCAAGAAACTGGGGGGGAAGGGTGTCCATTTTGCCGTTCTGAAATCAAAGATATGCAGGCCATTGTTGTGGATCCATTTGTACCACATCTTGAGGAGGAGACAATGGCAGTAAGAGCAGCAGAGAACCAAGAGAATCACTTGGATGGGGAAGACGATGAAATCATGGAGGTTTGAGATTTATAAAATGCATAATTAACCCTGTGCACCCTAACATCAGTACACAAGTTTTCCCTAAATTGCTAAATACATTTTCTATGGTATGTGTTAGGAAAATTTGCCTAAAAATTGAGAGCTTCTTGAGTTTGTGAACATTTCTTTTTATTCTCATGACCTTGATGTTTGTTTCAAGGGGTGATACAGTTGGGAGAAATTAGATGCAAATAACTCAAATTAAATTAAATTAAATTATAAACATTTATATCGCGCAAATTCCATGTGAATATGTTCAAATGCGCGTTACAAACAAATATGAAAGAGCAAATTAACATAACATGATAAGAATCCCAACTGGCAGGAGGCGAACTAGTTGGCTATTTACAAAGCGTGCAGGAGTTGAGTTCAGGGCCACCGAAGACAAATCCATCTAGTGGCAGGAAGGAGGATCTGAACCCGGGGCCTCCGGCTTGCAAGTCCAGCGCCCTAACCACTAGGCCACGCTAGCCTCCTTCGCCTCTGTACACGGTTTAATTATTGCAAAAGAGATTGTCACTTTTACCCTCCTGTTCTCCACTTGAGAGATCCTCTTTGCCTACTTGACTACTTTTCTGTGTGACTCTTTATCACTCTGACAAAGGGCTAATGCCCAAAATGTCAGCCATTAAACTCTTTATGGTGGCTAATTTACATTTTCAACTCAGTTGTTAATACTAAATTACCTGTTATACTCTTCCACTGATGCAGCACCACAGTTTTTTTTAGAAATTTACCCCCTCTATTCATTTATCTTTTTTGTCTGTCTACTTACCTACTGAATCTATTTCAAAAGCTAACCCTGAGTGGTAATATTTTTTCTTTCCTCAGGATCCTAGTCAGTGGGTTTCCACAATTGATTCTAGACCTCATGGTACTCAACAAGGAAGATATCCCCATTTACAGCAGGAGAACACTGAGCAGTCTCGGTCATCTGAAGATGCCCCTCCGCCCTTGCCCCAGCGGCGAAACCTCCAGTTCAACTCACAGTCACCTACCTCTCCAACCCTCGTAGTCACCCATGTGTCACCATTTGCTTCTCCTGGGACATCTTCAAGGTCATCACCTTTAAGTTCTCCATGGAACTCTCCAAGGAACTCGCCACGTGCATCTCCTAATGTGTCACCCCACAACTCTCCTCATGTTTCTCCATGTGGCTCACCACATAACTCTCCTTCACTGTTAAGAAAGGTACCACCACCACCGCCACCATCAACCTTAGATGAGGACAGTCCTCCTGCAGTACCAGAGAGGAGGTATAAACACAGAGGGACCAATGTGGAAAATAAAGAGAATAAACCAGGAACTAAGACATCTAAGCATGAAAGCAACAGAAGGGATACATTGGGATATGCAGACATAGCTGCTGCAAATGTCACACATGACTCATTTGGTCAAAACCAGAATAAAACAAATTATGCTCAGCTAACTTACCCTCATCCTGATGCAGCTGAGTCTACTAACAGGGAAAGAAGCAGACCAGGAGAAGCCACGATGGCTGAAATTTGTGCAAATGAAGAGGCAACTTCATATGATTTTCCTCTGCCCATAATAGCTGAAAGAGAACGTTCACGGGGTGAGAAATCTAACAAAGAGAATGGTTTAAGGGACAATACCACTGACCTTCAATCAGTTGCAGATCCTTTTGCTGAAGACCCATTTGAATCGAATGGTAAATCAAAAAATGCCCCGTTCGATGATGATTTTGTAAAAGGCCCTTTGGTTGTAGCATTGCCACCAACACGTTCACAAAGCTATAATTCTGGGATGCCACGTAAAACCCATGCTCATAGCGACAAAAATACTCTACCTTCAAGGGTGTTCACCAAGGCAAGATCCACTGATGATGTGCTTGAGGATCCCACTTATTCAAATGTTCGTCGAGACCATGGCAGACATCCTGGTCAAACCAATGACTTTGAGAGCAACGGAAATCCCACTTCAAACAGTCACCATGATAGAACTTTACGCCCAGCCCTGCTTACACGAAACAGCTGGGCTGGAGCAGAAGCAAAAAATTTCAGCAATCCAACATATGGTTCCCAGGGTTTAGATCCAAATAAGTTAGAAGGGAAGGGAGAACACAGACCAACACGATCCAGATTGCCAGATGAAGATCCAAACCTTGATGCTATGCAGTTTTATGAAGAGGATTTTACAATTCTGCAGGCACAGGGCTACAGTCGTGAGGAGATCACTAGAGCCCTTATTGTAGCTGATAACAACTTTGCTTTGGCAAGGAAGATTCTCCGTGAGTTCTCTCAAGGGACAAGAAAGCTATGAACTTTTGGTTACAGTTGAATAGTAATGTAATATGTTGAGAAAGTTGGAATTAAGGTTGAGTTTTTCCCCTTGTAGAGTTGCTAAAGAAAGGAGAGTTTTGTTGAATTTTGATACCATAGCCACATAATGAACTATCAAGTAGTTTTTTATTTTTTAGTTTTTCAGGTTTTAATTTTAAGTTTTTAGTTGTTTAGTTTTTCAAGTAACTAAAGTTTTTAAGGTAATTAATCTAAACCTTTGAAATGTGCACCACAAGAATTAATTCCCACAGAGGAAATTTTTTGACATCTGTGCAGTTTCCCTAATTTGAAATTCTTTATAACCCAGCCTGACAAATCAGTGAAAATCTTGATCAGTCAATTTAAATTGACCCCAGTTTATCTATTGAAAAAAATTGTGACATTTAACATGATAACCTTTTCATTATTTTTTATGGACTTCTAATTTTGATCGGTTGCTTTCCAATGATATTCTTCCATAATACAACATCTCAACAAGTTAGGTTAGAAAATGCAATCAGCAATATATATGAGACAGTAGACAGCACCAATAGGGACAAATGTAAAGTGACTTGTTACTTGGCTGACTAAGAAAGCAGGCAAGGTCATGTTAGTCTTTTGCTTTGACTGGCTCTTGAAGCAGGTGAGATTGGCTTGTGTTACACACTCCGGATTGTCCATTTTTTCCCCCTCTGTGAATTGCTTACATGTTTTTTCTCAAAGAGATTATTTTGTATAATCTTTTTGCCAGGTTATAAACTGACCAAGCTTGTTCCTCAAGTTGGCTAAGCTGTAAAAGGGTTTTAAAAATATTTCCCAAAATCAAATCTTCTTGAACTCATGTTTGGTCGTGGTGCATCTGAACTTGTAACTATTACCTGGTTATAGATTGTTGGCAACACAACATCAATTTACAAATACAGGTTGATTTTTTTAATTTATTCATTTCATGATTAATTAATGACTTGATCAGTCAGACCTGGTGGTAGGTTAATCATAGTAGGGAATGACAGTAATTGTTTAGCTTATGAAGCAGTAATTACCCAGTTTTCTCAAGTCATAATCAATCAACTCTCATCAACCCTTAAACTCCCAAAACTTAAGTTGGAATCCCACCATATATTTCCTTCTGGATAAGTGAAGAGAATTCACTGTTTTATCAAACACCTTGCTGATGTGTTTTTCAATTCTCACCACATATTTGCTGGATAATGTATAGATGTAGTAAAGAGAAGTTATATATCAATTAACTTTGGGAGTTGAAGGGTAAATAAAGCTTTCAGTTACTCGCTAACTTTTTGGTCAGGAGAAAAAATTGCTGTCAGAATTTTGCTGGTGGTCCTAACAAGATTAAAGGTCCTTTTTCAAAACTTATTTGGTACATGTTATGTGTTCAGAAAAGAGAGTGGTAATCAGCAATTAATGGAAAAATGAATATTCCTTTATTTCCACATTGGGGAATAATTTGTTTTTTTTTTTTTTTTTTTTTTTTTTTTCATCTCACTTCTTTGTCATTTCTATTCAGGTTGTAGAGCTATAAAGGGAAACTTTGTTGTCAGCCTGTGGCTTGTTGTGTCTTTGTTAAAGCTTTGTTGGGGTGTTAACGTAAATGTGATACTCTATAGTTTTAAGTCCTATTTACAATTCCCTATGGGAAAAGTTAATTGTCAAGTTTATAATTACCAGTGCAACAATTCAGGGTTTAAGGATGAATCATTGAATGATTTTGCAAAATTGAATGTAAAAAGACAAGCCTGGTCAGGTAATGGCAGTTTTCTACTGCCAAAGTATTTGTAAAAGTGAACAGAATTCAGACCTGTAAATAAAGCAACACAAGAAAAAAAAGCTTGGAAACAATCAAGCTTGTAAAGATTATTACATTTTTAGAATTATCCAAATTTCTGGACTTAAAAAAGAGCAACAAATAAGTAAACATAAGGGTATTAGTCTAGAATATGGTAATTAAATAAACATTTTTTGGGGGAAGTAATTTTTTTTGGGTCAATAATTCTCTTTTTTTATCATAGAATTGAATTTAGAAACTGATTTCTTATTTATTCTCCTTCCTGAAAATTTTTCATTGTGTTAAGCAGCACTTTAAGACAAATACTTTGTTGCCATAGAAAAATGTTTTTTTCTTTTTGAAATAAATCAATTATGACTATATCTTGTTAGCTTTGATCTTCCTGAATCAAACCTCCAAGCAAAAGATATTAAAAATAATTCCAAAAACCACGGTTCAAAATAGTCACCTTGAGGAGATCAAAACTCATCATAACAAAATGTGTATTATTGAAAACCTGCAGAGACAAACTCAAAGATGTGATACAAAGATTTACATACAATACATAGTTGTTCTGAGAAGTGTAGGGAATTACATAATCATTGCTAATCTGTCCAGAGCCAATTTGGTCTGCGACAATTTTTTACTTGGAAGGTGACACTCAGAAGAAAATTACAGTGATGGTTGAAAGCCTTGAATTCAGTTACAGAATTGACCACTGAATGGTGGGCTTAGTTGAGTGAATTTAATCAGCCAACAATCTTTATCTTCAATTTTCACTGACATACACATAACTACCTTCCTAACCCCTCTATATATCAGAGGGCTTTACTGGAATATTTCTGATCAGTGATTTGGTATGAAATGTTTCACATTACCAAGATCCATTTTGTCTCTATGAGCCAGCCTATTCAAACATCAATATTTCCAAGTGCCAAATACAATAAAAATGAGTTGGAAGGAAAGTATTGGTTCATTTTTCTAGTAGCTAGGGAAAGAAAAATTTCCTTGTGATTTTTGCAAGTGTTAGCTCATCAGTTTTGAAAATTGCATGCATCTCTATAGGTAAATTCCCTTGTCAATGAACCTCACTTGGTAAAATGATAGAAATATAAAGAATATTTTAGCATATATTGCTATGTAAATGAAAACTTCAAATCAGTTATAGAACAGATATACCACATGATAATGTAAATGCCTATATTAGGAGAACTATTTAAATGCTATAAAGATACCAATATATTTCACAGGAACCCGCTCTATTTTAAGAGTAGTTGTGTTGCAAAGTTTATGCCTCTCTTTTAAGTTAAAAATAAAATGTTGTGTTAGGAAGACTTTGTAAATTTGAAAATCTTTTTGTGTCTTAAGAATAAGTGGGTGTATGAAAGACTCAGAATGAATATGTAAATATTCTAGAACAGGAAATGGGCAAATCAGGCTTGGTGTTTAAGCACTGTTGTGTTCAGGAAAGAGCACTCCAGCTGAAGGGCCTCCTCAAAGGGGGAACAAAGACTGGATGTGTGACAGGCTTGGAAACTGAGCCATCTAAAGAATGCAACCCATCACACCACTTCCTCCTTGACAAATGTTTCCTGAACATTAGCTATTACTATTAACATTTCTTGAGGCAAAGCTACATCTTCATGGAAGCATGCAAGTACACAAAGATTACCTTTTTCCGCTCAAACATATCACTAGACCAGCCTTAGGCATACTGCCAGAATTAATATTACAATCTTTTTTTAAGTGCACTGTGTCCATCAAACTAAGATTCCACTACAAATGAAATATTACCACGAGATGTCATCAAAACAATGACCATCCACATCTGGAAGAGACAAAGAACTTACTTATCCATACAATTACAATACACTATTAACAAGACAGGTAATGAGAGTAAAGGAAAAGGGAAATGATGATATTGTTGCTTTTACACCAAATTCTCAGAGCTAAAATATCAGAATGTAGAGTAGACTGTGCTGAGATCTTGGTAGTAAAGTGGTTATGCATTCAAGGGTTGGGAACCCCAGATTTCTAAGACAATAGTTATTGGTCTCCTGGAGATTCCACTGAGAGTAGAGCTTTGGGTCTGATTGAATAATACAATGACAATAGTTTGTAAGTTATTTATTGCCAAGAATACTTCCACAGCACAGATGAAATCAAAGTTCAACAGTTGACATAATAAAGCCAATGAGTTAGCCCTTAAGCTTCTTCTTTGGTCGAAGGTTATTGCTGTGACCACATTTCTTCTTGCGGCAGTTGACTGCTCGAGGATGCAGACGGGCATAGCACCTGAAAAGAAAGGAATGTTCAACTTCAAACTTGTATCCAGATATAATAACAAATAGTAGGAGTTCCTTGTCCACAATCCAAATCTTAAAGAGAAAATATTTATTGACTGAATGGGTGGGCCAGACATGGAAATATTTGGCTTGAGGCCATGAGGATCAAAATAAGCCCATGAAATTTTCCCATCCGATCCAATAAGTCTAAAAGCAATTTATCACATAGTGGTCACTCTTCTTCATCCTTTCATCTCTTAGCTCCCATCTTTCACTTTAAGTGGCCAGACACAGCCCTCACACAAGATTTTTGTTCATGTTTGTGGATAAATGCAAGCACACAGCCAAACAGTTCATACAACAACATTTAAATTTTTAATTGTGTTGTCTGTGATCTCACAGTGATCAATAACGGAGAAAAATGAGAAATATACCACACCATGGAAGTTGCACTTTGCTTGAAGCAATGATGAAACACAAAGTTGGTTATTAAATAATAAAAAGAAAACATACTTCCTGCAGATCATTTTATCACAGTTATATTTCTGTGCCAAAAGGCGCAAACTGGGTTCAATAACCCCACCACGCAGCCTCAACACAAGATGGAGAGTGGATTCTGTTGATGGAAAAAATCAAAATGGCAATAAGCCAAAAAAGGTTCTCAGCAGGATCTAATGGTGGATCATTACGGCCGTGATTCAGGATTTACTTTTACTGTCATACAGGTCAAGCATGCTAACTATACCTTTCTGGATGTTGTAGTCAGAAAGAGTTCTTCCATCTTCTAATTGCTTGCCAGCAAAAATAAGCCGTTGCTGATCAGGAGGAATACCTACAATCAAAAACAGTCTGTTAAATTCCTTTTGTTCCTGGCATTTGATTGGCAGTTCTTCCTCGTAGCTGCTATACACTGCTTGTAACAGAACTAACCTCTTGAATGCTTTCAAGACATAGTCCCTGAGTCAAGATTTTCTCTTTTCAGTGGCAGGGCGTGAAATTGCGCCTAATACAGGTGCCAGTGCGACTAAGTTTTTCACTTTGCTGACCAAATCCTGAAAATTAGTCACCAAATTGACAACTAGAATGCTTCATCATAACCTTACTTAGAGATATAGTGAATTAAAAAGATTTGCAAAGGTAAAGCCACAGCAAACTTTCTTGTTAAGTTTGTTTTCAAAACGCAGCACAGGCATCTAAGGCGATGACTAGACACCATCTTGTATTTAGGTGAGCTTGAACGTTGTATATCATCTTACCTATCCAATTTGTAGCATGTTAAAGATCTTTTTCCTGACTTACTGTAATTTCCGGTCGTTTACCTGCGGGTAATCTGTTGATTTTGCATTAAACGCGCGCCACTGCGGGTAATAGGGAGGTGCGGGTTATGTGACAATTTTAAAATCCAGTGGTAGTTGAATTGAAAAAAAAAATATCACCAACATGCGTTTCCACCTCTCAAGTAAATTATATTGTGTTAATAGTGCCGCAAAGCGGCACGAAAACGTGATGCCGACTCGAGTTTATTTCACGCATAATTAGTTGCGCGACGAACAAATTATTATCGGCACGCGTGAAAACAAAACCTTGATGGTGACAAAAATTATCCAAAGATATCCGGCGCATCAGTAACAAATTTCCATTTAACACTAGCTTGAGCTAAAGAGAAATTTCCCGTTTTAAGGGACTCTTTAGGCCCAATAGAACCGGAGATATCGATTTTTTCAGAAATCGCCGACAGTACTTTATAATTCAACTTTTAATACTCACCCAGCTTTTTTTCAACAAATCAACATGGCGCTGAACGATGGCTCGCACAAAATGTGGCCACAAATTCGCATTCTGTCAAGTATGAAACGTTGAGGTTTGGGCATGGGCCGCTAGTGTTTTTACTGTATAATCTTATCAATAAAGTACATGCTAATATTGACACAGAATTGTGCACACGTCTGAATTTCTTTGACCTTTAAACTCAACAAAGACGCTTCGAAGTTTTCGAAAGTTAGATCAGACAACTTTTAAAAGACTGAAATGTATCACCTTACTGTCACATTTTCGCCACCAAAAAGTTGAATAACAGCGTGCGGGTTATCCACCAGTGAGGGTAATCTGGTGACTTTTTTTTTCGCCGTATGCAATAATCGGCCGGTGCGGGTAATCGGCCGTGCGGGTAAACAACCGGAAATTACGGTAATTTCGGAGGGGTCTACCTAGAATGCTGACAGCATTCAAAAGAGGTTTTGTTTGTCTTTAAAAATGGCAACCAACTTTTTTTGAATCGGCTACCACTTTGAAAAAATTTAGGAGCCAAGTGGCCATCAGAAAAAAAAAAAAAAAATTTCACACCCTGAGTAGCCCTTATAACAACACACTGAGTAAATTAGAATTTTGAGAGATTCATGTTAACTCAGGCACACTGAAGTCTTTTTAACTGGCTCTAGACATTTGAAGTGAAAATGATGATGCAGGTATAACTTTACAGTACTCAAAGGGTTAAGAAAGATTTAAGTCATATCTAAATTAACACCATCTAGCTAATAAATAAATTTGTCTATCACTGTCACCTATTTGCTTGATATTTTAATTAAATTAAATCAATAAGCTAATCACTGCTGTGCTGGTGAAACAGATAAGTCTCAGACAGATAACATTTTAAGCAACTGATTAAAGCATCAAACACAGGAAAGTGAACCAATCTTGCCAATTCTAATAATAACCACAACTGCTCAAATCTTTACCTCTTCCCTACAGAAAACTAGTAGTAGGTAACCTAGCACTTTAATCTAGGTTCATCTAACTAATGTCCTGCATTGTGATTGTGCTAGAATGAGAATTTCAAGATGACCCTTTATCCATTATAGAAACAATAGTGATGATGGAAGTGATGTAAGTTTTTTTGCATCACAGACACTGACAAAAAAAGGTGTATCTGTTACAATGATCTAGGCGTCCTTTTGGACAACCACAGAGATAGATCTCGAGTAAAGGATGACTGATGCAATGTTTTACTGTTCAGAACAAGTTTAATCGTCACGACTGTTAGTTCCTACGAAAATTATTACCGTTTTAACCAAATGCCACTCGAATGCTTCAACGTTACAGGAATGCATATATTTCATAATAGTGATATTCTTCGAGCTTTGCACTACAAGTTTGCCCGATACTTAACAGAGAAAGTCACCCAAGCGCTTTTGATTTACTGCCATCGTTCTTTAATACGCAACAACTAGAATTGTTTATTATTTTACCTTCCTTGTCTTGGATTTTAGTTTTCACATTCTCGATGGAATCACTTGGTTCAACCTCAAGAGTAATGGTTTTACCCGTGAGGGTTTTGACAAAGATCTGCATGGTCTTCACCCGGTGAAGATCTGAAAGGAAAGCAACGATAACTAAATTTATTATTCCTCTCTTATGACAGGATCAGGTTGAAAAATAACCGAGTATTTTTCGATTTTTTCTGACTACAAAGTAATATCTAGCGCCGAATTACCTCGTGTCTTTGATAGAGAGAAGGAAAAATGTGTGGGGCGGCCACAAAGTAATTGAAGGGTTTTAGCGCCCGCGATATATCATAATTGAGCTTTCTATGTTGTGTAAATCAAAGTGAAAGTTCTTGAAATCAACATGGCGGGCGAAGATGCGACCATGGAAGATCTCGATTCGCCATCACAGTGGTTAGTCGAACGAGCTCGGCAAAGCTTGAGAGAGAATAATCCTTATGAAGCTAAAGCGTGGCTAATAACTGCTAAGACACTATATCCCAAAGATTTCGGGATTCAGGTAGGCTCAGAGCTTGCAATTATTTGTCCATTGATTTGTAAGTTTCTGCACCAGTTGTCATGTTTTCTGTTCAGTCTGCGTCTATGATTGTCTAGCGGCGTCTTTGGTCAATACTTATAGAACGATCCATAGATTTAAGTGAGTTATCATCGTGTCTCGCACTCAAAACTGCAGTGTTTGATCACTTAGGATTTTTTTTTATATATATTAAATTGTTACTTAAGTCTTATTTAACCTTAAATGCGGGTGATTTAGGGAGTAAAGTTAAAATTAAAATTTCTAATTAAGTCACAGAGATACTACTATTCTTGGATGGGATCATCATCCCAGTTAGAAAGATAACATTGTGTAGTCTGATTGTCCAAGTGAGAGTAGTCATGGGAAGGACTGTTGTTTGTAGGAGTGACTGATGTTTTGATGACCTCAGTAGAAGTCTTTATTAGTGATGAGACTTCTGCTAGGGTCATTAACACGTCAGTCTCTACAACAGACAACAGTCCTTCTCTGGATTCTGTGGACAATCAGACCACACAATCAAATGTTACTTTAAGGTTGCTGTTTTAGAAGTTTAGAAGTTCTCCTTGGTATCTTATGGCAAAATAAGTTGGGAAGTTTTGCCATTCAGTCTCATATATACTTCATTATCTTTGTCTCTTGAAGCTTGTTTTTGCAGGAGCCATTATGATAATGCAGAGAGACTTTTTACCATTTTGAAACAATCACTTGTGCTTGGCATCTTGATGTATGTACCATTTCACTTATGTGAAGCATTTCATTTCAGTATGAGGCTTACAGTATCGAGAGAAATGCTGAGCGAGTTCAGGAGTCTGCCAAGCTTTTCTATATTATGTGAGTTTGTTGATTTTAGATTCCCTCTTGTCAGAAACTTGGGGAGTGGAATACGTAAAGAGGAAGAGAAGGCATTGTCTTCACTGAGAAATGTAGTCACAGGAGATTAGTGTAAAGTAATGAAGGAAGATTGCCCATATCAACTAAAGATAGCTCACAGCATCAATATTTAGTCAGGGAATTCTGTGTTGGAAGTGGATAGTTCTCCAATGTCCAATTTCTTATGGATACCTTTAGAGGAACCTACCCAAATTTAAATTTATGACCTTTAACAAGACCTTTTGCTTGACTTGTGTTTTCCAGCTTCTGATCTGTACTCTCAACTTAAACATACATTAAGCTGGAAATTACTTTTTCATAACGTTTTTTCAATGTAGAAAAATATATTTATTAGGTTTGAACAGTTTCCAGAAAATGACATTCTTTGGAAGGAAGTTGTTAGCTTCACTGATGCTCTTGAAAGTGATGTCATGGACCAACATGGAAAGTTTCTGACAGGTACCTAATTAGGTGTATTCATTAATAGGTAAATCTACATTTTGTTAAAATAGTTAATCCTCTCTACCCATGCGGCAATGAGATATGAAGATTAATATTGTGTGAAAACCACCATTATCATCATCAATTTCATTTTTGCCATGAGTAGTGTTATTATATGTTTTTTTTTCTTTAGATATGTTTGGCTGTCTTCCACAGCATGCACAGCGAGAGATACTTCTCAAGGCTGCAGGTGAGCAGTATATACATTTTATATTAACACTTGTGTATGAAATTTTTTTTGATCCCTCTGCTTGAATGTTTTAGGGAGATGCAAAGATTACATAGAGAGATGTCGAATGATGTTGCTGTTAATGAGGAGATTTCCTGATGTGATTCCAAAGAATGGGGTATTTGTGTGATCAATTATATTTACATCATTATCATGTTTAATTATAGTACTAACATCAGACCAAGAAATTTTCTCTATATGTCGCAAGTAAGATGAAAACTTTTCCAATCAAAATTTAGTAATAAAATCATAAGACTGCATTTTTTTCTAAGTTTCATTGTGACCCAACTTGTTTGTACTGAAGTGTTCTTTATTCAGATGATGGTGGCAAGATTGATGTTATTGTTACATTAAGGGTTGTGCTGACCCAACATGTTTGTACTGACAGAAGTATTCTCTATTTATATGCTGGTGGTCAGATTGATATTATTGTTATATTTTACTACAGGTTGCTCTGACAGAGATGTTGATTGAGGCTGAAAACTCAGAGTATCTAGCAGCTCCTGTTAATCCTTACAGGAAGTTATTAGGTTTGTGCTGGCAGCTCCTGACTCACTCAAAGAGCATATTTCTCAAGGTGGTCTTGACATGAATGTGATCCCCTTCCGTCAAGTATATGACAATTTGTAGTTATAATTCTTTATAACTGTTTGGTATTTTGATTATTGCTGAAGAGATTGATCAGGCATAAAGTTTTCTTGTTAAATTGCAGCTCATGAAGAAGTTCTTCACTTGTAATTTTAAGAAGGGGTTACCACAGTTGTCAGTAAATGTTCCCTGTTTTCAGCTTGACCAGTATTTTATATTTTTGCCAGAAGCCTTCATAAGGGAAGTGAGATAATGGACCTGATTGTTTAATAGATTCTGAGGATTTAGTCAGTTACCAACCCATGTTTGGCTCTACTTTTACAAGTCTGGAATTCTTGCGTTGCTTTTGCCCCTTTTATTCCCAAAATTGATTAAATTGTAACTTCTCCTCACAATTTCAACATATTACACAGTAATGTAGGGAAAGAGAAGGGACATACTCATCACCTGAAGGGTGTTGCCTTGATATAGCACCAAATTAAATTGATCTATAACAAACTGAATATTAGTTTGAAAAAACCATACCAATCAGATTTCTAGTAAGTTAAAAAGCATGTCAAGACTTTTTTTTCTTAGTTACTGTGATGCTGTCAAAATATTGTTGCAGTGTGTGACGTATTGCCTCACTTACTGGCCAGTGAAAAGATGACAGTTAGTACTTCAAGTGCTGAGAGTCAAAGTGGTGAAGATAAGGAGGTTTGTCATCTTAGTGTAAGACAGAGCTCTTAGCATTTCATTGTTGTATGACCACACATTTGTGTTTTTGTACTCCTAAGTGTAATTTAAGGATAAATTGTCTACTTCTCTCAATTTTAAGCTTTAATCAAATTTAACGTATCACAGGCAGTTATATCTTTTACCTGCAGATAAAGGTCAGCAAAATGCTTCAACTGTGGTTTAAGCAGTTACTAGAGGAAAAGTCAGGAAAAAAGAATGCTGCTACCAAAACTACTGTACAAAATAGCTAATACTGTTAACTTTCTCATAAATCAGATGATCACAATCAGTGTGAAGTTATAAAATATTTTAATTTTCATGTAAAACTGATCTTCTTTTATTTAGATGTCTTGTGAAATGGTATGCTCAACTTTCCCAAACTACACCATCACAACAATCTTAATTTATTATTTGTTTATTTTTTTTTGTCTTGATCTAGGGGATTGTTTCTGGCATCTCTCTGGCTCAAGTTTACAAGTGGCTGGAATTATCCATTCAATTTTATGTCTCCTGTACCACAGCCCATAACTACATGTCCGAAAACTTTGATGTTCATCAGAGCATTGTAGACACAAGTATTGTCGCTGAAGTGCTTGATGGACAAGGGCCATGGATAGCCCTTCATGAGCTGTTTTACTTGGCAGCAAAGAAATGTGGATGGGTGGAGATTTGTAGGATTCGTGAAAGACTGGATTCTAAAAAATACAGGTGAAGAATCTCTTTCCTGGAATCAAGAAGCTTATGGTTGTGGATTAAGCAGTGGGCATCAAGCCATTCCAATTTTTCGATGATTATTATTTAACTTTGATTTGGGTCTGTTATGGCTTACAGGTGATTCAAGACTTTTTCAAAGTTTCAACCCCCCAGCCTTCAAAGTGATTGAAGTCAAAGACTTTTGCACATAATTTGATGTTAAGCTTGCAGGGACTAAAATGGTGTGCATCATGTTATATCTTTCCAGAAGCACCAATGACCATTGGACAAGTATTTTAGACCTACATCACAAACTGAAAAAAATGTCCAAGCATAGCTTGGAAGAAGGCACAGAGGAGGAGGTGCTTGAGAAAACTGGGCTTATGTTTGCTGCCATCATTTTATTCTTACAGACTGTCTGGGAATATTGCCGTGTTGTCAACAGACTTGACGTAATATGTAAGTAGGGTTCCTGTGCTAGTTACCATGTCCTACCTTACCATGGCCATTTCACAGTTATGTACTTAGTTGCCTTGCCTTTGATTTGGAGTGAAGCTGAACATGACCTTGTTGTGATGATAACAAAGAAATTTGAAAAGCAAGCAAGGTTTGTATCATAACAAGGTCAACCTTAGCCTCATTCCTGTTCAAAGGCTTGGCAACCAAGCACACAACTGTAAAATGGACTTTTGTCAGCAGACTGGGTTCAAGCCCTTGGCAGAAGGAGACAATTGAGTTCTGATATTCTGTCAGAAAAACTGGGTAGAGGAAGAAAAATGGGTACCAGCAAATTCTGAGGGAATGTACATGGATGCTGCAATCTTAAAAAATCTTAACACGCAATCAAGAAGTCAGGGAATACTCCTTAACATGTCATGTTACAGTTACTGCACTTGAGTCTTTCAGCAATACCAGTTAATCTCATTTCCCAAAGTTACCTTAACTTAAAATTTATTTTCCACATAAGTTCTTATCATCCATCTTTTCCAAGGTTAGAATTAAAAAGTGGAAAATGATCAGATTTCATGTCTTTAAAGTTTAGAATTTAATGATAAAATATGATGATGAAATTCAATGCTTATTGACTTGCAAGGTATCCAGTTTGTATCCTATTCTGATCAGGATATAGAACCTCATTCAAAAATGTAAAGAGTACTGATAGTGGTGAAGTTATCACTGAATACAAAATGGCCAGCACTTTGCTATCATTGCTGACTATTGTTTCACAAAGTGCTAAAACATTATAAATTTCAGTTGCTTAAAATTTATTGTGATCTGGCATGTTCATTTTTATTGATGTCATTCTAGAACTTTCTGATCAACTTACATGAAGATTAACAAGATAATTTTGGTATTATGAACTGAGTTGATACTGTAAATTGGCCTCCTTTAAGAGTTTCAAAGCAGACATTTGGAGCATTATCCCTTTGTCCAAGCAAATGACATGAATGACATGAAGATTACCTAACTTGTTTTTCTAATTCCTTAACAGCTTCATCTGGTTTGGTGTATCCTTTGGTTTTAGTTGAGGACAGTGTTGAAGTCAACACTCAGCTATCAGGCAATGCTTCTGCAAGCACCGCAGCAAGTGACAGGTATGAGTAATGGGAATAACAAACAAGACAATCAGTATTAGTGTAGAACACTTGAAAAACAGTTAATTATTAACTTGGTCACAGATAAGGAATGACGAAAGCATAATGTGTGTCAGCAGAATAAGAGGAATGGTAACTTTTTTTGGTTGAGCAATTCAACATTACTGGTCCTAGCAGTATAAAGGACATACAAATATATGCGAAATATGAACCTTGTAATGGCCTAGCTCACCACAGAGTCCCTGTAGCTCAGTGGTAGAGTATCAGAGCCTGGAAGTTTGAGGGTCTGTGATTTGATTCCTTGTGGGGACTCTGAACTTTTTTTCTTTGTCCCACACTCATAGCAAGACCAAAAAGCATCTGTCTCTATTTCTTTATTGTGCTCAAAATTTACCATCTTTCTTTTTCTGTGTATTAAGCATTCAGATATTTGCAAGCTTTTTTTAAACCAAAAAACATTTCTTTACTTACACAAAGCATTGTAAAAATGTTTTGGAGGAAGGGTTTTTTTGAAATCATACTCTGTTGCCTTTTTAAATCTTTTCCATGGACAGCCCAGCACCAAAGAAGAAAAAGCGAAAATTGGCATCTGTAAGTATGATTATACTGTACTCTCTGACTTATTGTTTTCCAACACCACTGATAAATTGGTTTTTATTTGGACAGCTGAAACTAACTCTGGTTCAACACCATTTTGTAGGGCAGGTCTGGTTCTCCTGCAAAGGATGACAGTAAGGGAAAGCAACCATCACACATCATAATTGATAAAAGTAAGACAGCTTTGGAAGATGTGATAAATAAAGGGTTCTCTGTAAAAGTTATCTAATTCTTATTAATCCTTGTAAGGTACTGGCTACACAAATTGGCCACATAGGACTAGCTACACATTGTATTGTATGGCCCAGCTGCTAGGGAGTAACAAAATATCAGACAGACTTCAGAGAGTCTCTGAAGTTTGAGGAAATCGGCTATAAGTGGACATCTTACCTTCTGCCTTGAACTTATTTTGCCTAATCTTATTGAAACGTTCGCAAATGTAAACATTGTAACTTCAGCAAAAACGGAAACTTTGAACATCTGTGAGCAATTTATTTAAAAAAAGCAAAACTTCGTTTTTTGGGTTTTTTTTCGTTCATAGATAGGACTGGAGAACAGAAAGACTCGGGAAAGGCGGGTTTGAAATTATGATAATATCAGTAATACATCCAAGTCCATAGTCCACTATTGTTTATTTATTGTTCGTATTTTTTATGTAGACTGTGGTGCTGTCAGTCAAAACCTCTCAGATGACTTCGCTGTATCTGTAGAGGCTTGGCACCTTCTCAACACATATCCTGACTATAAAAACGGTTTGTCAACAGTGCAAAAACACTGTGTGAAAATACTTTTTATAAAAATCCGGTGTTGCGACATTGTGATGGAGTAGAACCACGCTGAAAATTTTATTTATTGAAGAATGGTTTTAAGTTCATGTCAGTGGGAAGTTTGAGTGAACTAAGATCGAATTATCAAGATTGTGGTGTGTGGCATTCGGCAAGATTGTACGAAAAGTTTGCACGTGAACTTGTCATTTTTCCTCACACATTTCGGTAATAACCCGAGTCGGCGATTTCACTTATTTTGTAGCTCAAGTAGCTGTTGGCGTGGCTTAAATTAACAACTGCGGTTTTTAAAGCTGAGGGATCATTCAAGCCTGCCTGAAGTCCAGGAACTCACTCTAATTATATATTTGTGGTGTTTACAGATTTTCTGCGTCTATTAGACGAGTGGCGCGTGGACCAGTGGAACTGGATGGGAACGTTTAAAGTGGACCGACTTATTTACAAGGTGACACAACCAGCAGGGGCATGGGGAGGGTTTTGCAGCCGTAAGCCCTACATTACTAGCTTACAGACTTTTGGGAGCTTTTCAAATTGTATTATTATCAAAAAATTATGATGTCGCGAAAATAGGAGTTTAGGGTAATTTTCACCCAAGGGCCCCTTCTTTAGCCTACAAACGACATGCAGTCGCGGATGTTCATCTAGTTGGTTTCTGTATCATTTGTTCACGAAGTTCCTCCTTCCACGCATCCCTGAGTATCAGGGAAAACTATCAGAGAAAACCTGATGAAATACTGAGGGGTCAGAACATGATGTGACTGGCGGAAATCATTTCCAATAATAGTCGCAATACTCGTGTTGCTTCGGCTCTGGTGTGTGCAAGGAACTTGGCCAAGAAAACGTTTTTTCAACTGGTTCTCGATGATATTTAAGTTTGGATTGTTGATTCTGTTAGATTCGATTTGAATTCGTTTGAATTATGTCTCTTATGTAGGGTAAATACAAGAAAGCTGTTGAGTTTCTTCAGGAACAACGAAATGCATTGGAACAGGACACTTCGGGAAATCAAGAGGTAAGGGCGCTTGAAGGAAAGCTTGAACAATTTGATGCGATGTAATGAGGTGTTGCCCATAGGACGTTCTGATCACATTGCAAGCCAAGAAATAATGGAATATCGGAGGAAAGCTAAAGGTTAATTGCTCAAAGTAGTTAAGTGTTCACTAACAGAGGAAAATATCTCAAAAGTGACGTACCAACTGTAAACAGTTTCCCGAATCAATAGTCTTCTCGATCAATCTGTCATTTTTTTCTCTAAAAAAACAAGCTCAAGCTAGACCAAAATGAAGCAGAATCCAGTTCGTAGCCTCGCAACAAATCTCAGCCTGCTCATTTACATCAGAAACACGCTTAAGATGAAAACGTGGAAAACGTTTAGAGTGTTATTTGTTTTTACCAATTTGTATTTTCTTTGTCTTGTGGTTTAGCTACTTATCAGAGGAGCCATTCAGTTGTCATGTTGCTACTTCCGCCTCGATGATCACAAGGTAATAAACAAACCAATTAGAAATGAAAATGGATAGTTGTTTTATGATAAAAATCATTACTTTTTTACATTATGGTCTTATGTTTAGCTCTGTGGATTGCGGTTCAAGAGATCTGGGTTGAGTCTTAGCTGGAATCAGTCGCGACCATGTCCAGGGTCTCCTCTCCCTTCCCTTAGAACGGAAGGAGGTCTAGGGGTGTAAAAGAGGAGAAATTCCGAGCAGAAGAAGGCTTTGGGGGGTGGAGAGAAGTGAGATCTTGGAACGGAGATGGAGTCGTTGCCGTGTGTTGTGTTTATGGGCAAGACAATTCTTTCAGCCATAAATCGAAGGGCAAAAACCCGGTTCGTTGCCTACAATACGAACCTTATCTCGGTTAGAAAGAGCTATGCGTGTGTAACTCGCATTCGTTTGTTCTTGTTTTCATCAGAGAGCATGTGAAGAAGCACTATATGGTTTGCAATTCTTCTCGGCGAGAAGTTCAGCTGGAGATAACATGACACTGAAAAGATCAACATCAGTGCATCAAGGAAAACTTGATGCGAGTGGAAATGAACCATCCTTGTCAAGCTCTTCCTCAACTGGCGGTATACTAACACAAAATCACCTTTCAATGACTGCTTCGTAAGCATACCTAGGGAAGGTGTCAGGGAAGGTGTTTGTGTTTGCCGAATGGAGGGAGATTTGCAGTGGAGGGGGGGGGGGGCAGCATCGGAAATGGCCTAGTGTCAAGAGAATATTCTCCTGTTTCGCGTGTTATCCGGCCTGGTGGAGGGTCCAGTATTGTTGCAACCCAAACTTGAGTGCTCGGTACTGACGAACCGTGTGAATAGGTCTATTCTAAGAACTGGCAAAGAGTGAACAGCTGTTTTTATTGTTGTGGTGTGGATTGTTGTATTGCTGTTTTTGGTTTGTTTCTTTAAAATTTTTTTTTTTGTGATAATTTTTCTATTGAACCCTCAGGTCGATGTTTAAGACTGATCCAGTGCAGTGAAACAGAAGTGCTTTCTTTTACTGTCCGTTTACTTCTTTCGTCACTGAAGGTAGTTTTTCTCAATAATGTAAAGCCTCTCTAGTCACACTTTGTACCCAAAAAGTCTTTCAAGCAGTAATCTCGAGCGAAAGACAAAACAACACAAACGAAACCAGAACCATAAAAAATGATGCGCTTAAAGTTTATTCCCTCAAAATGTCAAGCTTAAGAAACGTAAAAAATCAAAGTTTGGATCGTCCAGTGCAACCATTTTGTTTCCATGTTTTCTGTTCGTATTTTTGCCCTGCCTCACTGTGTAATATATATTTTGCGCGTTCCGTTCCCCTAATATGGTGAAATGGTGTAATAGTAGATTGATGGGGGAAAAGTCAACTGAGCGATGTTGTGTTACACAGTACCATATTTTGAGAAATATATAGAGACAATGGTGAGAAGTAAACTAAAGCCATGGGAATGAGAGGAAAAAACATTTTTCTTACTTCTAGCAAAGGCTGGTGACGGAAGGGCGAAATGACACACTCCTTGGTCACGTGGTAGTGTTAGTGCAGTTTGGTTGGCCAAGAGAAGAGGATGCCTTCTATGAGCTCCTGGACAGGATCCGTGATCAGGGAGGACTGAGATACAGAGTGTTTTTCAGTTACGTGAACAGTATCCTTTTTTAATTCGAATTCTTAGAAATGTTTTTAATTACAGTCTGTGCCGGTGGGGATCCTTGCGGATCCCGGAACGATTCCTTACAGGAGTCCCGGCTAGATCCCGTTGCAACCTCGACGGGAACCTTGGCGGGAATCCCGGCGGGACCTGGCGCTTTTCCTAGCGGGAATACATGTAAGATCTCGTTGGGTATAAGAATACAATTTACGCCACGTGCGTTTCTTTTTAATGTGTTTACTTTGCCGCTTTGTGGATTTAGACCGGGTGATAAACAGTGTCCTCCAAGTTTACTTAATAGTGTGCAGATATCGATATTCTGGAGGAGTTCGCGCACCTCTACAGTGATGATTCGTACAACCTCGATCTAGTTCCTCTCTCTACATCTGGTTCAGGGTAAGTCCTAAATATGGCGGTTATTTCCCATGTTATGTCACCAACGTCTACTCCAATGTGAGACGTGTTCCTTCGCGAAATGTCGTTTGCTAAATTTAGAATTTTAAAGGAAGGTAAAAGTGAGCGTCTTGTGATTTATTTTCACCCCTTTCGAATCAAACTCTGTCAATTTTTCCAGGCTATTTCAATATGTCTTTTGTGTGCTATTGGGAGAGTTTGTTTCTTTTCTCCATTTGGTGTCATTAAAACGACCCCAAAGCTATCTCAATAAATAATCAGAATAAAGCAATATACTTACAGGACCCACTTCCAGCTCAAAGTTACAATAAATAAACTGTGTGAAGCGCGGGAAAACTTGAGTGTCTAAGTCGAAGTTGGTTTTTGTTTAGTATCTGACTTGCGGAAAGAGAGCTGTGTGTTTCCTTAACCAGTCACAGAGTGTCAACATGTCTCAAGTGCAGGAAAACCTTAGTATCCAAGTCGCAACTGGTTTTTGGTTAGCATTTGTTTGGTTGAAAGAGTGATGTGTGTTTCTTTAACCAATCACTGAGCGGCTACTTCTCTAAAGTGCGGGAAAATCTCAGTGTTCAAGTCGCAACTGGTTTTTTGTTAACATTCGATTGGTTGAAAGAGTGATGCTTGTTTCTTTAACCAATCACAGAGCGTGCTCGGAGTCGTAAGGCAAACCAATTTAATACTGAGTTACTTTTTACAATAATTTCAAAATTACCCTGTTAAATGCCAGCTCTGTCAATTAATGTCTTTAGAAAATTTTTAGAGATCCGTTGTTACTTACGCTTTACTTAGTTTACTTCTTCTTGACTTATTTGACTTCGGTTACTTACTTTGCAGTAGAGCAGTGACACGAGGAGTTAACAAGGGAGCCAAAGAGGACTTTCGTGCCGCCATGGAGAGACAAGTCAGTCGCAGTGATGAAAGCTTTGAACCACTTCTCAAAGCTTTCTTACAAAACGAGAAAGATTCTCTTTTAAGCTGACACAAACATGACGCAACGACGTAACCTCACGTATAACTGAGAAACAATATTAATGAGATTTAGAACGTAATGGTTATTTCTGTTAAAGTATTACGGTTTAAGTTTACTAAGCTTTGGAGAACTCTTTCTTTCTATGAGCCCTGTTAATCGAAAGAAAAGTTCTGTATTCTCAACCAATCGGGAACGAAAACCAAACCCACTACTTCCGCGCGTTTTTACCCGTTATGCGCGAGATGTCTCACTTTGTCTGAAACTGCACCCCGGTGACTTAAATTGTTATCCAGCCACTAAAACGACCCAGCTCTTAACACTTTTGCATCGCTCGTCTCATTTTTGAAGTTTGACTAAAATTTACAAGTACAGAAAAAGAGGAGATATCACATTGTAAATATCGAGAATAAAATTCTTAGTCAAAAAGGAAACAGCTGTTGTTTTTGTCCATCGTTATCTTCGTTTTAAATTTGCGTGTGCTCTTCACCTTTTACAACGCGAGGCTAGGCATAGATTAGCCCTTGTGGATTATTTTCTTTTTCCAGTCGAGCTCGGAGTCCATTCGTCCATGTAAAGAAGAGGTGGTAAACCGGCTTTACAAAGAGTATTAACAAGGGTGTTCGTTGGCGCACGCTTTTATGATACAACTTATCATCCACTCGCCGGTGCATAGAGCTAGAAAGACAAGATCATGGTAATCTTTTTGTAACTCGACAGTGTAAAATATACTCGGGGACGGAAGGAGCATGGATTACTCTGATCGATTTGCGTCAAGTCCGCGCGTCCCTTGTTGGCGTCACTTCATAGTTATTGTATTGACGACTTGTGTGTACATACACGACGTACTCAGTCGCTTTGTGCCTCAGTGACCTCAATCACGTTGGGTACTGGGACTACGCTAATACCTTACCTTAGTTAGCTATTACCCTGTCACGGTAATTTTCCTGGTAATTAGAACGCTGTCACTTTTTTAAGAGAGGAAATTCGTACAAAAGTTGACAACGCACCTTCAATTGACTGGTTCAAACCTGCAAAACTATAGTAGAAAGTGGACCCGCGCAAAGACAACCTTGATTGATCGAATCGAAACGATCAGCGCGAACTGAGAATTTAAATCGTCGAGATCGTGGATTTATAGTGTATGTGCGATTATAATTCATAAGTTTTGCAATCATTAAAACAAGATTTAAACGATCTCTAACCTTAAAAGATTTACTGCGATGCCCTATAATCTGAAAGCAGAAAAATGCAGGTGTTCTGGTGCACAACAATATTTTACGGCTATCATCGCCATACTATAGCGATCCCTACATTTACTCATTGCGTTTTTTATTTTTAATTTCTAAATCGCTTTGCATACTCAACTTTGCTTTGTAGGTGCGTCCCGAGGGATGCATTTTAAAAGAGTAATTTGCGGGACGGGACCACATCAGGATTTCTATTTTTTAGGGACAACCTCAGTCACAGTGTCGTTTATGTGTATACGGTAGTAGTGCAATTGCAAAGCGCTGCGAAAAAAATCTACATATCTCGCCAAAAATGGTTGAAGAAAGTAGAGAGAGATGTCCTCTTGGAAAGACATAAACTGTTGGGAAGATAGCTTATAAATTCGAAGCAATTCTTTGCATTTCCAAAGTTGTTGCTCGGCCTTGAATAGTTTACCTTTCGCTTAAGTTGTTGTACGGGAAGAATAGACGAGAACTTAAGGCTGTACAGTCTGCTTGCCAGACAGCATCCAAGTTGTTTGGACGTTGCTGAAGAGCTTTTTTTGAGGTCTTCATGAAAAGGCCCGCTTTGGAATAAGCCAGCACCTCTCCCTCCTCACTTTAGAAAAGCAGTTTGTATGTTGAATAGCCAGTTTTGTTCACAATTTCAGTAATTTGATGGATTGTTTGCCACTGAGGATTAATCGGATCATAACTGTTATCGAAAACCCATGAAAAAAATAAATAGAGAACGATGCTTTATCGTCTTTTCGCGAGTGTGAAAAATATTCAGAGTAACCATGAGGAATCGAACCTCAGCCATTCGCATCTCGCTTTGACGCTCTACCTCTGAGTCATTAAGGCTCTTTGAGGTGAGAAGGAATGCAGACCGCCATCTTGATCAATTTTCTTTCTAAGGGGAAAACCAACTACCCTGTAAAGTAGCCTGCAATCACTTCAACGCATAGGCTTGTTTGGTTTACCATCTGTGCGCTGGCCAGAAACCGCACAGAGTAGGTTGTTGATTTCTCGCACACGTAGCTCGAATCTAACGATGGTTTGTGCTGATTTCATCCAATCTGTGTTCGATGTTTGAGTTCCCTCGTATCATTTTAACGATGAAACAACTCAGACCCGGACTCTAAGCCAGCCTCTCTCAATAAAGAGTCAATACACACCAGGTACTGTCAAGACGACTTGAGTCTTAGGACAGCACTGTAGTTCACTGAGATACATGATAAACAATAGTTGATAGCTGACTAATAAAGAGGAGGCAAAACGCGATTACTGAATTCTACTGAAGATACATGATCGTCCAAAGCTTACCATGGGATTTTTTCAACCCTTATAAGACAACCGAGATTTGTTCTTTAAATGGGTCAGAAGACTGCAGGTCAGAGGCGGAAGCAAGCGGTAAACTGCGGTATCGCGGCGACTCTTAGAGACCTATGCGTGGGAAGGCTCACGCTGGGAAAACCCCGCGCAAACTTGTCAATGCGCTTAAATTAAACAATTATGTCTGCTAAGGCAATTTCAGATCACTCTCTTGAAAACACTGTATATATCAATCTCCATACGGCGTGGACGTAGACGATATCGAAGGAAAGAAATCGGGTGGGTTTATTGATAATATCGTGCGATCTTCACAGCGCGCAATCTACTAATCACGCTAAGGTCTTAAATCTTGATCATTCGCTTTAAACTCATTTACGCATAGTCTGATCCGACAAAATTTAATTCTTGCGACAGCTTTTAGACTTGATTCATTTTCGTGCGTGGTCATCCAGCAAAGTGAACGATGAAGTCTCTAAACCACCGCACAAGGAACGTGCGTCGAGGCGAACCGGACGTTTGGGGAATACCCATGAGGCCTGGTCACTCAATCAGCTTGCGCGATGTAGATTTCTCTCACGATAGGGCTTCTGCCCAGATTTTTTTCGATTTTGATTGGACTTCTCTTTACATTCTGACACCCTGAATCAGCGCTAGTGGTGGAAAAGATGCAAAATAGACGCCAATTTTGTCAAAAAAATATTTGTTTATTCTGTTTTGACCCATAATTGTGTGCGGTCGTGGCAGCACGTGTGAGACGCATACTCATGCGCACAAAGAGGAAACATGGCGCGAATGAAATATCCTGGAACTAAGAAGGCCCGATGTGCTCCTGAGAAAAAGGAGAATTTTACCATGTCCAGACTGATTAAACAAGAGCAGCTTGGAGAAAAGCTTAAGAGCTCAGTCAAGAAACCAGTTTGTATCAGCCTTCGAAAATACCGTGAAATCTTCGGAGATTCCGATGAAGAGGTGCTTCATCAATTTTCCAATGAATGCTTATTTCATAGTTTTGTTTATGAGGCCTGTTCTCTTCTTTGGAAAAGCAAGCTTGATTGTTTTGTAAACTTCTGATTTTTTATTTTGATTATAGGAAGAAGAATTTTATGGTTTTCGTTCTGAGGATTTGGGTTTGAAAGCTTATCGCTCTTTCTCTGTCAAAGATTATTTGGATGGCAGCGAAAGAGTTAGTTATCGTAAAGATGGCGCCAGAGACCGGCCATCAAGACATTCAAGTGGTAATGTGCCTAAAACACTCACAACTGAATCCCTTCAGCGTAAGAACAACGCGATTGAAGCAGATAATAAACCTTCCGCAGCATCAACGAGCCAAAATGTGTACGCGAAGCAGTACAGAAAGAGAGATTCGTACGAAAGAAGATTCGCGCGACCCTCCAAAGAATTCGACAAGGCTTGTCTGTCACCAAACGTGAAATCAACAACACAAGTCAGAGCGAATTTTGTACCGCGGGTCCAGAAACCTTCAATGGGTGAAGGAATCAAGCGCCATATATCGCCTAACACACATAATATCAATTTCCATTTAAAGAAAAAGGCTGTGCCTCTGGCGAAACAATTGGTTGCAAAAGCGAAGGAGGGCCAGAGAATTCGGAAGCAAAGAAAGTTTGATGAAGTAAACAAAGAGGGCCAACCATTACGATCGCGGTCTGGCCGTGTAGTGAAAAGTAAAAAGTTAGACTATGACGATGTCACATCGCCGAAATTTAAAATCAGCGGAGATGAAAGGAGCACAACTGGATCGTCAAACTATGTTAATCGAGTCGCTCAGAAAAGACGCTTGGAAGGTGGCGAAGTTCCTCCGAACAAAGCTTTTCGAACTGCGAAGGTGAAACTGGAAAAAGTGGAGTTACCAGGTGATCAACGAGTCTACGTGAATAATCCAGGTATCTGAAATTTTTTGAGGCAGTGCTAGAAAATATTTCTTTGTTTATTTTAGTTAAGTAGTTTTATTCTTAATCATGATGAGTTTGGTTTTTTTGTTTTTTTGAAGATCAGAGGAACCTATATGCATGTTTAGCATTAAAGAAACAAAATAAGTGATTTAAGATAATGACTTACAATCCCCAAAAGAGTCATCAAAATTAAATCATGTTACTCCTTGCCATATCAATGGGTTATACAGCAAGATTAAATATGCAATATAAAAAAAAGAGCCAGAATGAAGACTAGATTTTTTTAAAATTATGGTGGTGATGTGCATGAAATTCTCACAACCTGTATGAAATAAGTAAAGGGAAATATAGACATGGTTTAATGCTACTCTGGTTTAAAGATTTAATGAATGTGACCAAGAAGTTACAATTCATAGACCCAATGTTTCAACACTCCTGTCTTGTGCCTTCATCAGAGGTGATCTAAACGCTGCAACAAGAGGTCCTTTCATACACTCACTAATTAGCTGCCCTTTTTTTCTGATGAGGTGTAAATAGGCGTCAGGAAGCAGGCGGCCATCATCACGATTTAAAGGAGCGCGGGTGGAGTCGATATGCTAGGCTTCCAAACAAAGGCGCTGGTTAGGCGTGTGTGCTCCAATAAAGCTGAATTTTCTTTTTTGCCAAAAAGGACTGCTTTTTGATGTTCTAATGTGTACCAAACTGACATTTGGTCTCTCTGATATACTTGTTAACACAGTCATTGCACGAAATAGAATCAATAGCGCCAGTTAGTTGTTCTTTCGTGACAGGATCCTTAGGATTGCAAAAAATTATTTATACCTACTAGGTCATCAATAACTCTTCTGAAAATGAGAACTTGTTTTAAATTTGCTGAAAGATCAGGAAATTCAAACCAAACATCTCTGTAATCAAAGAAAGTGTGTAATTTTTTTTTAGAAACTTTCGGCATACTACTCCAATCCTATGATAATATCCTCTGTTCAATCACATGGATTGCAATACCCCTTGAATGGTCAGCTATGTGAAGTAATAAGCTTAAGAGCTAAATTGTGTTGCTTCTTTATTATGTACTCATCAAATATCTGGTTCCTTTTTTGTCGAGGATAACCATGAATAGATTTTAAGACAAAATATTGAATTTCTGTTCTCTAGTCCCTCAAGATTTTAGCCTTTCAGATCAATAAGACATGTTTAATTTTGAAAACACCTCTTGAAAGAAAAGTTGTCCTAAAGTTGCTTTTATTATGGGGAATGACCCTTGGAAAGGAAAATAATAAAATTAAAAGTATAGAAAGGTGTTTTTAGTAACGTTTACCTAGAGCTTAAAAAGTATGTCATAAGGAGATTTTGCATAGTAAAAACAAATGAAAAAAATGCATAAGCTGCTCATTCATTTTGTGATTAATCGTAACTCATGATGTTTTTAACCCTTTAACTCCCATGAGTGACCAAGACAGAATTTCTCCTTACAATATCAATACAATATTAACCAGATATATAATGAGAATAAAGAAAAATATCAATTTGGGGATAATTAGTTGATCCAATATTTAATTCTCTAAACTAAGATTATAAGAATTTTATGGTTGACAGTAAGAACAATGAAAAATTTGATCTGAGAGTTAAAGGGTTAGAGATCTTTATGCAATTACAAAAAAATCACAAGATCACTCTTACCTTTGTTTTCATGTTGATCCAATTTGCTGTGTTCTTTATTAGCCTTATTTCAGGTCTGGGTAAATAATTTTCTACCAAAGGAGAAACGACATAAAGTTAATTTTATTTCCAGAAGGAATTAGTTTAGTTATCATTGCCCTCCAGTTAAGCTACATTTTTAAGAATATGACAGGGGTCTATAAAACTATAGCTTGTAAAATGAACCTTAACAAATATAAATTTGTTCTTTACAGATTCACCCACTGGATTTGAAATCCAGACATTGAGTTCTGCTGACTTTCAGGTATGTCAAGAAAAAACAGTTGCACAGCTGTTGGAATTAAGATTGTGGTATAATTATTTTATCAAAAAAGAAAATTATCTTAGATTTTCTTCAAAACAAAAAGGAAGCACTAAACAATGATGGGGTTGGTATGGGCAGTGGAAAACCTGGAAAGTTATGAAATTTTATAATTTCATTTTCCAGGCCTCGAAAGTCATGGAATTTAGGTTTGGCTTCTGAAAAATCATAGAAAGTCATGGAAAATAAGCAGGCTTTTAATGAGCACAAAGCAATGTAGATCCATACATATAAAGAGAACTTGGCTAACAATCAAGCTTCTTGAGCTGGCGATCATTACCTTAATTCTCGTGACCTTAACATTTGATTCAGGGATGACACTGTTGAGAGAAATTAGATCCTGATCTTAAGGAGTTAACCCTTTGACCCTTAAAAAGCTCTTGATTGTGTAGCAAATTCTCCTTGTTAGACCCCATAGGAAATGTATAGAGAACAGTATGGAGAATATGCATACTGATGTTGCAGTAAAGAGGGATAAGGGTTACCTAACTGTAGGAAGTATTTAGATAGGGAAATGAATTTTTTTTTCTCCCATTCATACAATGCTCTTTGGTTTCTCAGGGCTCTAGATTTGGATTTACAGATGTGCCATCTCAAGGATCATTGCCAAATAATGCACCTCAGCATTCTTCTTACAGCAGGAAAGTTCGTATCAAAAATTCTGCAAGGATGAAAAATGTAAAGAATGCCAAAATTCATTATCAACCTGCTAAATTCCCAAATCAAGGTATACAGAGAGTGAAAACTATTAGAACTTCCAATTTATCACAGACTTTGAAATTGCAGAGACCTACCAAAGGTCAGTCGAGTAATAAAGAAACCTGTGGAAAGAGATCAGAGAGAATCAAAATTAAGAAACAGAATGATGAACTCTTTTCAGTGAAAAATGGTGAGGAAGAGATGGAAGATCAAGCTAGCAATGGATCTTCACATTCAGAGGTTTCATCCACACACAGCGATGTTTCAAGTAGGAAAACACCCGGCTCGGCTCACAAACATTTTTTTAAATCAAAACGATTGCAAGAGTTGCAGGAAAAGATTGAGAGTGAAACAAAAGAAGATACATTTATGAACATGGCAGAAGAGACTGCATGTAGGACAGTGGAAATACGGAGACATTCAAAAGAGCAAAATGAAGTTGGTGTAGACTCTGACGCAGAAAGAAAAAGTAGACCAAGATCAAGACACCCAAGTCAAGAAGAAAGCAGGAGTTCTGCGGATGAGGGACCAGCTTCTGAAAAATCAGTTCCAGCAAAGAAAAAACAACCAAGTGCAAAAAAGACACAATTATCAAGGCTACAAGCTTTGCGAGAGGATGGTGAATTACCTAGTTCAAGTGATGACGAGGAAAGTAGTAAGCCACTTTCACAGGTCAAAAAAGAGCTTAAGAAAGAGCAGAGAGAAGAAAACCAGGAAAGAGTAGTAAAGAAAGTTATCAAAGTTGTTAGGAAAATAAGAACAAAGAGTGGAGAAACAAAAACAAAGGTTGTGAAAATAATTAAGAAAATTGGTGTTCGGAAAAAGGAGAGGGACACTAACATTCCATTGGTTCCAGGAAGAAGAAGGATTCGCTGTGGTCAATGTGTAGGATGCAAAGTCCTAGATGATTGTGGTGTATGTCGCTGGTGCATGTAAGTCTCAGAAATTGTCATGATGAAAGTCTTTCCTTGCACCTATTTCATTTTTAGAGAAAGATGTTTTTCATCTTGTCATGATTGTGGGACGAGGAGAAAATTCTGAGTCCCCATGGGGAATTGAACCTCAGACCCTTTGGATTCTGCACTCTGATGCTCTAATATAGAATCCAAAAGGTCTGAGGTTTGATTCCTCATGGGGACTCTATGTCCCACACTCTTGACAAGACAAAAAACATCTTTCCTCTATTTCCTTACCAAGCTCAAAAGTTACCATCTCTCTTATTCTATTTCATTTTTCTTACAATTTCCTGTATTTCCCATCAGAGACAAGCCGAAGTTTGGGGGACCGGGTACTAGCAAACAGTCGTGTGTGTAAGTATAAGTTTACTTTTGCTGTACATGAGTCATTGATTATTTCAAGTGTTTGACTTAATATTACTTACTAAAATAATCATAAAAAAAACTGAACTAATCTTTCCAGTCCAAATTGCACATGTAGGTATGAATATCTTATTCAATGTTTTGGTGTGTAGTATTGCTAAGGATTTTTGTGAGTTGTGTCGTATTTTGACAAGCCTTCAAGATGAGTCGAAATACAAAAAATGCATATAGAAACACTAAGTGATACTACACACCAAAATGTCCAATAAGTTATCTATTATCCAACTCCTTTTTTTGGTACCAAGTGTCTATGCTCGTTTCTCATAAGGCTGGAAAAGTAAAGCAGGTAGAAAAGTATAGCATATGCAGCTGACTGGTTAAACAGGTTTTTTTTACATTACAAAATAATCAACTGTACAATTTTGCAAGATATCTGTACTCTATTCAGGCATTTTTGTACTCTACTTTGTGCAGTTAGATAATAAAAATAGGTTGGTATAGAGAGTATCGATGTTGGCTATGGTAAATTTATTGACTTATTAGATACCTATTAAAAATTTTGATATAAAAAGTGATACTGGAAGAAATTGAAGAGTGTAAATATGTACTAGGTAAGTAGCTGTCATTGTGAGTGAATTTCTAAGCAATTGTTTTGAGTCAAGTATTTAAAACTAATTGAAGCATTTTCTACTGAATTTCAGGAAACGCAAGTGTGTTGATCCTCAGCCTCCAAAACCCAAAGGTGTACCTTACAGGAGACTAGTTAAAGGTACATAATTGTATGTCAGACAACAGAACATTATCTGTGTAAAGTTCTTTTATCATTGGGTCAGATTAAAAACTTTCTTTTCGCATGTACATGTATTAAATAAAGTTTAGTGGTTTACTAATACCTTTAATAACTATTGGCATTTCAGTTGAGCCAAATTGATTAAGTTTGAATATTCTCATCACTTGTTTACTGAATAATGTATGGATATTGTAGGGAGAAGTTTTATGTTAATCACTACTGGAAGTTAGAAGGTTAAATGTTTATTTTTGTGATCAGTATAAAGGGATCACATAATCAAAATGCGTTAAGTTTCTTTTTCCAATTTTTGTCTGGGCACCACAGTTTTAGCTAGGAGCCCTGGAAATGTCTTCAGTTTGTGTAGTTCTTTAAAGTAATATTTTTATAATCTTACATGCAGATTCTAATGCAACAGTGAAAAAGAGAGCACCCTCAAAGAATGACACTGCCCTCAAAGTCAAGGGCTCCAAGAAAGGTCAAAACCAGATGTCATATTCAACTGCAAAGAAGCCTGTGGCATCAGTTAAACCACCACTCTGTGGCAAGAGACAAGCAGTAATGGCTGATATTCCTTTGGTAAAACTACCTTGGAGTGTAAGTACACAATCACTTCAAACTGTAGTTACTGGAAATCTTGAGTCTTATGTCAATCTCGAGATCTAAGTTGTGAATGGAACTCACCTTTTATCATTGTCTCATTCTCACAAAAACACAAATAACCTCCTTTTTATTCCACTGCTGAGCTCAAAACTTACACTTGCAACAGTAGTGATCCTAGCAATATGCTGGATGTGTGTCGTATATGAAGGTAGTAATAGCCTACACTGTAACTCGCCTAATGGCAAGGTCTTAGGCCTGATTCCTAATGGGAATTCAGATTTTCTTTTGTCTTGTGCTCCTGAAAAGACAAATTATATTTTTCTTTAATCTTGAGACTTGTTCATGAAACAAATTTTAGTTTTGTTTTTTTTATATTGAAGCACTTTTCATCAATATTCCTAAGAGTCAATTCAAGTTTCTTCACCATCAGTTTTTGTGATGTAAAGAAAAGTTCTGTCAAGTGTTGAACTGTCTGTGAACTCAAAATTGTCTGGAGCTGTGTGTATGTTGTTGATAAAACCAGAACATTTCCTGGGTTCTCCCCCCCCCCCCTCCCCCAACATTCTATGCAGATTAATATATGTGTACGAGTAAACTGAATGGAAGTTAGGTCCCTTACTTGATTAAATATTATTGGGTGTAATGTTTCCATACATGTAGGACAACAGCACAGAGGAAGAAATTTGGAAGGAAGGCTTTGCAGTTTGTTTTACAGCTGGTGTTCCAAGTATTGTCAAAGAACTCTGTTTTCTCTGTGGTAGCAAGGGCAGTGAAAAGGTTGGATTTCAAGTTCCCTTTTTACACACAGCTTTGTTGTCATCTGAATTTTTCAAACATGAATTGTTGATTGTTCATAAAAATAGATTTTCTTATCAGTAGTCTTCAAAATAATTCTTTTAACCAGTAATGATTTTTTTCATTAATAACACTTCCTTTTTAAGGGTACTGTATTTTCTTTGATTGCAGTATGCCTGTGGCAATCATTTCTTCTAAATTTCTTAACAAGGACCAACTAACTTATGGAGTTACTTGTTGGGAGTGATGTAAATTTTAGGGGATTCTTGGTTCTCATAAAGGAATCTGCTGAAAATTATACATAAAAAAAGGAAAAAATGTTTTGCAATGGAGGTAACATATAAATAAAGAAATGACTACCACAGGCATAGTGCAATCAAAGAAAATACAGTTATCTTATAAAAGAAGTGTTATTGATGAAAACATTATATAACGTTGCTAGTAAATTTGTCTAATAGTAGTAGTAGTACTTTAATTTTTACCTCTATTAAACGGTCACCTTTGTTATCCTTTAACTCCCAAGATCTTATTAGTAATTCTCCTTACTGTCTCTCATATAAATCTTGTGATGTTAGTTCAGAGCATTGGGTTTTGGATCAACTAATAATCCCCTAGTTTATATTTTTCTTTGTTCTCATTACCTGTCTGCTTGATGTTGTATTGATATTGTAAGGAGAAATTATGTCTTGGTCACTCATAGGAGTTAAAGGGCTAGGCAGTTGTGGTCACCCTTTACTGGGTTCAGACAGCCTGTTTGTATTGTCTTCTGCCTGTATTTAACAGTCACTTCAAGATAAACCACTCAAATTTAACTAAGAATAATGTTTTAAGCAAAATTTAATCCATGTTTATCTCCTGAAATCAATGTTAATGTTATTTTTGACAAACTTTTTGTGTAGTAAGTGGTCAGTTATGACATAAAATGATGTTTTTTATTGTTTCTATATAAAACCCCACTCCTTAGAACCTGTAAAATACCAATTTTTACCTTTTTTTCAATACCCCTATTCTATGATACCTATATTAAGCAGTCACTCTGCCATTCCTGGGGATGACAGCCTAATACAGGTTCAATTGCAGTACCCTGAAGGCACAGGTTCAAAGTCCATAAGAGCTTGTATTTTTTGGGCTTCTTTTTCTGCAATTTATTTTATCGCAACTCACCTGCAGAGCTTTCACTGTTATTGTCTATTTCCTTAGATGTTCTACTGCAGAGTTTGTTCTGAGCCTTTCCATGGATTCTGTCTTGATGAAGAACCAATTGATGAGACAACATGGTGTTGTGACAACTGCAGCAGTTGTAGTGTTTGTGGATATCAAGACAAGGTGACTATAAAATGAACTGATTCTCCCTATGTACTGTTATGCATGTATATTTATTTGTATGTTAATACAAACAATTTGATTTTGAATCAAGCCAATATCTGATAGTTGATCAGTTTTTGTAGTCTCCACACTAGTCTCTGAGGTGATGTGTTGATGTTTGCTAGGAGAATTATAGCACTGATCGCAGGAGGGGTTTTGATTGGTGAACGAGAGCTTAACATGGTATATGTAGATCAAAATTCTTGGATGGGTTTGATAACTGGCCTTAAACAAAAAAATCAGCTTTCATATATTTTTTAATGATTACCTTGCATTTAATCATTTTTTAGAGTCTCTATCATTTTTTTTTTTTTTTTTTTGTTAAATCACTTTTTGATGTTTTGCTTCAGCTCCTGATGTGCGACCGTTGTCAGCGTGGATATCATGTTGAATGCTTAGGTCCATTTTATCCCACAGAGCCAGAGGGAGATGATGATGTTTGGGTGAGTAAAATTTAAGTTACTGGAATCATCAGTTGGACTGAGATGGAATGTACTGTCATGATTTTATGGTGTAGTCTGATCATGGGGATGAAAGTAGTCTTGTTAAGAACTTTTGTGCATAGTACTGACAAGCGCCTTGACAACCTTAACGGAAGTCATTATCAGAGTCAACCCTTTGTGGACTCTGATTAGGATTCCCATCAAGACTGTTGAACATTTCTGCTCAGAACTACTCTCGCACGGACAATCAGACTACATGATTAAATGCTACTCACAGGGTCAAACCATCTTCTGTATTGCTGTCAAGATCACAGAATATCTTTTTTATAACTTTTTTGTGGTGTGTTCTTAAAAGTGGTTCTAGATATAAATGCGTAGCTTAGAATGTAAAAAAGGAGAACTTTACTATATCGTTCCTTCTTGATGTTGATGATGACTTCCAGTTCAGGTTGACAAAATGTGAGTCTCTGACAACACCCCTTTTCAGGATCACCCTCACTTGTATGATCACACAGTAATGTCATCAATTTTGCTTGATTTGTTTTCAGGTGTGTGGTCGGTGTGTACAGTGCAAAAATTGTGGGAGAAGAACTGCTGGAGATGTAAGTTTCTAATTTTGTTTTAAATTGAAATCCAGCTCTCTACATTTAAGTTTCACCAGTGTACAATAAAGCATTGTAGTCATCTGAAATTGCTACTTACTGAGAACTGGAAACTGTTTTTCTTGTAGAATCCTGAAGCTATGTGGATGCTTGAATTCACACACTGTCAAGAATGTGGCAAGCAGAGACAACAGAATAACTTTTGTCCCCTCTGTGATAAATGCTACTCTGATGATGACTTTGAATCTAAAATGGTTCACTGTGTCAAGTGTGATCACTGGGTGCATGCAGAATGTCAAGGAATCACAGTTGATCAGTATGAGTGTCTGACAGACTTACCAGAGGAAGTGCAGTTCATTTGTAGGCGCTGTTACGAAGATCAGGTATCTTCTCCCTGGTATAAAGAACTGATGGAGGAAATGGAGGCAGGATATGAGAGGGTAATTATAATCAGTAGATGAGTTTTTATCATAGCATGTTACGACTGTAGAAGATAGCCATTGTGGCCCAACATCAAACTTTGTGGACTCTGCATTTGAAGGTGCAGATTCTAGCCCTGGTGGGGTCACTTTCAACTCTGCCCTACCCTCCCTCCCACTCTTCCCCCCCCCCCCCCCACAATAATAAAGATTCTGAGTACTAGCAAATTGCTAAGGAAAAGTGACATTTTGTTTTGATCTACACAGATTGTGGAAGAAATCAAAAGTTGCAAGGCTTATGAACCATTCAAGTCTCATTTTGAACAGGTACAACAAGTACAGCAATGAAAATTTTGAGTGAATACTTGTAATTTTAGCCAACATAGTCCAGCAGGTTTGATTTGTAAACCTGACCTCCTGAGGATTAAGTCTGAGACCAGGTTCTTGTCCTCACTCTGCGCATTTTGTGCAGCCTCCCTCCTGCTGAATCATCCAATTTGTAGGCCTACCAATAAGATGATTTCATACATAATATGCCTGAAGTTTCAATGGCTCAGTGGTTAATGTATCAGAGTTCATGTTCAAGCCTTAGCTCATTATGTATACTTGGCAGTTACTCTTTACTTTCATTGAGCTTTTCTCCTCCTTCTTAATGCAACAGCTTGAAGCAGATAATGGATATCCAAAGGACTTTGAAGTAATTTCAGCAAAAGTGAAAGATAAGAAGTACACCAGTGTGGTAAGTGCCTGTTGAAAAATTGTGTTTATTTGAAAGACGACGGTTGGATTATGTTTGAAGTTCCACCTATGATGAACTAGAAGGAAAAACCATGGTATTACCTGTCAACAAAGGGCTGTATTACAATGTTTAGAGTCACTTTTACTACAAAGAAAGTCATTTGTGGAAGTCTCCTCTAAATGTGTGAAAACCTTGAATTGACAGTCTTCTGCAGTAGAGAAACATCTGATTGATAAGAATGACAATCCTAACTGCTATTTTATGCAGAAGTTTTAACCCTTTACCCTAAGAGTGACTAGCTTCCAAGTTCTCCTTACAATATCATCCCTGAATCAGACATGAAAGCCACGAGCATAGAAGAAATGGTCACCAGTTAAAACAGCTTTTGATTGTTAAGCAAATTCTCCTTGTCGGCACCTTAGGGAATGTATAGAGAACAGTGTGGAGAATATGCATACTGATGTAAGGGTGTACAGGGTTCATAGAAGGGAAGACAACACCCATGAAGAGTTAATGACATCCTTCTTGTGTTCCTCTTCAACAGGAAAGCTTTTGCGATGACATTACGAAAGTTTTGGACAGGGTTTATAGACTTGTGGAAACAGACTCTGTTTTGACCAGACAGTGGTCCTCTCTTTACTATACTTTCTGCAAGGTTTGTTTATCATCAGTCTAGCGTTTACATGTATTGTAGAGTGGGTGGGACTGTTGGGGTATTTTAAGATTGCCCAGAAGGAAAAGCGGATGTATTTTCCACCCAATCATGATAGAGCAAGGGTGTAGCTGGGGGCGGAGGAGGGTGTCCTGGGGTACCCGTGATTCTTTCCCCACCTCCCCCCATGTAAGCCTTTTCGTCACAATAAATTAAACACGGCATTCAGGTCGAAATGGCAATCTGTTAGGAATAGCAGCATTTCAAATTAAAAAATATATTTAGGTATCAATGTTTTGTGACTTACAACCTGTTTTGCAATTCCAATATTTCTTTGCTGCTCTCAGTCGTTTTAAAAGGTATAAAGTCGCCCACGGGCTTACATTGGAGGGGAGGCACCGTACATTTTGATACTTAGAATGGGTTTGTGGAGTAGGACTTGGGCATGTAGCTGCAAACCATGCAGAATCTACAGAATCAAAACACCATTTCCTTTTCATTTTGTAGGAACTAGTGGCAATGTTTCCTTGGCACAAGCTTAAAAGTACAGTGAATTCCGAGGAACACGAGGAGATCGCTCAACCACGCCTTAAAAAGTAAGCTTTTGTAATAACGCATACTGCAGAACCGGAACGAAAAATTTGTTTTTTTCAATGGAACTTATTGGTGAATTCTGATGGCTGAAACAATTATATGTTCATAAAGCAAACGGCCCATCGCACCGCAGCTTTTCTCGGTTTCAGGAGCACAAAGAGACCCCCCCTGCCTGGAAAGAATGGTAGTTTTGGGCAGGGTGACCCCCTTCCAATGTTTCATCACCGTCCCTCGACTGCATTGCTGGGATTCCTTGGGTTACCTTTCGATACGTTTAATCATTAGTCTAGAAATTCCACGTCACTTTTTCAACCAATCAAATTTTGAAATATAAAGCTGAAACCACTTGCCACTGGGTCACGTGTCGTTAGTTTGAGCCGTCATTTACTTTTTCTGATATTTTCCTTTGTTCTGATTGGCTGATGAAAATTGCTTTGGGTTTGGTATGACGACACTCTATGGAGAGGGGCTCTGTATTTTAATCGACAGTCTTAGTTAATCCCAACCGATCGTTTTACACCTTTCTTGCAGTGGAATCATTGGAACTGCTATTCCTTACGAAGTCTGGGATCACTCATACGTTTCCTTAAAAAGCAACCAAGAAAAGTCTGATTCCACACTTGTTGGAAAATCTCAGCCTTCTTCTTCAGAGGCTCTACAGATGAACTCATCACAGAACGAAAATTGTAAGTCTTGAAAAAAACTCATTGCTCTCTTAGGAGACTGGAAACAGTATATGTGGTAGAAAACTTTTAGATATTACTAACGTGCTGAATTGTGAACATTTATGCCATCTGTTGTAAACGAATTAGATGGGGGAATGCCGGTGAAACATTGGATATTTCAAATCAAATCATGAAAGAACGGCTGTTTTTTTTATTCACAATTTATTTATCATGATATACAGAAACACCAATTTGTGAACTGATATACAAGAAAATTTGTGGCACCTGAAACAGAGAATTACCACAATTAGATCTCGAGGGTAGAAGAATCAGAGAGCAGGTATGGCGTAGTGGTTAGAGCGCTCGCCTCTCGCCGCTGTGGCCTGGGTTCGATTCCCATACACGGCGTCACATGTGCCATACCTTGCTTGAGTTTGATTCGTTGGTTTTCTTCCCTACTCAGAGAGTTTTCCTCCTATTTCCCTCCAAAGAGTTTTCCTCCGGTTTCCCTCCCTCCACAAAAACCAACGTGCAAAATTCCAATTCGGCCTGAATACAGTGGACAAGAGGAGTCACCTCGTGGAATGTCCATTGCTTAATATCATTGTTGAAGATGGAGTTGTCTGAATTTGTCTGTCGTTTATTTGTAGGTGAAGTTGAAAAGATGGAACCAGACACGGAAAACGATCTGCAGGAAGAAAACGTCACGAACGAGGAGCCTATGGAAATTGATACCAATGACGATGAACAGCAACAACTAAAACAATTCCTGCAACTGAAACAACACCAACAACCACAGCAAGCAACTGACGTGGTAGGGTATAACTCATTGTATGGTTTTTGTGTAAGATGCTAGAATGGAGGCGTGGTGTCCAAGTGGTAAGCGCGCTGGAATTGGGCTTGAAAATTCCGGCGTCGAGCACCAGCCAGGTTATTGTGTTCAGGGATTCTTGGGAGGGGAACTTGACTCTTACAGTGCCCCACCCCCTGCCTCTTCCCAAGGGGTTTAACTGAATACTAGTGCTTTGTCAGGGAAGCCTGACGAAATGCTGGAGGAGTGGGAGGGGGAGTAGGGCGGGTCGGTGTAGGACTGGCGGGGGACTTGCATCCATCCATGGGGTAAGAAAGAACTTCTGAGCGCCTCATGCTGTAGAGAATGTGTTAGCATCTAACAGTTCTACGACGTGCGATTCACCTAAGTATGCAGACTAGAATTTCATTAAGACCCGTTCCTCGGGATGGTTTAAGTTAACTTTGAAAGACTCGGCCCCGAAACCGAAGTGTTGGAGAAAAGGGAAAATTCAATTTGCGTATGATAATTTTTTCAGGAGGATACCAGAAAGTGTCTTCTGTGTGGTTCGATGCGTGATGCCGAACCTTCCAAGGCAGGCCGTCTTCTCACTTGTGGTTTAGATGAATGGGTGCATGTCAATTGTGGTCTGTGGTCAGCGGAAGTATTTGAAGATGACGAGGGTCGCTTACAGAATGTTCAAGTGGCGATATCACGTGGAAAACAAATGGTATTTGCCGTGTTTTTTCATTCATTTGGTTTACACATTATCTTCTAAGTAATTGCAAATTTATCAAAGTGACGACTTAATGTTAACAGGTCAAGTGTGACTGAAGAAGTCGAATTAATTGAGGCCTGATAGAAAACGGGATTTGTTGGAGTTTAACCGCTGAGTTTTGGTAGAAAATGTTTTCCTCCAGTAGTGGTTAAGTGAATTTGAAATAAATGAATTAACTTACTCCTACAAAGTGATTCCAGCATATTTGAGTTCATATTCAACTGTTGTGATTTTTACAAGGACTTTTTCCTTTACTATCGCGATTTTACAAACTTTGTCGGTCACGTTCTTGCTGTATTCTTATCCCCAACGATCGATTTATCTTCCTATGTAGAAATGTGAACACTGCGGTGAGGTTGGAGCCACTGTGGGCTGTTGTGAACCTCGCTGTCCAATGAATTATCATTTTATGTGCGCACGAAATGCTAAAGCCGAGTTCCAAGACGACAAGAAGGTGTACTGTGCTCAACATTCCTTCAGGACCAAAAAGGAGGTTAGTCGTTTTTTTTTACTCCCAAAGCACGTATCACTTAGCAGTAACAGCGTTAAACCGGTAAGGCATGCGCAAGGGGATCAATCTTGGCCGGTTGCACGCCAATTTCCCGCGCGGATTACTTTCGAATTTCATTTTATGGAGTAAGCTGATGAATTATACCTTATTTTACTAAATGTGATAATAATTCCTGTTGTCAGTTGGTGATGGTAAATGACGACTTTTGTGTGGAACGACGAGTTTGTGTGGACATGGGCAAAATCCGAGCCACAAAGAAATTGTCCAGAGGATTTGAACCTCACAACATCACCCTTGTACAAGGTAACGTGCTTACATAAAACGAGATTAAAATGTGGAATTACAAGATTTTGAAGATTCAATTAAAAGCCAGCTTAGGGAAATGAATCGTTTAAATATTAGATTCTTAATACTTTTGATTTTCTTTTAGGATCTCTTACTCTGGAAGACATGGGCAAACTGAGTGAACATTCCGACACCAAACAAACTCTGTATCCCATTAATTTCAGGTACGTAGTATAATCTTATCACTGTACTGTAGCCTTCCAACTCAAGTTGTAAGTCATGTATCACAATTTTACCGTAGCTTGAAGTGATTCGAATGGTTTCATTCATGGGTTCCTTTTTCTTCGCAAACCTTCCCTTAGTTTTCTCTAATGGTTCGCCAATATCCAAACATACTCCACGTTGGAGAGAAGCTCTGTGAAATAGAAGTGTTTTGTTTCAGAGCACGACAAAATGACCCAAGCGGTCTTCAATTCAGGATCTTTCCATCTTGCATGGTTGCTGTAGATCAGGAAAAATAAATTTCTTCAAGGTCAGGGAAAAGTCCGGGAATTTCATTTTGAGTAAGGGAAAATTTACGTCCTAGAATAGAAGGGCATGGAAAAGTGAAATGTCAAATAAAATATGGAGTGGTTCAGCCTGTCGTGATGAAAGATGGTGACGCTTGCTGAAGACATCACTTTGTGGGTGGACAGGATGGCTGTGAGGGGAGGTTCAACTTTGGAGGTCATCACCAGGACTCGTTTGTGAAATTGTTAATGCAGTTGGTCAGGGAAATTTTACGTTTGTTTTTGAAAAGTTAGTGAATTTCAAAAACGTATGACTTTGGCAATCATGTCTTGGGTCCATGTTTGTTTCTTTGTTTTTATATTGACTTTGCTTTTCATCTTTCACGTAGAATCAGTCGGTTGTACTGGAGTGTTAAGGATCCAACTAAAAGATGCCGTTATTACTGCACAACGAAAGAGAAAACACTTGAATCAATGCAAAGAAGGCAACAGGAAATTAAGGAGTCGATAGATCAGGAACACTTACACAAAGTTATTTCTCACGAAGAATTAAACAAGAAAGACAAAACGCCAAAAATCACGTCTGGATCTCACGGAGATATCAAAAACTCAGCACAACCTCGACAAAATAACAAAACGACCGACTACTTAAATAGTTCTTATGGAAAGAAACTGAAAAGAATAGCACCTCATCCAGGACCCGGGATTGTGAATCACTCTGTTTTTCCGGGAGTTCTGTTTAATGAAACAACACACCTGTCCAAGCTAAGAAGAATTCTACCAGCTCCTCAAAAACCTTTGCCTTCTTCACCAACGAATTCTCCAAGGAAACTCCTCGAGCATTTAAATCGACAAACAAGCCATTTACCATCCATTCTTAATCCTGTTCGTGTGGAAAAATCTCCGTCACCCGTCTTACCAAGTGCTCCTGCGCAGAAAGCCGCGCCTCAGAGATGTAGAAAGACACCGCCAGCCGCGAAAAGGACGATGAGTTTTGAGGAGTCGATTCCTCAAACAGTCAGGCAGATAAACTGCGATCACGAAGTAGTAGCTAAGGCAGGAGATGAAGAGCTATTAAATTCGCCCATAAAAGAAATATCTCCCAAGTCTTGGTTAGTGAAGCTTCGGGAGAGAGAAAATGCTGCACAATCCGAGCAACCTCATGTGTCTTTTGAAATCACAAGTGATGAAGGAGTGAAGGTCGAGGCGAATACATGTGAAAGTATGTTTAGTTGTTGATATTTCTGTCAACATTGCTTGGCACTAGCGTACTTGATACTCCTCCTTTGGACAATAGAGTCTTACTTTGGACCCTTGTGTCCGATTTGGGGCACTAGTGTACAATTTTGGACACAACCGTCTGATTTTGTGATACAAGTGTCTGATTTTGGACATTAATATACGATTTTCGACACTAGTGTCCGATTCTAGACGATAGTGTCCGATTTTAGGCACTGGCGGCCGTTTTTAGACACCAATTTCCGATATTGAATAGTAGTGCTTGATTTCGGACACTGGTGTCCGTTAACCGGCCGTTATTTCGTGCCCTGTCAATCAATTTGAAAATAACGTTCCTTCTGATATTCACCATTTTTCTGATGAGCTTTTTCGTTTACTTTTGTTTTGTTTTGTTGTGTTTTTTTTTTCATGTTTCTAGCTGCTTGGAAGCAAGTCTTTGAAAAGGTTCAGGAAGCCAGGATAGATCGTCGCATGAAACTGGTTCCGTTTGCAGGTTCTGTCAACTGCCCTTTTCATATTCATTATCATCTGTGCTGCCTGATTTTCGTTATCCTTTTTGCGATCCTACGTTTTTATGCAATAAACGAAGCAACTGATGTATTTGATTTGGTTCTTCAGGTGTAAATGGCAAAGCAATGTTTGGTGTTCGTCAGGTGAGTTGATAACCCATACCTGAGAAAGTTTTGTTACAGTTCATTTGTTCTTTTTTGCCCTTTTTCTACGGCTTCAGGATATTCCTCATTTTCGCAGGTACATGAGAGGTTCTTGCAAACTGTAACTCCATCTGGCCAATCAGAACGTAGAATTCCTTGGCTCACGTGCCAGGTGTCTTGCATACTGCTAGGATCAGCATTGTCGTAAATGTTGGGGGGAAGAATGATGGTAAATCTTTAATTTTTTATCCTTAATCCCCTCAGGAATCTGTCGTGTCTATGTTAGAGCAGCTACCTGGAGCCCATCAACTGAAGCAATATTCCTTCAAATATAATCCACCATTTGACAATAGCAATTTGGAAGAAACACAGGTAAAATCTGCAAAGATGCATAAGGCTACGTCCACACTTAAGCGGAGAAATTTGAAAAGGCCACTTTATTGATACGGCTGGGTAATGCAATCCAGCTGTTCGGCGGTTTCATCGCTGGTGAATGGTGCATTTCAAACTGATCGGACGCGGTGTGAGCGCAAAATGTTTTCTGTGTGAACAAGCGTGAATGCAAAACGTTTGTTACGTTCGCTTCGTGAAAACACTTAGCTCAATTTATCTAACCTGTTGTGCATATGGCCTTAATGGAAGACCGTAATGGGAAGTCAATTACTGGTTCGATTTCAAGGCTAAATTTTTTAACGTATCGTAAGCTCAAGTAATGTTACAATCAAATACTTCAGAATGGTGCAAATGGATAAGTCTTGAGTACTTCAAAGGAAATTGCGATATTTCAAAGTCTGTTAAAACAAGCGCACTTTCTTTTAACCCTTAAATTCCCAGAAGTGATTAATATATAACTGCTCCCTGTAAAATCCATACATTATCCAGCAAACAGGTAATGAGAATACGCAAAATTTTCAGGTTAAAGTGATTATCTTGATCAACACCAAGTTCTCGTAACCACTTTACGAGGAAATGTATAGTAGCTACAAAGGAGAATTAACAGTTAGATCTTGGGAGTTAAAGGGTTCACTAGAAGAAGATTTTTTTCCTTACCTCTTTAACTCAACTCTCCCACAGGCTTTGAAAGAGAATCCACACGGCTGTGCAAGAGCTGAAATGTTCCACAGGTTTGGAAACCTAAAAACTCTTTTTTTGGATAAATGGATAATTTATACTGTCAAGTCAAATGAGTTTATACTTGTTGAAAGCGACTCGTACATATCTGTAATATCGACATGCTAAGGACCTTTTACGTTCTGGTGATAGAGACAGCAGTAATCACTTTCATTGATTTTGTTTCTCCTTTTTTTTTAACAGAAACAAAAAGTACGATATGTTCGCGTTCCTAGCGTCGAGTCACCGCGTCGCTCCACAATTAGAAGAAAGCGCGGAGGAACAGGAGAGCGCTGAACAAGCGCGTGATGGACCTCTGTCCGTGAAGTACGTTAGAACTCTACGGACGCTAAAAATGCCTCTTTCTTGGGGATTTAAACTGAATCATCTCATACTAGGTTTTGTAACGAAAATTAGAAGAACTGAATTTGGACTTCTGTATACACCAGCACAGGCAGATGAGAGTATTGCTCGCTAGTTCCCATTGCGATGGTCACTTACTAGGCTTTCATATGCAAAAGGGAAAGAAAGAACCACCTCGCATAGTGTAATGATCCTGGCAATGGGACCGAATCCTTAAGTAAATTATTGATTTTATTATTAACTTACTTAAAGTTCATTTCAACTATTATTTTACAGGCGCCCGACATGTTTGGATCTACCAATGGCCATGAGGTACCGCCACCTTAAACAGTGTTCCTTTAACAAAGACGCTGTTGCTGTTTACAGGTACGTGTGCATCTCTTGAAAATTGTGATAGTGTCCTCTTCTAAGGTGTAGTCGAATGGTAGCTACCGCTGGCTGAGCTGCTCGACCACATGTGACTCAAAGTTTCTTTTTCAGAGCTGAATAGGTCTGCGCATGCGGTAGCCTTAAGCGCGGAAAACGGATGTGGAATCGTTTTCGTGTTTGAATTTCCATTCTGTTGCTTCGAGGCGTTGTTTCCCCTGCTGCATTTCTTTTACATAATATCCTCCAAAAACTTTGTAAACCCCCTAAATATTTTCAAACATTGATTTTTTTTTTCCTTAAAAACATTGGAAATAGTGAAATGCCTTCAACGACAGCAAAATGCCTCCGTTTTGAATGCCGGCCCCTTTTCTTTTTTTCGCGAAGTTCGCTGAATTTTAAACCGCGTGCGTTTGAGCCCGCGTTATTGACTGCATACCTGTGACGTGGCATTTCGTTATTCAACTCTGCCGACTCTATTCGTATTTTTCGCTTTTAAGTTTTTTTTTCGCTTGAATCTAAGGTCCCCAATTCATGGTCGAGGATTATTCTGCACCCGTAATATCGCCGCTGGTGAAATGGTGATTGAGTATTCTGGAATGCTGGTTCGTTCTGTTCTCACTGACAAGAGAGAGAAGTATTACGAAAGCAAGGTAGGTAATCACATTTACCTGACATCAGTTACGTTCTTAACATTACCATCTGCGCGGTTAGTTATAATTAACCATTTCACTCCCAGATCTTATGGCTAATCTTATCTTATGGGTAATTAATACTTGTAGTTTGTCAACTTACTGTCTGTCAAACAATTCTTATGCTTTCAGTTCAGAGAATTTGTGATTAGATCGACCAACCATCACCCTAATGAACATTTTTCTTAATTCTCGTCACTGGACTACATTTTACAGTAATGATGTTGTAAGGAGATATTCTGTCTTGATCACTCTTGGGAGTTTAAGGTTTAAAGAGGAAGTATCCTAGGAACAGTGGTGATTATGATTTGATAATTTTGGTTAGAGACTGATTCCTTCTTAAGGATCTAAAGCTTTTTTCACCTCTATCTTTTCAGGGTATCGGGTGTTACATGTTTCGTGTCGACGGGACATATGTCGTTGACGCCACGATGTGCGGAAACGCAGCTCGTTTCATCAATCATTCTTGCGACGTAAATATAATTCTCTGTTTCTACTATTTTCGTTCAAAGGGTTGTTTTAGGTGGTAAGGCAAAAGAGTGCCCAAGTTGAAAGACCTGTGAAATTTTGGCTTTAAGCACCCGGTTTGTTTAGTTTCGAGGGTGGGAGGGGGGAGGGGACTCTAAGCGGTGGGTGGGTGGGTGCAATAACTGGAGTTTCGCGGTACTCAGTACTGCCAATTACGCGTGTAGAATGTATCTTTTGCTTGCTCAGGAATGATGTAGAAACGCTTATTCAACCATATGTATGACCAGTTGCTTGACTCGATGTTGTAAAGGGTGAACAAGGATCTACTTCTCTAGTGTTATTTGAATTTTTAAGCCAAGCTACGTATAAATCACCGCGCTTTCTATCTCGCTCTCACTTTGAACGATAATATAAGAGAAAATACAATATAATGAACAAACTTTCCCCGATGTTTATTAAGTAATGTGTTTCCTTTACACTTTAGTCAAACTGCTTTTCTCGAGTCATCACTGTGGACGGTCAAAAGAAAATTATTATCTTTGCTTCCAGAAGGTATGTATAAAAAAAAAAGTTGTTTAGTCAGGTTGAATTTTTTTCCAAGGGTTATGTTATCGGTATTGTTGGCTGACACACGTTTAGTTTGTTATCGCTTTTCCTCTATCAGGCGGAGAAAGCTAAAATTAGTAAGAGGTCTGTTTACTTACGCTAAACCGCTTTGAAACAGTATCTTGTAATTGTATTTTGATTTGAAGAGCATATCTCGTCGTAAAATCCCAACTGAAGTAATTTTGACAGCCAGTGAGAGCGAAGTATGATAGCAAGTGAACTGCCGGAAGCGCGGGAAAACGCGAGTGACTAAGAAGCTGTTAATTTTTCTTCTGATTGGTTGAGATGGTGGCGTAAGTTTTCTAGGCCAATCACAGAGCAAAGTATAGCAAATCTAATGCAATCCTGGATTATTTTCAACATGCACTTAAATATTTCCAAGCTTACACTCCGACTCTGGATACATAGCCTCCCACCCACAAATTTTTCGAACATTACCACGTTAAGTCCTCTCGTCTGTACGCGACTAAATTTGATTATTCAATTTCTTCCTTTCAGTATTTCCAGAGGAGAAGAGTTGACTTATGACTACAAGTTTCCTATCGAAGACGAGAAGTTACCTTGTTTGTGCCACTCAAAACACTGTCGCAAATACCTCAATTAACTATCCTTTCCCTCCCCTGAAACTTTCCAAAGCTGGATCTTTTTTGTCAAATCGAATTTTATTTATGAACCAAGTGTACATAATAAGATGTAAAATATTTGTCTTTGCTCTGTAAAAGCTTATTTACAGCATCCCAGCTCTTTATGATATTTACTATATATTTGAGGGGGTTTTTCTCTCTAAGTGATATATCTTGTCTGCAATGGATTTGTAATAATTTGAGCGCAGTAATATATGACAAATCTGAGAGAAATGATGTCATGTTTCAGTGCAATAAATTATCAGTATTTACGGAAATAAATTTTTAAGTAAGATGCCTTGATACGATGTGAATGTCGTGAATTTCTGGCTGACGTTATGAGGGTGTGTAGTTGCACTGGTACGTCGTTGGGCCTAGCATTTCAGAGCCGTTTTAGCGCGCTTCGGCATGTTATGATGTCGACATAAAAGGAATGGGTTTCGGGGTAGGAAAAGAGTTAAAGGATTTTGGGGTGGGGCGAACTTGTTTTCCCTCAGTGGGCGAACTCGCAAGTGTGGCGAGCAAGTGGAGCAAGCTCACAATGGGGTGAAAGCTACATATGCACAGAAGACACGCTCATTCTGTATAAACCACTCGTTGATACAGATTCGAAAATTCGTTGTTCTTTCTTTCCAGAAATTTTCATAAGTGGTTTTTTTTTTCCTAACTCACCGTTTCAACCAGACATTTCTGTCTGTTTGTTTGTTTTTTGGTTGGTTTGTCGAGGTAGACGGCATCCTGAGTCCCGAGAGCTCTATTTTTTCGTCTCCACCCACGCTTGATTACCTTGAAAAACATTAAAATGTTTAGTTAGGCCGATACTTTCAAGGTTTCCTTCGACCAAGCTGGTGAGCCAGCCTGGGACTGTAAACCCCATCTTGGCATCGGTCCGTAGTACCGCAAAGACCCAGAGGACAGGAATTTAGACACAGGATAGGAACAGATTTATTTTTTCTTTCTGTTCTGATTGGAGAACAAAGTTGTCTCCCGCCGGAGGTAAGTTTTCACAGTGCAAAGTTCTCAATAGCAAATTTCATCCGCACGCACTAACTCTGACTAAGTGTTAAATTCAAATTTTTCCGAAAGCGTGAATACGCGCCGACATAGATCACTGAATTACAAGGACCTTGCCAAACTGCGGCTTTTCCGCTCAAGTACAGCCCACGTATTATTTAGCGTTTATATATAGTCCATTAGGAAAACAAAGTGGGGGATTAAACTTGAAGACGCAAATACCTCTTCCTTTGTTGTCGTGATCAAGAAAAAAGGAACAACAAAGAAGACTACAGGGTAACCCGTAAAGAGAATTATCAATACCAAACAGGATGAAACAACCAAACAAAACAAAATAGACTGGCACATAACACAAAAAAACTTAATAAAGGGATGTACGGATAAGTCTCTCTTTGTCTCTCTGAAAAACTCCAAGGCACTGTCCCGAATTTTCACCTCCTGCTCTCACCATTCGCAGCACATCTCTACACCACAAACATGCCATTCAAAAATTCATTGTAGATAAATCACTTATATGAAGACATTTTCGAGTGTTTGAACGTGACCAAACAAGATCGGTCAGTATTTGATGATTGAACATCTCAAAAGAGAACTTAAGACAAGGAATTTCATTGATTGCTCTTCAAACATAGCCTGCGCAAACCTTGTGGGTTCATCAGTTTGTGACCTGTGTTTCCAACGAATAAATCGGCATGATTCTCTATATTTTAAGTCGGTTGACTCTCAAAAAACCAATTTCGAATGACGTCTTAAAAACGCCTCCTTTTTTCCACGTGAAGTTGTTTTGGCCGGTGCTGTTGTTGTGTTTGACTAATTCGTGACATTGTTAGGATGCGAGCGTCAATTCGTGGGTTCTTTAGCGGAAACGCGTACTTGTGACGTAATTACCTGACCGGAAGTAGCATTAGTCTTGTCGTTTCCGATTTCGTTGCGGAACCGTGGAATATTACGGGCGCTAAAATTTTGTTCAGCTTCCGCTTATAACGAATTATATCAAATTATCATTCGATAATTTAAATTTCACTTAGCGTTTTTGCCTTCTCTGTATTGAGGTACCGCTCAAAAGAAAGGAGGTCTCTGGGGGAAGTTTGATAACGATCTATTTTATCTAATTTAGAGGTATGTGGGCAGTCACAAAGATAAATCGTAAGTTTAATTTACCGTTGAGAGCGTGGTTTTGCTATTTTGGTTGAATCATAATCTCTCCCTTTTAAAAACAAAACTGCAAAACAACATGCGCAATTAGGAAAACTCTTCAATCGCACAAAGAATCTTTCGTGCTAACTTTTGATCAATTCTTTAGGAAACGTTCAGAGACACTTAGACCCATCAGCTGTCAATCAACCAAGCACAATAAACAAACCCAGTGCGAGTAAATAACACGCGCTTGATTTGTTTATTCGCCTGATTCTTCACGGATGAGCGATCCCTGTCGACTATCAGCATTCCATCACAGGCGGACCGCCAGCCCTTCGACAATCGCACCTCCACATTCTCGATCGAAGATGTTCGCGTTTAATTTCAGTTTCTCCTTGGCAATGAGGGACATACTTTCATCAGAGGAGTAAAGTGCGAAGATATCAATGCGTTCTTTCGTCCACGATCAGTCTATTTAATACATTTAGCGCCATTCGTCGCAATTTAATATGGCAAGCAGTAATAATGCTTCCAAGAAGAAAGACAAACGAACGACTCTGCTCGACTTCGACTTGTCAACAACTTTAGGTAAGTAGACACGGATGCATAGCAGCGAAGAAGTATCTTTGTGATCTATTTACAGTGCTAAGAATAGCTTTCCTCTAATGAGGTCGTTAGCGCTTCGCACTATGGAGGCTGAATAAATCGCCTAACCCTCTCTCTGTCTCTCTCTCTCTTGCACAGGAACGGGGACGTTTGGAAGAGTGTTACTTTGCCGAGACCGAAGGTCTGGCGAGTATCATGCCTTAAAAATAATGAATATACGAGAAGTGATCAGACTTAAACAAGTTGAACACGTCCAAAACGAGAAGAATATTTTGTCGAAGATCGAGCACCCATTCATCGTCAATTTGTGAGTATGACTTGTAAACACTTAGAGCATGAGCAAACTTCATTACATACCTATGAAGGAGTTTTCTCGCGCTGCGCTTTACAAAAAAACGGCCCTGAAATGTTTCCCGGAATTTTTCCTTTTCGAAGCTTCGCATTTAAAATCAGCGCTCTGCTGCTCATTTGTAAAGAATATCCGTGCGAGGTTCGCTCCGCGCGGAACCTGTGGGGTTATGTATACAAGGCTACGTTCGAAAGTAAGCTTCTTCGATTCGTTCTTAAAAAGTCTGTGTACAGATACTTAAATGTCGTCAATGTTAGCTTTGTGTATATATAATGAGAATTAAGCTAGTTCATCCAATGATAGAGTGAAGAAGTATCTTACACGACGTCGCTCCCCTTGAGTATCGAAGTGATCATGATCTCTTAACGGGTCTCTAAGTAGGAAGCCATTTTACTCTTTCCACCACGTGAAACTGAATTCCAAAGGCTAATTGGTTTGCATATTAATGTTAATGCTGGTCTTTGATTGTTTAACAATGTTCAGATTGTTACCGATGTCGTTGAAATTCTATCGTATTACGTGTCTAGTGCGCCGTTGTAAGAGTCGTGTCTTACGGGAAGTTTTACAAAGGAATGGGATTGACATGGTTTTGTGTCTCGTTCGTCACGTATTCGTCACAGTCAAGTGAATCGAACGTTCGATCATGAGCAAGTGAATCGAGCTTTCGATCACAAAGTGGCGGTCGACCTGAGAACAAGCATAAAAATGTAAAGAGAGTTGAAGTCGACATGATGCAGTGCCTCTGAAATTTCAGTGGAAGGAAAAAACTTGTATTCATTTTGAATGTGTATGCATATGAATTTGCAAATTTTAAATTCAACCCAAATTCTCTTGTTTTTGTTAAGGGCTATTTTTTCTTTAAAGCACTATTAAGTCAGCAAAACAAACATGCATTTAATAATCTTTTGGACTTATCCTTGGGAAGGAGTAGAAAGAGCAGTTGTTCGTGGTCTCTTTGTTGTTGAAGGATGGTTTTAGCAGAGCATCGCTTATTATAAGTATTTTCGTGAGGTCGAACTAAGTGGCTAGTCTTCATTAAATACGACCTGAGTACATCCTGGATTTGTAACCTTAATTGCCCATGAAAATCCAGATGCATACCACATACTTAAATCAATTGCTTCTTATTTAGAATTTAATTTAAAAGTCTAATCTGTAAAAAAAAAAAAAACAAGGAGTAAATGGAGAAATTAGTTCCAAAAAATTTAATATCTTGCTGTTAAACTATTGAAATGAATGGATAAGGTTAACCTCAAGTTGTGACACATGACACTGTTTTTACTCTATCACTACTAACTACAGAGTTGTACAAAGCAGCTATGGTATGCTGATGTCTCCTAAACTCTTAAATTGGAATGTTTCTCTGAGCTTCAGTTGGTGTTATACAATTTCCTGCCAAATTTGGGTGTTCAGATTTGGTTGAATAACCATAAATCCAATTAAATGCACTTCACATTAAGAAGCTAACACAAACCACACCTCCTTCTTATTGGTTATTAAGTTTGTTTTTCACCTCCAAATCTCATTGTTAAGTTGTACTGTACATAAACATTTACATGTTAGGATTTATATTGTGAATCTAATATGTTATGTTTCGGTAAGATGTTCAGTTCACTGACCTGCCGGGATATATTTACGTACAAGGGAGCTGGTATTTAAAGTTTTGTGATGGTGTACAGTGTACATTGGTTATGTTTGTTTACATGTTGTGAACTTAGTATGTCATCTTTTAACCAGGTTGGTAGACTGGTTATTAATAAAGTGGGATACATGTTTTGAATCTGGTATATTTTGTTTTATAAGAGTGGGTTACAACATGATTTTGAATGCAATTTGGTGTTAATAAGAATAAATAATTTTTTCAAATGCAACAAAATGGCACAAGCCAGCAGGACGAGTGCAATTTGTAGTCTTTGAAAAATTTCACAAGTGCTTATTTAGATTAAATTGCACAAGAAACCATTTTGTTAGGTGTGAATGATTTTCATAAAAAAGTATCACAGAAAGTCAAGACGGACAAAATTTTAGCAGCACACTTCTGTTATTTGTAATTTGCACTTATGTTACATGAAAAATGCACACATTTTCAGCCAATCAGACACACATAATTATTTTTCATGAATCTTATTATGATGTAAATTATACATGTATAATGCAAGTAAACATAAGGTGAACCTACAATATTATGTTTTTTGATGGTGTACCATATATTAGCTTGTTTGTATATATTCTGTAATATGTCATGTTTTGGTATTTTGTACAGCATTTGAACGTTTGTATACATGTTGTGATCCTTGTATGTTATATCTTGGCAAATTGCACTTTGTATTGACATGTTAATACAAATTATGAATCTAAAATTTCAGTGATATCAGAATTTATATGTGAGTAAGAGCCTGCTTTTGCATGGGATGTTAATAATTTGCAGAATGCCTCCCAGAATTTTATCAGGTTTTCTTACACTGACAGTTTGTTGTGACTCACAGTTAAACTCATGAGTGGGACAGAGATACTGTATGGGCATAAGTTTCTTCCTTTAAGCCTTTCATTCTCAAGATCTTATTAGTAATTCTCCTAACTGTCTGCCATACAATTCTTATGATGTTAGGCTGGAGAATTAGTTATTAGAACAACTACTAATCCCCTAATTGATATTTTTCTTTACCTTTATCACTTGTCTGCTTGATATTGCATTGATATTGAAAGGAGAAATTCTTTCTTGTTCACTCTTGGGAGTTAAGGGGATTAAAACTCAGCTGAGACTTGAACCTGGTCGATTTATAATGAGTTTTTCTCCACTTTGTCAACCATTAGTCCTCCCTTTTCCTGTTAACCATTAAAAAACTGCAGCTGATCTTAGCAAAAGTGCTGATCCTAGCAGTATCAGGGATGTGTGCCACATGTGAACCCTCTAAAGGCCTGGCTCACCAAAGGGTCTGTGTGACTCAGTGGTAGAGCATCAAAGCATGGAATCCAAAGGTCTGAGGTTTGATTCCTCATTGGTTCTCTGAATAGGCCATTTTACGGTTGTGTACTTAGTTGCCAAGCCTTTGATTTGGAGTGAGGCTGAAGGTGACCTTGTTGTGTTAGAGACCAGAATCTAGTTAGCATGATAACAAATTAATTTGCATTTCAAAAGCAGCAAGGTTTGTATCATAACAAGGTCACCCTCAGCCTTCTCTGTAAAATGGACTATTTATCCTTTGTACCGTGCACATGACAAGAAAAAAATTCCTTTGGAAAAAAAAAAAAAACAGGCACTTAAGTTAGTAAAGGCAACTCAGCTACTACTGAAAGTGAGTGTCAAGTGGTGAACTTGCAATAATGTGTGGCACTCAATCAGGGAACATAGTTTGTTTTTCACCTCCAAATCTCATTGTTATGTTGTACTGTATATTAACATTTACATGTTAGGATTTATATTGTGAATCTAATATGTTATGTTTCGGTAAGATGTTCAGTTCACTGACCTGCCTGGATATATTTATATACAGGGGAACTGGTATTTAAAGTTTTGTCATGGTGTACAGTATACTTGGATTATGTTTGTTTACATGTTGTGAACTTAGTATGTCTCTTTTAACCATACATGTTTTGAATCTAATATATTTTGTTTTATAAGAGTGAGTTACAACATGATTTTGAGTGCAATTTGGTGTTAATAAGAATAAATAATTTTTTCAAAGGCAACAAAATGGCACAAGCCAGCAGGGCGAGTGCAATTTGTAGTCTTTGAAAAATTCACTAGTGCTTGTGTCAAGTGGTGAACTTGCAATAATGTGTGGCACTCAATCAGGGAACAAAATAGAAAGGTTTATATGCTTAGCTTATCTTATCTTGTCTTTCTGTTACTTTATTTTCACAAGGACCTTTATTACCTTTTATTTCCTCAATAGAACAGTCAGAGTAACCTTGTTTTTTCTCTCTGCAGATTATGGACATATCATGACAACACATTCTTGTACATGCTCCTGGAGTATGCTTGTGGTGGAGAACTTTTCACATATTTGCGTACAGCAGGAAGGTTTAATAATGGCACAGGGTTATTCTTTGGAGCAGAAATAGTCTCTGCCCTAGACTATCTCCACCAAAATAGCATAGTGTATCGTGATCTCAAGCCAGAAAATATTCTCCTAGATAGAGAAGGACATGTCAAACTTACAGATTTTGGCTTTGCAAAAGAGGTTCATGACAAGTAAGTTATTTTAATCTGAATGTTTTCTATTGTAATGGTAAATGGTCAGGATATGTGAAGCTGCATATCTTTGACTTAAGCTTTAACTTAAGCTTTTTATTTAAAAAAAAAAACAACAACAGCAGAAACAAAAAAACATCTAGCAATGTTTATAGTACTCATAATACCAGTTCTTTCCTGAGGTGCAATCTGCTGATTTGTAACTATGGGTAGAATAAAACTCATCTATTGTCCCATTTCAGGATATAGATGGAAAGGAAGAAATAGCAAGAATTGATTTTATCCCTTTCAGATAAATGTTTGCCAAACTAGACATTTAATATTCTGATCAGTTAAGAGGATATGTTAGTTTCAGAATTTCCCATGACCTTTCCTGCCTTTCAACTTGCCGAAGAGCCCCTGTCCCCTTTAAACATAAACACATACTGTGCAATTAACTATTGATCATAAATATTTATTGCTTACAAGCCTTATCACAATTGTTGAAACATTTTCCTTGTTTCCTCCATGTCAATTTTGGGAACAAGAATATTTTAATGCCCAAAGAAAACTCAACTTTGGGACAGTTGGGGGGGGGGGGGGGGGGGGAGGGAAAGAGAAGATACAATGAATCTGGGGAAAAAAGGATATTTTTAACCAGGCATGTTTTCCTTTTCTCACTTTAGATCAGTTAAAATTAATTGATCAATAGTAAGACACTTGGGCACCATTAATTAAGAGCCAGGTCTGGCTAGAGCTAATTTTTGTTTGTTTAAGATTAAAATCTGTCAACAAACTAAGTGCAACCCCCAGTTGAAAAAACATGCCCACATTTTATGAATTTCTAAAATTTTGCTTATTTTCCAAAGTCCAAAGTTCTGTCTCGGAGACTTCCTATGTTGGCAAAACAAACAATTTTTTTTTTTTTTTGTTATATTATGCCAGACAGTCTGGTTAAAATTGTGGCCGGAAATAACCTCTATCTACTTGGAGGGTCTGTCCTATTAAAACAGGTGCTACCCCTATAAAGCCTGCCGCAGCGCATCAACACTGCTAAAATTGCTATTTTGTTTTCCTGAGAATAAATAACAAAATTCTACAAAAAACCCAAAAGCCGCAAAAATATGCTTTTTCAATAGTGCAATTAAATCTCCCCAGATGTTTTGTTTTTTGTAAAAAGCAAGGTGGGTTTGTGGTTGATGGGTTGCCCCATCAGTAAAGTTATGGTTGAAACATAATAGTATGATGCAACCATAATTAATCCTTTAACTCCAAAGAGTGATTATCATCTAATTTCTCCTCACAATACCAGCACTGAATCACACATTAGGGTCATGAGAGTAAAGGAAATGATCACCAACAAAAGAAGCTTTTGATCAGTAAACAAATTCTCCTTGTCAGCAGCTTAGGAAATGTATAAAGAACAGTATGGAGAATATGCATACTGATGTTAAAGAGTAAAGGGTTAAAATTTGGAAATGGCAAAGTTGTGAGGTTAATATCGCTAGCCACTACCAGTGAGATGAATAGTTGTGCTTAGTATATACTAAAACAGTTAGAAAATATATTGGGCAAAAAAGTTGATTTTAACTCATTTAATCTCGCAACAATTAAAGTATTCTCCAAGTGAACAGAAAAGGATATTGGGAGTTTGAGTAGCCAACAGCATGCCTCAAATGCCATCCACTGTTTTGATACATACTAGTAATAGTAATACAATATTTCATGTGTCGCAATTTTTTTTTTCAGGACTTGGACTCTTTGTGGTACCCCAGAATATCTTGCTCCAGAAATAATTCAGAGCAAAGGACACAACAAAGCAGTTGATTGGTGGGCCTTAGGAATTCTCATTTATGAAATGCTTGTTGGGTAAGAGGGACCTGTTGCTTTAATGAATTGTGGGATCTTTTAGTTTTATTTACTGAGTTGATGATGTAAATTGGCCATCATGAAGAGTTTCTAAAGCTGTCATTTTGAGCAGTGAAGTAGGAGTAAAGTAGGAACTGAGCCTTCGATGAATTAGAAGATATTTTTAATTAGTTTTATCAACTGAGTTGAGAATGTAAATTGGCCACCTTAAAGAGTTTCTAAAACTGATACTTCAAGTGTTAGTCCTTCGTTAGAGCAAAGTAGGAGCAAGTAAATAATGACTGAAACAATTGGTTCCAAGTCTGGTGATTTGAAAGAAATGGGTGTCTGTCACTACAACAAGGCCTGCACATGCATCCAGCACAGTGGGAGAACATCCAATTAAATGCGGATTAAAAGATGGTCATGCCCAAATAGATCAATTTCTGTTTGATGCTCTGTCTGAGAATTACAGTTTTTCAAGTATGGTGGCTTCTGCTTCACAGAGGAAAAATTGGTCATTCATGTGAAAATTTTGGTTTAAACCTGCCATCTTCCTTTGTGTTATACAATTGTATACATTGTGCAAAACTGTATTTATATAAACTATGGAGGGGGTATGCCAGAGTTTGTTGCTTGTTTTGTGCAATGAAACAAAAATATTTAATTTAGCCCTGCTATCTGTGTAACCTCCTCAAGCTTAGTAGTTAGCCGCTGAAATACTTTTTTCAAGGTCATAAGTTAATCCACACCTGTTGAAATTTCTTTTATCTTGGTTTACCTTTGTCACTGATTAATAAATTTAATCTTAATTCTAAGAAAAATTTCAAACAGTTCAGATGGTTTGAGATTAAAAAACCCTCCCGCCATGAAATTTAGGAGAATTTTGCATACAAAAGTTTGCACCATTTGGCTTAAAAAATGATCTATGTGTTGGGCAAAGTCTATGAAAATTTGATACGCCACATGGTCTACTTATTGGAAACATGCAGTCACTATCAATTCAAAACTTAACCCTTTCTGTTACCTAAGATCAGTATGCATATTCTCTGTTCTTTTCTATATACATTTCCTATGGTATTGACAAGGAGAATTTGTTTAACAATCAAGAGCTTTAGGAGTGGTTGGTCATTTCCTGTATTCTCACAACCTCAAATTTTTATTTCAAGAGGGACCATGTATGGAGAAAATCAATGCTAGTTTCAATCTCATTGGGGTTAAAGGGTGATAGAAAAAAGCCTTCATCATTAGTGTAGTCAAGATTCTGTTAGGTTTTTCACATTTACAAAACTAATTTAAGAACTGCAGGAGACTGTTAAGGAATAAAGAGCAAATTGGCTGACAGCTGTTCTTGTACACTACTAGAGCTCAGACTCAAAATTAAGTCCCATTAGGTGCCAGGGTCTTAACTTTCCAGACTTAAAAAACTGTCTATGCAAGATTTTACACAAATAAGGTCAAGATATTTTAAATATGTTTATTTTTGTGTATTGTTAGTTTTTTTTTAAATCTTGCATGTTGTGACATGTATGTCTCAGAGGTGGTCCTAATTGATCCTATTTTGGAAATAAATAGGTGCAGAATCCTTAAGAAAACTGAACAGGAAAAATTTGAAACAGATTTGGATATCCTGCAGTGACATCTTGCTTCAAACCCAATTAGGTACATGGAGTACATTCCCTCCAGTATGAATATATTTCATAAAGCTGAATTTCAAAAAATATTACAGGGAATTCATCTTAATTCAGCATTGTATAAATAACATGCACATGCTTTAACATCTTTAAAGGGAATTCCAATCTGCTTCAAATATCTAACAGAAAATTGTTTGGAGCCATCTGTGAGTTTGGGTATTTTAGTATTTTTTAGGTTAAATTATTGAACAAGACTGACATGACTGTTAATAAAAACCTGATTGGTTTCAGGTATCCCCCATTTTTTGATGACAACCCATTTGGCATCTATGAGAAGATACTATCAGGAAAGGTAGAGTGGCCAAAACACATGGAAACTACGGCAGCAAAGTAAGATATATTTCCTTCTTAAAGAAAAATTTTGTCATCTTAGCGGCATGCGTGCACACCTTGCACACCCACAGATTTAGACTGAAAGATGCTGAAATTGTTACAAGATTAAACTTAATCCATAACCTCAGGAATTCAACACATGGAGAGAGATTTTCCTGCGGTGTTTGATTTTAAATATAGTTCTCTTTAATCCTCCTTTGGGACATGCTAGAAAGAAGTGCAAGGGAGATCAGCGTTTGAATTGCTAACATGCATGTGGATGGGAAACAGGGGAAGGGAGCAGGTCACAAGTTAGATTAACCCTTTAAGTCCCACTAGTGACCTCGACAGAATTTCTACTCACACTATCGATACAATATCAAGCAGACAAGTAATGAGAATAAAGAAAAGTACCAATTAGTGGATTATTGGTTGATCCAATTCAAATTCTCCAAACTAGCACCATATGAATTATATGGCAGATGGTAAGGAGAATTACTAATGAGATCTTGGGAGTGAAAGGGTTAAGTTTATTACGCTAAAGTGGTGACTGAGGTTTATTTCTAGAATTTACATGTTTGACCCTTTCACTCCCGCATGTGATCAAGACAGTAATTCTCCCGACAATAATATAATATCGAGCAGCTAGGTGATGAGAATGAAGAAAATATCAATTATGGGATTATTAGTTGATCCAAGACCAAATTCTCTGAACTGACGTCATAAGAATTGTAAGGCAGATAGTAAGGAGAATTACCAATAAGATCTTGGGAGTGAGAGGGTTAAGATGTGGTTTAATTTCAACCTTTCATTTTTTTTCTCATTGTCCTAATAATAACAATTGCTCTGAATGTTATGTCTAATTGAATATTTTCTGTTTTTCTTTGTGCTTATGCAGAGACTTGATTAAAAAGTTATTAGTCCATGACAGAACAAGAAGATTGGGAAGTATGAAGGTACATTATGATTTAATGTTTGGCTAGAGGTGTAAGTAAATTACCTTTGTGCAATCTTAAAATTCTCAAAGCAATACCTCAGATACCTATTGTAGGTTGATCTGTTTCATTAGAGATGTTGCAACAATGTTAACTGTAGCAAAATTCAGCCATACAATGAAAAACAATAATATCAACTGCTTTAAATGATAACATGAAAAAAAAAAAAGTCAGACTGACTCTTTTAGACTGTCTGTATTTGTTTTCCTTGTACGGTCTTACGATTGTGAACGAAAAGTGAGTGCATATATTGACTTTTGAACAAGGAGGGCTGGGCCAGGCACAACCTGGTCACAGTCTCTTGTCCCAGGACACAACATAAAATATTGATAAATTAATTGATTGAGTTGTGTGATTGATGAATGATTGACTGCATTATTCTCTTTCTGCCTTTAATTCTTCTTCCATATTGAACGGAAACTAAACGTCTTGTGCTCTATTTGTGTTTTTTTTATTTGTGTTTTTTTTTCAAGTTTATCATTATGCAATTTTTCAATCTTCTAATTTTTAGCTTACTTTGGCCCCTTTACTGTCCTCTACAGATAACAAGTCATTTTTGTGACCTATTAATTGTGTCAACAGAGTTTAGTGCTAAAATAGCGTAATATGCACGATGATTATTAATTAAACAACTTTAAACCCTGAATAATGGTGGTTTGTTTCAGAATGGAACAGAAGATGTGAAGAGTCACAAATGGTTCAAAGTGATAGATTGGAATTTAGTTTATCAAAGAAAGCTCAAGGTGAGTAAAGATTTGGTTGTAGTAACTGGCAAACAAAGAAAACCTTATACACCTAAAATTTGTCTGAGATAGTTGTTTTGTTATATCCAATCACATTGGAGATTAAATGCTGTTATTGACGAATCAAATGCGCGGGATGCCGGAGAGCCTAAAATTCCCCCGGGTACTTTATTTTTGAGACCCGTTTCCTTACCTCCCCGCACTTCAAGCTATGGATCCATCACTGATTTACTGGCTTTCAACCTACAGTTTACTTATCTCTAAGTGACGCAAAGTATTCTTCGTGGTGAAACTTGTACGGTGATCTAACAGACTTCCTTTGGTATTCACCTAGGCTCCCATTATACCTAAGCTATCTCATCCAGGGGACACTAGGAATTTTGATGATTACCCAGAGGAAAACTGGAGATCAGCCCCACCTCTTAGTGGCAAGCTTCTGGAGCCGTTTAAAGATTTTTAATCGCAGAGATTTCACGTGTTTTAGTCAACCAGGTGAAGTTTGCTTGACTTTATATGTTTTGATCAACGTCAGTATCTGAGCAACTGCGCCCCTACCCCACCCCTGACCAACATTAACCCTAACTTGGTATAGGGGCCTGGTGCTCAGATACTGAAATTGATCCAGATCTTTCCACAAGGGTGCTAAACTTGTGTGGCTGATGTAAAGATTTCGGTATGGTTGGTTTACTCTTTCGCTTCCAGGAGTGAACAAAAAGGAGCTTCCCTTTACATCAGAAAATTGTAATAAAGAGGGGTGACCAGAAGAAAAAGGATTATCATCAAGGGGATATTGCTTGATTTTAAACCAAATTCTCAGACCTTAAATCACGAGAAATACATGAAGGACTGTAGGGAGAATTTATATTTTAATCTCTGGAGTGTAAGGCTTGAAATAGCGAGCTTCTAAAACTTGCCCTGCTCTTTGTAGAGGCACTCTCGTATTTGTTCGGCTTCACGCAAGTTGTCACTCGAAACTCCATTTTCCGTTTTCGCGGCTTCAGTGCTATTATTTTCATCGGGCATCAGATAAACCATCAGCCATGTTGGCCATTAAGTTTGCATTTATTTTAACGTTTTTTATTATTATTATTATTATTCGTTTCAGTTAATTATGGCCGGATTTAACGAGTGATCTGGTGCAAGTCAAGAAGAATTGTTTTCACTCAAAGTATTTCACAGAATTCGCTTTCGCCAGGATCCCACTGAATTGTTATTTTATTTATTCATGGATAAGTTGTTACCTGTAGACAATAGCGTGTACTTATTTTTTAGACATTCAAAATGACACTTCCAAATGTGAATCAAAGCAACCGTCTGCTGTTTTAAGATTGTAATTAGCTAAATTTAACATTGTTGTGGAGAGGGTAAATGGAAAAACTATTTTAAGCATATCTTTAATTAGTTTGATATATTATTGTTTTAAACTTTTTCTTTCATGTTTCTAGTTTTTATTTCTTAAGCCTCGTTGTGATATCGCCATAGAATACATGTAATTCAAAGCTACTTTTATTTGAAATTAATTGTAGCTGATCGATGGTTTACACGTAAAGGGTAGGACTAAATAATTTGTAAGGATTTATCTTTGATAATTAAGCCTATGAAAGGGAAGAATAATTATTTCGTACATTGTTCGTGTGGCCTTTTTGGATTCTTTGCAGTGATTTTGCTGCCCTATAGAAAAACCATGAATTCTGGCATGCTGATAAAAAGTTCCTGCTGAAATTTTTAGTTTGATCTTTTTATTGCAAAGAAGATAGCGGCTCTGTGTATTTGGGAATGATGGAAAATTTTCAGCTTCCTGCAGTTTGTTTGCAAGAAAAAAAAAATGGATCACTGAAGTGAGAGAAAGAATGTTCACACGACGAACTTAAAGCATGAGAGAAAAAAAATGGTCTGAATTTTTTTCACACGTTTGTTACCAGTTTACAAATATAAAATGATCCATTTCCAAAAGAGTTGATGGTGTTATTCTTTGAGATCTCATAAGAGGCCGCACGAATCTCATTAAATAGAAGTGATCCTAACCGAAAGCGGCAAGAAGCCTCATTACTTATCGTTCCTACCAAACCGCCGTTGGTTTGGCTCCGGTCTTTCTCCGGGCGGTTTTCCCATTCTGTTCGTTCATTCAACCTCACTAAACAAACCGCCTGACACTTAATCTGCTCCGGATTTAGCAACTTTCCGGTCATGAATTACCTAAGATGAGGCTATTTTTGTATGCGAATTAAAAGTTAACATGTAGAAAAACACGGGTATAGAGAGTCAAATAGAGTAAAATTTTTGTAAAATGACTGTGAACAGCCTACTTCAGAATTTTGAAATAAAATGTCATGTACTGTGGTTAGAAGTCCTCAATTTTAGTTGGTTAGACCAGCAGTTGCAACGGGCCAGTTGTTAAACAAACGTTATCAGGGAAGAGAATTAGGTACTCTTAGAACGAATTGAGTGGGCGAAGGAAATGAAGACGACATCCATGCACTTTATCCCTTCAATTCCCTCAAGCGAGCGATTGCCGGCGAGCGCACTAAGAAAGAAATGATTTTTTTTCAACTTCTTATTTTTTGCTCTCAGTTCGCGTAAAGATTCGTCGACACTCGATATTTCAGTTTTCTCGGTAATGAATACTGTTGTCCCAAACTCAGGTGCTTCCGACTGTATATTAAAAAAGGTGCTAGACCCACTAACAGCCCAACACCTCTTTTGCAATTATGAACAAAGACCGCTCCAATCATCAACAATTTTAAAATTGACTTCCTCTTTTGCAGTCTGAGGAGTTTTTTTTTCCCGTTTGCGCAAATAAATTTCGTTTGCGTTTTACCTCCATTGGAGCCAAGTGCACTTTAGGCAATATTTTTAATATCGCATTTATCGTCTGGCATCTCCCCTTTATTTCGCCCCCTCTTGTAAACACTGCGCTCCAGAGCGGAATATTTTTTGTGAAAAGCGACCCAACCACCAGCAGTTCAACTTCAATGTAAAGGAAACAAGAAAAAAAGCACTAAAACTGTTTTCTCTCGCTATGAACAATACTACCAACTCTATCAATTCACAATCTCTTCATGTTTGTGATTTTTATGTCAAAGTTGAGGTCGACATTGTTGATGTTTTCACCGTTGCCATCAACATGGTTCTGTCAGTGTCGGCAATGCTCGGGAACACCTTGGTCCTTGTTGCGATTCGGAGGACAACAGCTCTATGGCTCCCGACCAAAATTCTCCTTAGCAGCCTAGCATTTGCAGATCTGGGCGTTGGCTTGTTGGCGGAACCGCTATTTGCGATGAAAATTCTTCTTGAAGGTAGATTAGTACGTTGTGTTGTTGGCGTTCTATTCGATGTGGTTTCGGGACACCTTTCTATCGCTTCCTTTCTCACTATGATGGCGATAAGCATTGACAAATGCATGGCCGCTCAACTCAAGCTGAGATACCGCATCGTGGTGACAGAGAAACGCTCAATCCGTGTTGTGGCATTTATCTGGGTTCTTGCTATTCCGTGGGCGATTTCTTTCTTTGTGAGCCTCCCGACTTATTGCGTGTCTGTGTTGATTGTTATACCAGTGTGTTTTTTATGCTCTTTTATCGCTTTTGCAAAAATCCGCTTCGTTCTTCAACGGCAGCGAACGCGAACAGCCTACACAAAACCATCGGTCCAGGCTGAGGGGCAAGTTCACATCTTACGATACAAGAACTCAGTTCGCAGCATGTTATATGTGTATTGTGCTCAAGTTGTCGCCTATTTTCCGGCCTGGCTCGTGATGCTGATAAGAGTAACAACTGGAGATTCTACAATAGCGATCCGAAAAGCTACACAATTAACACTAACTTTTATTTTCCTGAATTCGACTGTGAATCCTGTGGTGTATTTGTGGAGGATAAAGGAGCTTCGGTCAGCCGCATGTGAAGTGCTACCGTTTATTTTTAAGTGTTTAAGACCGATTAGAGTTGAAAACGGAGCACCGACCCCAAGTGAAGATACAATGCACCATGTAAGAACAACGACATTTGTGGAAGTCCTTGGGCCAGCTGAAAGTGAAACAGGAAATAGAGAGAGCCCGCAATGAGAAGTTAACAGTACGTAACATGTCTTTTGCGGTAGAAAATTGCCGAGGAAAGTTTTGAAATTTGGCCGGAAATTTCAGCTTTCTCCAATCTTAAAATTACAGTAAACTCGATATACATAGAGGGTAAATACCCTCCAACTTCATTACTGATCAAGATACACTTTAACTAAGTATACTAAGTGCCATGCAAAGAATGGAATGCTGATAGCTTTCGGTGAATGCGCAAGACTTGATGAGTACTCGATACAGCTTTCTGACAGTCTTTAAAGTTTACTTCAAGTGCAGGATCGTAAATAAAAGCAGAAAAAATGTAATTTATGGTGAGAACATTCCAATGAAAAACGAGTTTTAATTGCCTAGTGCACAACAAACTGAATATAATTATGGATCGCGACCTTCCTTAAGCAAACATTTTTTCCTCTAGAGTGAATTGACTTTGAGCTGAAAATGATGGAAATTTTGGGAAATAAATCACTTAGCTGATTAATTCAAGAAGTTTACTCGACCGTTTTACCCATTCGCGATGATAATGAAATATGTAGAAAAACAAGAATTTCTATGAATCTTATACCCCAATCACACCAAAAAAACATATTTAGTTAAACCGGGTTTAACTGTATGAAAATCATAAACAGAGAACTGAAAAAAGAAAAATTTTGATAGGATTCAAGTAATCGCTAAATTGTATTTTTAATGCTAAATTTGAAGTCGACAAACATCCGTTTAAGCAGCTTCTGAGTAGAAAAAAAATTGTAAACCGTATCTAACAAAACAGCTCAAAAAATGTTTAAGCTTCGGTGTCAATGGGGTACAGGACCAAAATGGCGGAATACATTTTCAGTTGCGGTTTAAAGTACTTTGCATGGAGGCTTGATTTGAACTGTGTAATACTTAGATGAAATATTGGAATATTGAAATAAAATAAAGTACAACACGTGCCCCTTTTGGTTCGTTCTTTCCTCCAATAGTCTCAATCAAGGAATTTATTTCCCAAAAATGATTTGTGTTTTGTATTGTCTTTCTTGGGAAGTCAATGGTTTGAAAAGCTATAAAGTGCATAAACTTAACTCCACATAAAACGATTTCGACATTTTATAAACCTATCGCTGTATGCAAAGCGCTCATTTCAAATTCCGGTGGGCCCTTATTCGAATCCTTAGCTATGGCAGAACAGAGAATATGCGAACTACCGTCCTTTATGCGTGACGATCGCTAGCAAGGGTAATCTTAGCTGGGCGCGAAAAAATAATGAAAAAAAAGCGCATTCATAATTACTTTAGAAACAAAGATTTGTTGTTCTTGTTCATTCCAAATTGTTACAATAATCTCTTTTCGTCTATTGAGGGCATTTTGTGCGAAGAAACCACTGACTGTTCAAGAGGTAACTGACCTAAGTAAATAAAAGGCATTCATGGTTTCACGAGGGATACTGCCATGTGTATCTATCACTGATAATTAAAAAGTGTGCAGAAAAAAATCATTTTTGTTTGCTTGCAAACGCCGCATAGTAAATACTTATCCAGGTGCAGCGGCAAGTGAATCTGAAACAAATCAGTGTGGGAAGCAAAACCGTGTCAAAGCAATATGAATTCCTGTCACGTTCTTTAAACAAGATGAGCGAGCGGAAAATACACCTCTAGCTGCACAATATTATCTCATTAATTTTCCCTCCTTGCGGCAACAAAGGAAGACTTACATCGCGAACTGGTTGTGATAAGTTTATCAAAGAGATATTCGTGCAAGCTTTGTACTTCCGCTATCAGGCATGGAAAATTCAACAACAGCGCCGGCCCAAAACATGGAGCACAATTTTCACATCTGCGATTTTTACCACGTCACAGATGTTTTAGACATTTTTGGACTTATAACCGCGAGTTTAAACTGGGCATTCTGTTTAACTGCAATTTTTGGAAACGCTTTGCTTTTACTCTCTATTAAACGAGCACCTTCGATGGGTCGGCCATCTAAGATACTTCTGTGCAGCTTAGCATTGTCGGATTTTTTTGTGGGATTCATTGTTCAACCTTCCTTTGCACTGCACAAGTTACTTCAGAACGAACTTGCTGCATGTGTCGTCGGCTTTATTTACGATTTCTCTTCCGGGCATCTCTCTCTTGTTTCGCTACTGACCATGGTGTTCATAAGCCTAGACAAATTTCTGGCGTTGTATTTAAAACTACGATACCGTAGGGTAGTCACATTCAAACGAGTGCTCACTGTGGTGACAATAATATGGACGATATCTTTTCCGTGGTCAGCAGCGTTTCTTCTCCACCCAAAAGTTTATTTTCTGTTGGTGATGATTATCATCCCTTTAAGCTTTCTGGCAACATTAGTTGTTTTTATTCAAATTTACACTGTTCTTCACAGGCAACAAAACTGGTGCATGACCTATTCGCGCAAGGATTCAATGAACATTTTCTCTTACAGAAAATCTGTAACGAATATGTTATACATTTACTGTGCTCTTTTGTTTGCTTATTTTCCGGTATGGCTCGCACTTTTAATAAGGATTATTTACGGCCACACTACTAAAATACTGCAAAACGCTACAGAATTAGGATTACTCATCGTGTTAATCAATTCAACGGTAAACCCACTGCTATGTTTTTGGCGCATTAGAAAAATTCGTTTGGTCGCTAAAACCTTATTGGAAGGAATGTTTCGAAAGCGAATTGCAGTTGAAGATGTCGCAGCCACAAACAATGCCTACGACTCCGTAGATTTCCAGAGAAGAATTCGGGAAACAGGCGTTGGTCTGGAAAATGACGGAACGGCTGGAATATTGGTCAAAGACTTGGAAGACGATCCAGATGTTTTTACTTCGCAATAGTAAATCAATCAGGTTCCTCTTTGACAGCAGTCGTTGGTGATTGCATAGATTAGATTCTTTTACCGTGAGTTTGAGTGAGCTGGAAACAGATTTAAAGGTCTTATCAAAGCTCTTGAAATGAACGTGAATCAAAACATGAGGTTGGTCGCTATGGTAAATTGCATGACGTCAGATGTAGCGCCGGGTTAGGCCATTTTTGGCATCTGGAGGTTTCGCTCCATTGCATTCTCGCCACCTACCACCTTTACGAATTCAGTCCCTGACGAAAAAAGAGTTCGCCCTAACCATTACTAGTTCGCCTCCAAATTTTAAAAGTCGTTTTCTTACGGCAGGACATATTCCTTTTTTGTCAGAGTCACGTATTTGCCCAAGGAAAAGATTTAACAGATGGCGCTTTTCTCGTACGCCTTTGCTTTAAGATAAAGAAACAAAGGACTACTTACTAAAAGCCACTTCATCTCGCTTTTTATCATAAACCATTAACTTCATGTGTCCTGTCTGTTCTTTCCCTGAGTTTTACATCACTAGTCATCAGGTTATTCATTCTACAACTAATTATTGCAAAAGAATACAAAACTTTATAAGATTCTCCCAGTTCTAATCCTGTTTCACTCAACACTCAAGTCGTGTTGTTTATAGCTACAATCTTCCCACAGAACTACAACTAGATAGCTATGTAAGGTAGTCAGAATAAGTTTTCAAGGGAAGGCTAATACAAATATTGGGAAAAGATAACATCCAAATATAGTCTCAAAAGTTTATTTTTATTTTAAAGTGGGGAATGAGATGACTAACCTCTAAAAGGTCCCTCTCCAATTTCCGTTTTGTCTAACGCACGATATAAGGATTTGGATGACTTTTTAATTAATCTTTTCCCCTTCTAGACTAGACACGTACAATATATATCTTGTCAACTTTTCTCTCAGTTCCTCGGAAATGAACGCAAATAAGCTTGCACAGCTTCATAAGTATGTACCACCTAAGTGGGCTTCATCCCTGAAGAACATTCCAAAGCATTCCCTCAAGGTAAAACAACATGAATGCAGATCAAATTGTACAATCGAAGTATGAAAGTGTTTTTGTACATCAGTAATTGAATATGGTAGTTTAGTGCAGTCTTATTACATTTCAAATTATCCCGTATGTCAAACATGCTACCAGGATAATCGCATGTAAGACGAAGGTTGGTTACATTAGCACGCGATCAAGTAACAACACTACCAAAACTTTATTTTCATGATTTCTGTTTGATTTTCAATGACCAGATAGGAAAGGCAACTTTACGAGGGAATGCTAAATAACTCGTTGAGTGAGCAGGGCTATACCACAACGACACTTAGAGTTAACGGCTTATGATTAGGTTTTGCATCTAATCAATATATAGTCTAAGTAAACATCCAGATCATTGATTCAGGCCTGCATGGCCATGGTTCATATTCCTACAAGCTATACCTGGCTATAGCTAGCTGTTGACTGACATTTGGTCGACATTTGATGACTTTGTTTATTAATTAAGTGGTTGCAGATGAGTGCTGGGTGAAATATTGTGCTGTATTCTTCCCAGCAAGATGCTTTATAACTCCCATGCTAACTATAAGTTTTGCCATTTTGTAGCTCGCTCAACGTAACACTCCAATCCACCCATGGAATATTCCCAATGCCCCAAAGGAGTTTTCAATATTCATCAAAAGGGATGACCTGACTGGATGTGCTCTGTCTGGAAATAAGGTGTGATTTACCAAATAAATATATATTCAGCCTAGTTAACTTAATGCTTTCCTTGGAAAGTTCAAATAAATTTGCAACCAAATTAAAATTAAAAGTTGGCAAATTGTCTACCTGTGTTTGGAAGTCATGTCACAAACTGTAAAACTTAACTTAAAGGTACTTTTTAGGATGAAGTGAGGTGAAAACTTTTCTTAAGATGTTATCAATGGTCATCCCCCTTCAGGCTGTCTGTATTTAACAATGTTACTTGAGTTTCCACAAACAGATGCCAACACATGCAAATGTAGTGGTCAAATATTAAGGCATTTACAAACGTGGAGACCTGAAAATGCCATCCCAATATCATGCTTTCACGCAGTCAGAATCAAGCTGCCTCACTTGAGTTTGAGACAGCCACAAACGTCAGTAGTCAGGCTGTTTTTATAAAACATTTAAGTTTAACAGAAGAGCTTATGGAAAATTGATAAATTAACACTGTACTGGATATCCAGAATCAAATGAACAGAAAACCTTGAAAATTGTCAAGTTTCCCTTATCTCTGCTTTTGTTTCCATTTGTACATTTTTATGAACTTTTTACTTCTTTTTACCATATCGTGTGACACTGCTGTTTATTTCTTATATTCCCTTTGAGTTTGCACAAGTGATCACACGACATTATATAGGCTTTTGTATATGTATGTCTCGCTAAAGAGGTTAATTATTTCAATTAAGTATGAATTGATCGTAAGTAACTTAGTTGCTTTGTTATGTTATAGGTTCGTACATTGGAGTTTGTCTTGGCTGATGCTCTAGAGAAGAAGTCTGACACAGTGATAACATGTGGTGGTCTCTTTTCCAATCATTGTAGGACTACTGCAGTTGCAACGAAGCAACTTGGTTTGAATTGTTACTTGCTGCTAAGTTGTTCTGATCAGGTAATACAACAATTATACCTTTCCCTAACATTTTGTAGCTCAAGCACCACTTGTTCTTACAAACTGTCTTTTTTTACATGAGCAACAACATCTGTGTGATTGCTAACTCTCTGACCACAGCCAACCTTTTGTTTTCTTTTCCTTGTAGAAGACAGTCAATGTCGGATGTAAAGGGAATCTTCTTTTAAATAGGATGGCTGGAAGTAATATTATTCTTGTTCCAGAGTTGAAATATGAGGCTGGCCTTCAGTCAATGATGGAGAAAATGGCAGAAAAATTGTAGGTAGCTGATTTGTTCAAATTATTTTTACAACTTTTGATAGCTGTTTTGAGTCAAAGGTGCAAGACTTTAAGAGAGAATCCAATCATTTTGAATTAATTAAACCAAAAGATCTATGAGATTATTCCAATTAGAAATAGTTTAGAAATTCTGAAAAACTTAGTAAGATGCCCTAAAAGGCCAGTTAACTAACAAGACCTCCTCTTCACTGACTTCCTTCAACAATGGAAGCCTCAAGGAAGTAGAATCACTGACAAAATACAAAGCCTTGATTATATCTTTTCTTATTGTTACATCATTTCTTTGCTTTTTTTATAAGACATGTTTTTCGTCAGAGATAAAAATTAATGTTTGTTCTTGTGTAGGTGTGAACTTAAATTGTATTATTTTCATCAAATTTTTTATCCTAAGGCATAATGAGACTGGTGTGCCCAAGGGATTGGGAGTTTTTGTATCTCAATCTCACCTTTCATTCTCAGGGAAACAATAACATTCAGAAGTGATTAACATGTAGCTTCTCCTTATGATATCCATATCTTATCCAGCAAACAGATAATGAGAATACTCTAACTTATCAGGTAGAAGCTGTTATCTTGATCTTACCACAAATTCTCATAAATAAACAAATATTGAAGCAATCCTCACAGTTATGAACACTACTTAAGAAATAGTGAAAATAAAGCCAGAAAAAATTCAGGCCTGTACGAAATTTGAACCCATGACCTCTGCAATACTAGTGCAGCACTCTACCAACTGAGCTAACAAGCCAACTGGGAGCTGGTCATAATGTTGGTTCCAAATAAACCTGTGAAGTGGTGAATAAATGACTGTAAATATATGAAATTCATATATGTGAACTGCAGTTGAAGAAATGAATATGGAAGCGATCCTTGCAGTTATGAACACTACTTGAATAAGAATGAAAATAAGGTCTGAAAAAATTCAGGCTTGTACAGCAGTTCAATTTTCATTACTACTAAACTGCAAGGATTGCTTTCATATTAATTTCTTCATTTATACAATATCATGCAGACAATTAGTGACGAGAATAAAGAAAAATATCAGTTATGGGATTAATAATTGATCCGATACCAAATTCTTCAAACTAATATAATGAGAATCATTTGGCACTCAGCAAGGAGAATTACAAATAAGATCTTGAGAGTTAAAGGGTTAACAATCACATCTTGGGAGTTAAACAGTTCACAGTAGGGTAGATACTCTTAAATGATTTTCTCTTGGATAAAATCTTTTCAGACGTCAGCAAGGTTCAGTCCCATATCTGATAGAGGCTGGAGGTTCTTCATATACAGGATTGTTTGGTTACCTGACAGCATTTCAAGAAATGATGGATCAAGTGAGTTAATAATTTAAATTAGAACATGTCATCCATTGCTCAACAAATTCTGCTCATTTGTGGACTTTAATCTATAAGCTTGTAACCAAGGCTAGTAACACAAAGTTTTGTGTGAAGAGGATTTTATTCATCATCCAGTTTCACTAATTAATCAGGAAGGTACACTGCAGTCTTAGGCCTTTTTACTGATCAACAAGTCAATGGGCAAAAAGCTTTTTCATTTCCTTAAAATGATTCCTGTCATTCATATCTCTCAATATTTTACAGAATTTAGGCATGTATCACCCCTCAGTCAAATTCAAATTTAAAGGTTATTTAACCCTTTATTCCCTGGTACTGATTAACATTCAACCTTGCCCTGGAAGCCAATTGGTTGAGAAGCTGAAATACTTGAGGAAATTCGAAGTCTGCAGCTGAGGCTTAGCGATTAATGAATCTTTGATCAATATAATGTGGTTGTTTGTAAACTCATCTTACCAGTATTTTGATTGCTGGAAGTGAACACATTTTCTCATCCTTTAAAGAATCTGCTGGAAGATTTTGATGATATTGTAATGACAGCTGCCAGTGGAGGATCTGCAGCAGGAATTTCCATTGCTAATTATCTGACAGGTTCAAAACTCAAGTGAGCTGTGAATTTTCTCATAAAAGATTTAAACTTGTAGCTGCTATAGTATCCATGAGAACTGTTGATTTGTTTTAGATATTGATCAAATAGACAATAATAGTAAAATAAAGAAGAGTAGTCTTCATATTATGTTGTTTCAGAGAGTGCAATCTCATCATAGACTAGTAAAATATGAAAATATTTCCTCCATATCGCATTTAGTGTGTTGGTTTTTAGCTCTATGATTCAAGGGCACCCAAACTTGTGCACCAAATCAATTTTGAAATTAATCAAGCCTACCATATTATGTAAATTAATTAGAGTGTTCATGTACCTACCGGTTAAGAATTGTGAATATGACAAGGAGGATGATGATAGTGATGGTGTGATGATATGGTGATATCAAAATCCTTCAGCATTATTATGCTGCTGATACTGTCCATGGGAGTTCTACACTTTGCTGCTCTTTGATCCACTAGACTATAATTTGCTTAATTTTGCTTTTCCCATGTGAATGTAGATGCCATGCAGTAAATGTACGTGATGACGATGCATACGTATACAGCAAGATAAATGAAAAACTTCAAGCAGCTGGGCTCTCTGTGCAAGCAGAAGAAATAATTGATGTCATTGGCGGACATCATTTGCCAGGATATGGAAGACCCTCACAAGAAGATCTTGGTAATTACTCGTCCTCTTTAGTGTACCATTGTTAAAGAAGAAGCGATTACCATGAAACCTTGATCTGCTCTATTCCAATCCAGCTCCCTAAACATTGACTCCAGATCATGGCCAGCCTAAAAGGCCAACTTAGAATGGCCAGGGAATCTACCTGGTTCAAAACTTTGGCCATGTTAAAGTACTCTGTACATTGTTAATCGTACTATTTCAGTGCAATACCGTTGTGCCATTATCACAAAGTAACTTATATTTTCAATTTCTTATATTTCCTTTTTTGTAAAATGCAATATTTAAAAACTTTTCTTGCAGAATACATTTTAGAGATTTCCAGTTCTACCGGAGTGTTGATTGACCCAGTGTACAACATAAAGACAGTCAGAGGAATGCTGGCTGAAATGACCAATAATTCCAAGAGATTTCGAGGAAATAGGATACTCTACATTCATACTGGTATGAGACATTTTTTATGAGTTTGATGATAGCCCTAAACAGTCTTAACAGATTGCATCTGTAGTGAGACTTACTGCAGATGCCCAGGAATGATTGCCAGAACCTCTCCAGATTCATGGAGCATGAAATAACTACTTGAGGAGTTATTTTCTCTTATTCTGGATGGGCTGCCATAACAGGTTTCCCCTCCTCCTTCCTCCCTTCCTTTCCAAATCCCTTGATCAGATTCCCTTGACAATTTGCCTTGCCAATTTACAATGATGAGTACCTCAATAGAAGGGACAGTTCTGTAGTGGAGGCGCTAATTGGAGCTAACCGTAACGTTAATGGGAATGGATTGGTCAACGACAAACCATATTTATAATGGTAATAGGACCGAGTGGACTCCTGTTTGGAGAGTAATCCCACGAAGGGGGAATCTGATTTGCTAATCACGAGTATTATTACAGACAGAATTGGACGAGATGAAGTCCTGTTACCAGTTAATAAAAACTATGACATAAATTTGAGAAAGAAACTAGACATCAGGTAAAGTTTTTCATAAAAAACAGTTAACTCGGCGAAATGTGAGACAACAGCGCGCGCACATGATGCTTTCTGCCCACTTACACAGACTTGATTATTCTGAATATCACAAAAACCTCATCCAATAATTGTTTATAAATCAGGCTGGTAAAAACCAATCACCCTCGAAATTTTGTTCTAGTTTTGATTAACAAATTAATTGACTGAGGTAATCTGTCGTATTACTATTTTTGATGATTTTTTTTTTGTTCTTTAATAAGGTGGATGTTTTGGTTTATTTGATGGAGGAGTTGAATCTATACTGACAAGTTCACGAGACACACAATGTATCAATGAGATTCTGTCCTGGAGAGACATCAACGATCCTCTGCCGATCTGATTGTAATTAATCAAAGAAACTATGTGTTCGTGGTTGATAATTGTTGACATGAGACGAACAAAAGGTTCATGAGGTTCATGAATAAAGCTCTGAAAATTGCATATCTAAATTACATCTTAGTCTGAATATCTCAATAAAGTTAAATGAAATATTAATCGACGCATTTGTGGTGTTTTTTTCACCCTCATGGGCCGTTTGAATCGCCTTTCTATAAAATCACTTTTGGCCGGAGGCCGTCACGAGTAGGAAGGGAGTTTGCTGTTTCAGAGGACCGCTTAAATAAACACAAAGTATTGTAATGTACGTGTCGAGCTATTATTCAACCCCTCCTTCCTTTTGTTTTCCACAATTGTTTCCGTCGCCGTCGTGGTTTGCTAGGGGTTCCTAATTGCGCTGTGGTACTGTTCAAATTGTTTCGTTTACTTCATAAAAACAGGTATACAAACAAGAAGACAGACAATAACAGAGAAGGTCTTTTTATTTCTTCTTTTTGTTTAACTTATTAGCAGCTCCTCTGAGCACACAGTTTAACAATTAATTTTTTTGCGAAAGAGTTTGGGAGGATTTCGTTGACTAGGGAGTCAAAAATTTCCTTTTTGATTTTTTTTTTGGGTAAAAAAAAATAACTCTCTAATAGCGTCAGTTTAGAGTGATATGTTGCTCGCACCAATCAGTTCGCCGCATTTGGGTATTTATCTCGCACCAATCAGAGTGCCAAGTATTGGTATGTATCTCGCACCAATCATATCACAGCATTTGGATATCTTGCACCGATCACAGCGTTTAGGGTAGGTATATCGCACCAATCAGTTTTCCGCATTAGGGTATGTATCGCACCAATCACAGCGTTTGGGAATTGTTTTCTTGCAAATGACATCCGATAGCATCAGGGGGCTGTGTACAAAGAATGACATAAACCATAAATTTTGGGCGCGTTTGATAAGTGTAATGGTTTGTGGCTTTCGCGGGAACCTCGTCGATTAAGGTAGAGATTTATCGGGCTATGAAAGGTTCGCATCATCTGTACCATTTTTAAGTTAAAGTGTGTTTTTCCGTTGCTTTACTCACCACTTACACGCCAAAAAACTTACATTCCATCACGTACCATGAAAACAACGTCCAAAGTCCAATCAGAAAAAACTCAATCATGGTACTACATGGACATTTGGCAATTTTTCATGCGCTTAGATTGTATTCCACCAATCAAATTCCATCTTGTCAAATAAGACTTCGCTCCATCGCGTACCATTTCCATGTAAACAACCTGCATTTAGTCACGTATTCAAACCGCATTGTCCAACCCTACTAAGAAAAATTCAAATGAGACTAACTGCTACTAATAATGAATTTTTCACGCAATTCTCCCGCATTTGGACTTTTGACCGATGCATGTTTTATTTTTGCTTAGAAGAATTTTGACAATAAAGAAAATAGACCACAAAATACCTGTGTGAGTTCAAACAAATTATGTGTTTGTCTTTCTCTTATGGTAAAATATTGCGATACTTTCGTCCGTTTGAAAGTTATGCTCTTTTCCTGTTACAAAAATGAAAAAATTAGGTACACGAAGAGCCCAATTTTAACCCGCCCAGCCAAACAAAATAACTCTTGTATACTATGCATGCCTATGTTTTTCTGTAGTGAAGCAAATTCACTTTGATAATTATGTCGAAGACGAGGAAATGTTTTGACTCAATTCAGATGGAGAAAAATAATGGGTGATTAAAAACTGATTTTGAATTGGAGAATTTGAACTCATTAAGATAAAAACAGACAACCAGAAGCAAAAAGAGAAAACAGAAGAGTTGACAGCAGCCCTTTCTTCTCTTTAGTTTCCATTTTCTCTCCCCACAAGGTTTTGGTTCGAGAGCCAAAAACGCAAAGAGGAATTTTCGCAGCCTGCGGGTCAATGGGTATATGTGGGAGTGATTCAAATAAGAGTATTGGGTTTTTAGACCAAATCAAAAATGGCTTAAGTAAGCAAATTCGAAGTAGTGGTATTTATTTCAACCAGTATTTTCAAAAGTTGTTGTAACAGATATTCATCCCGAAGGTGTTAAATGTTTAAAATCGCAGATGTTCGCTTTTCACCAGAGGCTTCTACTACTACTTCTTTGCGACACAGATTCTAATATTTTAATGAACACAACCCGGGTATATCATGGTGTAATAAACACGTACTTATGTCGGAGACTTTGATTCGTGCGTGACACATCAGATGATGAGTGTGAACATTATGGACATTGATTGGTTTACATAATCAACGCAGCCTTGAATGACCTTTCAAATCAGTTCTTGGCAACAACCAATCACAATGTAGAGAATATCGTATAAGAGAGTGATTTCTTACAAATTTTGCGAGAGTAGCTTTTTACACACCCGATGTAAATAAGCGAATGGGAGAGCGGAATAAAACAGTTTGATTGAGTCTCGTTCGTTAGAATTCTATCCCTAGTAAACAGGACAAAGTTTACAAAACTTAGTTGGATTGAGCTAAAAGGTACAATTACCATGCTGTCACAAGTCTAAAGCTAAATTAACTAATATAAAAGCAAGCAGTGCAAATGATAACCAGAAGTAGCGCCGAAACGAAAGGTGGAGAGAGGAGGTTATTATAATTACTGTTTTAAGCGAAGTAGATGACATTGTATTAAGGAAAAGTAGCACGTGAAATGTTTATTTTAAAAAAAGAAATAACAAATGATCGATGAAATAATTCTTTCTTCTCGCTTACCTTTGTCCATGGCGACATTAATGCCTTCATCCAGGACTTAAAAAATGTTCCGTGGCACATTGCCGACGATGAGAGCAATGTCAACGACGCAGTCTTGACTTGGAACAAATAATTTACCGAAGTTGCGGATTCTCATGCACCGCTTAAAAAGCGCCGAGTAATTTAGGGCACGACAGCTCCTTGGATAAATAATAAAATCGCTGAAGCGATGCGCGATCGCAATTATCATCTTCGGAAAGCACAGAAATCAAACTCTACATACCACTGGGGAATGTATAGAAAGCTGCGAAATTTTGTGAATCGCAAAATTAAGTCCTCGAAGTCAAATTACTATTGCAACCTAATTGAAGAAAGTAAAGGCGATTCCAGCATGGTTTGGAAAGCAGTGAATGATGCTTTCTCAAGCAACGTTAGCTCATCCATTGCGCAGTATATAATTGCAAGTGGAGTACAATATAACGACCCCAAATCCATTGTTACAGCCCTGAATGATTACTTTGCTTCTGTTGGAAGATTGTTGGCAGAAAAATTCTCTCAATCTCTTAATTATGTAAATCCTGCGAAACTCAATGTTGCTGAACCAGCGACGGTTTCTTTTGAGTTAAGAACCGAAAGCCATTCCTTTGTTTTACAACAGATTTGTGCCCTTAAGCGCAATAAGGCCATCAGGTTAGACAGAATCAGTGCCCGTTTACTGAAATGTGCTTCTTGAACTATAACTCCATCAATTACGAAATTTTTAAATCTATCAATTGCAACCAACGAGTTTCCTAACATCTGGAAATGCGCTAAAGTCACAGCACTTTTCAAAGCCGAGAACCGTACTAGCCCGTCTGATTATCGCCCTATTTCTATTTTACCAACTCTTAGTAAAATCCTAGAGAGGGCTGTGCATTATCAATTTTATCAATACCTTAACCAACATAACCTACTGAATGAAAAGCAATTCGGATCTCGGCCTAAACATTCAACAGTTAACGCTGTTTCTAGTTTTGCCGATGAAATTTTATTTAATATGGAAAGGGGCAAACTGTGTGGAGCCGTATTCTTGGACCTATCTAAGACCTTTGATACGGTCGACCACACAATTTTGCTACGAAAGTTGTCATCTTTTGGGGTGACTTCTGACACGGCTAAATGGTTTGAGTCATATCTTAATGGACGAATGCAATGTACATCTTGCGGTCCGGAATTGTCTGATTTGTTACCTGAACGCATGGCGTGCCTCAGGGCAGCATATTGGGCCCTTTGTTATTTCTTATTCATATAAATGATTTGCCCACTGTCATCAAGCATTCGGAGGTAGCCCTATATACTGATAACGCAGTGCTTTATTGCTATAACTCAAACCCAGCTGGTCTGGAGTGCGCCCTAAATGCCGACTTGCATGCTATTGCTAGCTGGTTAAATGATAACAAACTTACTCTTAATGTTGATAAAACCAAAGCTATGCTTATTATAAAACCACAATCAGTTTGATCGAATCTCTTTATTTTTCAGAGTTTTACGGAAATTAAATTTCACTCGAGCGAAGGCTTGTCGTGACACTTTTCAAAACTTTAATTTCATAAAACTTTGGAGGATTATTTACAAAAAACTACGGAACTCAGCAAAAAACAAATACCACAGCCATGTATATTAACTCTATCTTATCTATCGAGGCGACTTTCGTAAACATCACGTGTCAATCAAGGAAACAGGAAGACTTGAATGACACCTTATCGGTTCGCCTAAATTACGCACGCCAAAACCGATGAAATTCAAGGTAAATTTTTGAAAAAGTGAGGCGTTCTTAACTGATCCAACTAACATAGCTAGGAAGTAGGTGCCATAGAAAAGGTAACTACAGAAAAAAACTTTGCGGCCCGACCTTTACGAGAACGTGAATGAGTGTAGGCAACTTTGACTTCTGGCGAGATTAAGTGGATTGTTCAAAGGACCCCCTGAGATTTTTTTCAGTACTATAACTGAGATTTGTTAATAACTATGATAATCGTCATCATTAGCGGACGGTGCTTTTTGCCCATTGTTGTCATCATTATCGTTATCACGCCGGAAGAAGTATAAAGCCGGCACGTCGCCTTACCTAGCTACACTGAATATTGTTCTCTCTTTTGCTCCCCTTGGATCCTGGAAACTGTTACTATTAAGACGATCAAAAAGAAAGCCTTTATAATTATTGAAACTTTTGATTAACAGAATGTAAGAAAAAATCGGTGGGGAGAGTTTTTCGCGTATCATAATCTGAACGATAGTTTTAAATAAAACAAATAACACTTAATTCAATTTACCTTAGTTGTCTCGTGTTTAAAAGTGGCGTTTCTGGGGATCGTAGATTCTTTTCTGATTCTTCTTGTCTCAGCCAAGACTCACTATCATC